ATAAGCAGAAAGACAAACGAAACCGGAAGAAACGTGAGACTGACAGTGACAGTGACAGTTCGAGTTGAATCCCTTCGTCATAATGTTCATGACGTATCTTGCCTTTCGCATTTTCGAGAGAGAAATTATTGTCTATGGTCGATATTGTCTATGGTATGTCGATGCATTGTGTGTCATACTGATCGGTGTTCGTTAGGAGTGGAAAATGTTTGGCGACGAATCTAATTGCTTTTTTTTAAGAATGAAAACTGAGGATATCGATTCGTCTAAAAATCAATTCGGTGCACTATCGTAATTGTCTATGGATTTATTGTATTTTATCTAGAGGTAACATTATTTGTATAGGAAAAATAAAATTAAAAATGGCGGTTCTAAATTAGTTACGCCCGCCAAAAAAGGCTATTTTATATTAAAACTATAAAAGCCATTAGAAGAATCAGAAAGCTAACTATGTAAGATAATCTTAGGCGAACATACCTAATACATACACTTTCTCTTTTAAAAATAATGATATCAAATACTCAAGACAATGAAAGAGCTATCTGCATTTTCTGTAATATAAAGTACGAACGTAATGACAACTAGCAATCAGCCCTTGCTTCGCTTCGGGAACATTAAATTTTATTATTGATAGCTGAGTCCCGCGATGCTACCAGCGCTTATTGTCGTACCGCGGGTGACGCCCCGGGGCGAAGCTAGTCTAAAAAAAGTAGCCTAAGTTACTCCTTATATAATCAGGTACCTATCAGTGAAGGTCTCGTCAAAATCGATCCAGCCGGAACAAACAGACAGACAAAAATAAAAATATTTTGGTTTAAGTACTGTGTGTGGTAGGTATACTTCGCATTTAATAAAAAGTGGTTATTTTATTATTACCAACAGGCATTCCGATTTTATTTATTTGTATAGATATACAATTTAAAACTATAATAAATTCATCTAACAAAATATTCGCTGACTTGAATATAAATTTTGTGAAAACAACATTTAAAGTCCTTAATATGTCTATTTAAATAAATATTTTAAACAATATTATTACATATTATATTGTGTAAGATTGAATTATTTCTCTTGATTGAACGACAGGTGAATGAACTTGTCTAAGAAAAACCTTTGTAAAACTAAATAGGTTTTTTTTACGTGCTTAAAGATAAGCAATAGCAAAACCCTTAGTGCCTTTTTGTCGTATTTTTAGAGATTTAGTGTTATCACTAAAACAAAATCAAAAAAATTAGGTTTCTTTCGAAACCACAAGTGAAAATGAATCTTGCAGTTACAATAATCAGGGTCGAATTTCGATCGTATAGCAGACAGACACTTGTACATATTATTATTCCTTATGAATTAATATTAGGTCAAGTAACTTGTATTTGTGAGAATTCGTTAGATCTAGTGTAGAATTTGAATAAAAACGATGATATTATTAAATCAGCCTTTCCCAAAGTGGGCGATAACGCCCCCTTGTGGGCACTGCATTCCTAAAGGGGCGCCCCCTAAGTAAAGTAAAGTAAGACACCCAGAAAAAAAAGGGAGCGTTGTGTAGAGGTTTGGCAGGCGATTTGTAATTTCGTCTAGGAGGACTCTTAGACACCGACTGAGCTGTCGCTATAGTGGTTTTTAAGTAGGTGAAAAAATGGGGGCGCTAAAAATTTTTTTATTTTTAAAGTGGGCAGTAGGCAAAATAAGTTTGGGAACCCCTGCCTTAAATCAATCGATAAAACAGTGAGTTAAAGTGATACAATTTTTTTTGTCAGCGCGCCACTATTGTGACCATGTTTTTTTTTTGTTAATAGAAAAATGACGCAATATCTAGTTGTCTCTCTCTCACACGCGCGCAACTAATAGCCCTATCGCGATCACCCAAGTTGCGATGTGTCCATTTTTGTTCCGAATTCACGGTTTCAAAGAATAAAATCAAAAAACTTCGAGATAGCAAATGACCAGTAAGACAAGTTTCACAAAATAAGATTCGATCGAAGTATTGAAGTCGGACTAAGGTAGCCAGCGAATATAAAGAATAAAGCGATACCTTCAATTCCAGTGGCACTGGAGCTGAGCAGTTCGTTACCGCGCGTTGTATTCGCAGACTGCGGAACTAGACCTAAAAAAGTGTACCTATCAATGAAAACTGAGACTAAAAATCGACGTATTTTTAAAGTGAATTTTGAAGCCAATCACAAAGCAAACATTTCTCAATCGATTCAGCTTGCCGTTAATTTTGAGAATATGTGAAAAACATTTTATATATAGCTATTTATAATAATAAAATATGATATATTTATTCCGCTTTCACAATATTATCATACACTAAATACAATACACTAAATATTTATCTGAAATACCAACTTTAATCATATTTTATGATTCGTTTAATTTTTTTATACCGATTTGACTTTTTTAATTACAGCAAGCACAAAATATATATACCGTTTCAATGTGGTCGTTCGTAACGTTCGCTCATTCTTTTTTTCAAAGTACAAAAGTGTGCATACTGTATGTTTATTGTTTTGTGTTTTTTCGATATTCGCCGATGACAGCAGGAATGTAAACACGAACTTCTCCCTCGCAATGTTATAGGTTAAGTCAAAAAATGTTATGTTTGTATAAGACAAGTGAAATGAAATCAATTTGTATCGATACTATTGTAGATTTTTAATAAAAGGATTAATGAAAATGTGTTTTTCTATTAAGAAATTAGAAGTTAACAAGGTTGGTAAAAGTCAACTAATTTAGCACGCAACCGCGGGAAATCTTATTGCTTCTCTTCAGCTATAGGCGGGATATACAGCTATGGTTAGTAATTATTATACAGCCATAGATTAGATTACATTGCAATTACATTATTTCCAATGTTTCGAGTCATGATATAATATTTAAAGTTATAGTTAATAATGTAGTTTAGTGGTTTTTATTATTCCGAATAGTCAATCAAACCGAAGAAAGTAATATAATTAAGCAGATAGAATAAACAAAAACACACAACAACAAAAAACTAAGTATTAATCATGTGGAAAATGGCGGATTTCCGCTCAATCTTACTTTTTTTTCCCTACCTAAGTTGATGGTCTAGGAGACCATATCAGCGTAACCTTAATTAGTAGGTGAGCTTACGGGACTCTAACCTGACAATGTTGCTAACACTGGCCTAAGCAAGAGCAGTGCTTCGCAGAATCTACCACCGGATCGGAAACGCGACCCACTGAGAAGATCCGGCGAGAAACTCAGTGGGCTGTGTCTATGGGTTAATTCACTCGTCGAGCCCTTCGTCGCAAGCGACGGGTTCGACGAGGACGATGACCGGTGCTTGCGGTACCTAAAAGCACCGTTAATGGATCGGGAGCATCCGTAATGACGTGTTTATGGCGACGTCGACTGTTTACCATTCGGTCTACATAATCGTGGCTCGCACTAAGCACACTGCTCTTATATGGGTACTAAATCTAGAACGGTTCGCCATTAAAATTGCTCAATTTTATGAAGATGCAAAATTTGCGTAACACGAAACGAGATAAAGACAAATTTATCTTATCGCGTATTACTCAATCGCCATCTGAATTGATTTTGACAGTCACGTATTTATCACGATAACGTGATTAGTGATAATTACGTTTAAACGATACTTAAATACACAGCCGTAGTTAATGGCCGATTCAATTGAACTTTGATTCTTGAAAACTCAGTTCGAAATAGCTTTGCAATTAATATTAACTTTACAAGCGGGAGCGCCATCTTAAAAACGTCAAATTTCCAAAACTGTCAACTGTCAGTTTGACGGGATGGATTTATACAGGGCGTTGTTTTTGCTATTGTTTCTCGGTTATGGCTACAGTGATGAGAATTTTAAAATTGTTGAAACGGCGCAAGGGAAAATCGAGGGGGCTCTATGCCATAATGGGTATTACTATGAATTTTTAGGAGTGCGTTACGGCGTACCTGAAAATTTTAAGGTGAGTGCTAGTTTGTAATTAGTTTGTACTAATGACCAGACGAGCTGACGGGCTATCTGGTGTTAACTGGTTCGGACACGATAATTTAAATACCATCAATGAGGCCAAAGTCGGGATTTTATAACGACTGACCCATTCTTCAAATTGAAATTCTTGACTGCTTCGTGGAAGAAATAGGCAGAGCTGTCACCTGGAATTACCTAAATCTAAAGGTTTGTGAGTTTTATATATTTTTGTATATTGTCCTTGTAGGCAGACTAGCATACGGTCCACCTGATGGTGAGTGGTTATCATCGCCCTTGGACTTCAGCAATGCCAGGGGCAGAGCCAAGCCGCTGCCTACCATTAAGTACTCTCCACAAGCCTCATTTGAAGAAGGACATGTTTCATTTGACTATGATCGCTATGTTATACTGCAGCCCATAGACAGAACTTCATCGGCGCTACCGTCTATCTCTTGCCTTCGAATATCGCCTTCGTAAGCTTTACACAACGATGGAGAAATTATATAGAAAGTAAAAAGTAACCATCATTGCTTCATATTTAACCTGATCGTTTCGCAAGTTAATACACGAGCCAAGCCAGGATTCGTTATAGAGTGTGATATATATTTTATTGCTTAGTTGAGTGGACGACCTCACAGCCCACCCGGTGTTAAGTGGTTACCGAAGCCCATAGACATCTAGAACGTAAATGGCCGCTTCACGGCAGATATAGGCGAGATGGGGGTACCTACCCGTGCGGACTTACGCAAATTATAATTTTTCGGGTTATTACACGATGTTACTATTTCACCGTGGAAGTCAATCGTGAACATTTGTTAAATACGTATTTCATTAGAAAAATTGATACTTGAGTGTATCGCTAGATACGAACGCACCGGACATCTTATTCTAAGAATTTATTTTATAATACTGCTGAACAATTTCTCGTCAGGCACCCAAAGAGCCGCCATCGTTTGCTGGAGTCTACAAAGCCGACAACCGTGCCGTGCTCTGCCCTCAATTCCCTGTTAACGACCCCCTGGCTGCCCCAAGCGACAACATGGACTGCCTTGTCTTGAACGTCTACATGCCTAAAATACCCAGCAACACCAGCTTCCCCGTTATGGTCTTCATCCACGGCGGCGGCTTCGGTACAGGCTCCGGATCCCCGGCTTTCTACGGACCACAGTACTTGGTCAGCCACGGCGTCATTCTGGTCACGGTGAACTACCGGTTGAACGCGTATGGATTCTTGAACTTGCACACTAAAGACGCTCCGGGTAACGCGGGCTTGAAGGATATTAGGGCCGCTTTGCGTTGGATCCAAAAGAACATTGCCAATTTCAACGGTGACCCTGACAACGTGACGGTGTTCGGCCAAGGTACAGGTGGAACTGCCGCTATTTACATGGCGTTCTCCGACTCCACGCAAGGATTGTTCCATAAGATCATATCGGAGAGCGGCACACCATTCGCGCCGCAGTCCTTCGATCCTGATCCTTTGGCGACGGCAAAACAAGTCGCTAGAAGTTTAGAACTGATTACCGAAGAGCCCAGTAAACTCTTCAAGCTGTACAACGATGCTCCCGTAGTCAAACTGGAAGAGGCTATTGGCATGCAGATGAACTCCAGGTCTGTCTTCGTTCCATCAGTGGAAACGGTATTCGACGACGAAGAACCTTTCTTAATTGACACTCCATACAATATTCTGAAAAAGAAGAAATTCCAAAGTTGTCCAATGATCATGGGAATGAATACGGTGGAAGGCTTAACATCAACCATGGACTTTTTTACCGTTACCAGCCAAATGAATCGAATCATGAACGAGGATTACTCCGCCTTGGATCAGAGGAGCATGGTCGTACCGAAAAAAGAACGAGAAGAGTTCAGAGAAGTTCTGAAGGAGACGTATTTCTCTAACACTACCTCGGACGAAGCGCTTATAGGTGGAATTATAAACTTGAATTCAGACTTTTCCTGCGTCGGTCCAATGTCTTTATTCGCCGAAATGTATGCCAACTCCTCGAGCCAGCCGATGTACCAGTACATCTTCAACTACATCGGCACTAGAAACCTTGGAAAATTGCTTACGAACTCCAGTCTTCCGGCCACTTCGAACTTGGACGAACTATTCTATATCTTCGAGTTGGAGAGAATGCCTCTGCCTCTGGACGAGAACGATGCAAGGATAATAACATTCATGACGATGATGTGGACCAACTTCGCCAAAACCGGGTGAGTTGTTGCTCTAGAGCATTATTTTATTATCTCTCTTAATAAAGTCTTTTTACAGAGCAATGGAGAGCACAACCCTCTCCATTGCTCTCTGAGTAACTTTAAGCCTTCTGATGAGGACCACTGCCGTATATTATCACCAGCAACACTGGTCGAAGACTTTCGCTCTGGTCGCTAAAGGTCACAGGAATTCACTGGATGCGGGCAGTGTACGTCTGGTCATTGTGGCAAATAAGAGGCGAGGCCTATGCCCAGCAGTGGACGAGTGTGGGCAGATAAGAGTGTTTTCTCCATCTCATCATCCAAACAAACTTATTTACAAGGTTCACGTAAGCCACTATGTGTGCAGAGTGGTTATTGGAACGAGTTAAGACATACTTCGAAGCCGTAAACAGGTATTTTTGCTAAGTAATTCCAAACATGTACGTATTGAAGGGTAACTTCCACGGACAATTGTAACAAACAGTAACCTACGTAAGTCTCATCGCTAAGTCCATCATCATCATCATGATCATTCTCCTGCCCTTCTCCCAGTCACCTGTTACACTTATCGTCTTTCACGCAAACCATCAATTTTTTCTTCGGTCTACCTCTTCCTTTTTTTTATTGCTTAGATGGGTGGACGAGCTCACAGCCCACCTGGTGTTAAGTGGTTACCGGAGCCCATTGACATCTACAACGTAAATGCGCCACCCACCTTGAGATATAAGTTCTAAAGTCTCAGTATAGTTACAACGACTGCCCCACTCTTCAAGCCGAAACGCATTACTGATTCACGGCAGAAATAGGCGGGGTGGTGATACCTACCCGTGCGGACTCACAAGAGGTCCTACCACAATATATCCTCTATACTCTTCCACATTCATAGTTAAAAGTCTCTTACCAACCTCATTGTCATTTCATCTCATCACATGTCCATATCATCTCATTGCGTCGCCAAGTCCATGGACCTCAATAGGCATTTAAGTAGCCCGCGAACTAGACATTGAAAAGGAATTGTTTAAGAATCAATGCCAGTATCACCGATACTTATAGCTTTGTGTGCTTATTAAGAGTTTTTTAACGTTCTCGTTAGCGTAAAAGTTAACTCTTATTTGTATGAAGTTGGAACCTTTGCCTACGTTTGCCGCTAGGGGCGCTGTTCCAACTACATACAAATTCGAGTTAACTTTTACGCTATCGAGAACGTTCAAACACTCGCAATAAGCACACTGACCGGGTGATGTTTGTCTCGCTGCAGATGTCCGACGCCGGACCCTGAAAACGGGGAATGGCTGCCGTACCCTCACAACTTGGCCATCGCTCTGGAGCCTCTGTACGTGGCGCCACTCACATCAGACCGGGCGCACTTTTGGCGCACCCTGTACGAAAAATATGGCGCCGAACTCATATAATAATCTAATGTAGCGGAGAGACGCCATTTTGAATGCTACCCACAATTCGTATTTGAAGTTTCCAAAATTCCAATCCAACGCTAAGATCGACAATTCAAGAATATCGATTATTATTATTAATTAACTAATAACACCGTTTTATTGTTGGGTAATGTTGTTTCGAATCGGAAATCCAAAATGGCTGAATCCAAATTGAAATGGTTTTCTCTCTGCATTTAACAAACACGGACTTCATGCTTCTAGTAACTAACATAAAGGAATTTGTGAGGTTATAAAATTTTCTTTAATGACCCAAATTAAAAAAGGATATTTTCGAAGGCAGCTTTGAGGCATCGACCTCAAAACTCTAATCGGTGACCAATCGACACCGTTGTCGAGAAAGTCCTGTGTAAACTTTGTTTCTGATTCATTGGTGAATAAACAAAAAAATATAATAAGTATATATCCCAATTGCTTCATACTGAAAATTTAAAAAAAAAATTACAAAATTTTATCATCACAAATTCCTATGAATATCTTATTTATTAATATCGGATGAAATCAAAATTATTTTGTTTCGATCATAATCTGATGTATATATATTTTTTTTTATTAAGTATTTCTCAATTGTAATTTGGATGAGTAACAAAAAAAAATTTAAAAATTATTCTTTTCGGCCAATACAAAAAGTTTTGTTTTATTGTATCAGTAAATTAAGCTATTTATTTACTATTATTAGCTATTTAAGTTATTTATTGTCCAGTAAATTATTGTTTTATAGAATTCAAATATTTTATTTTACGTCTTTGTGATATAATTGATTTTAAATTCATTCAATATGGTAGCATTTTTCTTCCAAGTGTGAATGAACTATGGAGGGTAGAACTAAGCATCATCATCTCAGAATATTAAAAAGTGTCCACTGCAAAGGGAGCCAATTAAGGTGGCGCCACGGTAGCAAGTGGAAGGATTCTAAAAACAGCGCCATAAATTACACACTTGACTTCGATCCAGCATTCTTCACTTTATTTAACACTGTTATGGTTCTGCAGAGGGACTTCAGTTCCCTCTGTACCTTGTACCATATGTTGCATGGGAAGTAGTCTGAGGAAATGTTTGAGATGATCCATTATCTCCATTTTACCATCGCACCGCCCGCCACCGGAGTAGAGTTCGTCCATAATACCTGGAGCCACTGCGTTCACCCACAGTGCGTTTCCAGAGATCTTTTTTGCCACGAACCATCCGACTTTGGAATGTTCTCCCTTCAACGGTGTTTCCCGAGCGCTATGATATGTCCTTCTTCAAACGAGGCTTGCGGAGAGAAGTTAACGGTAGGCAGCGTCTTCGTTGTGCCCCTGGCATTGTTGAAGTCCATGGGCGATCATAATCACTCATTATCAGGGCCCACCTGATGGCCGTACGCTCGTCTGTCTACTAGGGCAATAAAAAAATTTCATATAATTTCATTTCATTTCACTTCCTACACTAGCGCTATTTCGGTGATTCTTGCACCAATAACTTGCTGTTTACAGAAGGACACATTTTCAGCTTGTCCCCTATACAAGATGGTGCTTACCTCTACTCTCCATTATGTGAACTTAACGCGCGTTGAGCATTTCTAATGTCAGACAACGCTTACAACATTTTCAAGATAATCTTGCATATATACAAGTTCCGAACAACAACATTCGGAGCCCTAAACACGTCATTACGGATCTTCCCGATCCATTAACGGTGCTTTTAGGTACCTCAAGCACCGGTGACGTCCTCGCCGAACCCGCCGAACCAAGGGCTCGGCGAGTAAATTAACCCATAGACACAGCCCACTCTGAGTTTCTCGCCGGATCTTCTCAGTGGGTCGCGTTTCCGATTCGGTGGTAGATTCTGCCAAAAACTGCTCTTGCTTAGGGCCTTGCTAAAACAACATTCGGACCGTCGGTCTATCGAGCAATATCACCCGCTCGGTGGAAGATCTTCCCTATGTCGTATACCTACAGATATCAGAGAATTTTTTAGGCTCCCAACCTAACTTACTTTTCGTACATAGTAGTTGTACATAGATCTGGTATACTATAGAATTATGTCTATATGTATAAGCGACTTAAAGTCAGGCGAGGTTTCCGCGCTTAATTAATATGTTGAGTTGACGATCTGCAGATTTTGGGAGCGCAAGCCAAATGATGTTTTTAAGGCCCTACCTATTTGATGACCCCCTTGCACTCTCTCAGAGCTCTCGTCAGAAGACGGGTAGAGTAGGGGAGCTTTAGTGGTCAACGCTAGAACCAGACCCGCGGTGCCACCCCGAGGACACATGTCTTGACACATTTCCAGGAAACACGGAGATGATCTACGGACTACTGGTCGCAGCTTAACTGGTCTCAACAGATCCTCACCACATTTCATGATTGAAAATCTACGATGCTTACTAGCCGAGGAAAGGATAAGATGGCACATGGTGGTGGAGAGTCGTGGCCACGTGTCTTTGATAAGCCTTATATTGTAGTATAATTGTAATTTCATGAACATTGGTGTCTGGCACGAGTTTGCCACTATGTTAAATGTCTGGTATTGAATAACGTGATTTCTAATAATATTCTGAAGGTAATACAAAAAAATCGCACTTTATAATTTGATGAATTTAGATCGGTATTTTACACACCTTTAGTACCGTGTACCTGCTCTGCTATTCCTGCCAAAGCCACGGTAACCCAAACATCATAGTGGTCCATCGTTCTTCCCTGTGTTGGGAGCATGCGCTGATAAACTTTCAGCTTTCATAAAATAACGAAGGTCTGGGGTTCACGGGCTCTTAGACTATTTGTTATAGCACACACATTTGCGCGCTACGTTCACAATTAACCAATTAGATGCGAGTGAAAACTTAAATAAAACTTCAGTTTAGTCTAAAAATGTATATAATAATTGAAGTTATTAGTCGTCATAAATACCTCTTTTGCCAACGAACGGTATAAATGTTCTACCGATCATGCCGTCTTTATTTCTGGAATATTTTTTGCTTTTCTTCCTGTCGCCATCCCAGTCGTTTCGATTTGAATCCCAATTGTTTTTGAACTCTCTCCCTTTACCTTTGAATTCATATTTCTTAGGGAATCGATAATCGTATTCTGGTCTTTCTTCGCCGGGCCATCTCTTCGTGTTCTCGAACATTCCTTCGGGTTTGAGCGCGTCTCTATTTGCGCCGTGGTTCCCGCCAATCTTTTGCCAATCATTCTTCAACGATTTCGCTTTACTCTTGTTCTTAAATCTTTTCTTTCCCTCGTTTTTATCGTCTCTGTCGTATCGCTCTGTGACTGAATCATCTGTACGTTTTTCGGCACTATATTTGTCAATGACGTTGTTTTCGTTCGCGGAATTTCTTTGTACGACGCCGTCGCCATCTTGAAATGCTTCGGCTGACATTTGTGCTTCTTTGGCTGTTGGTAAATTTCGATTGATTGTAACTAATGCTGGGTGTGGAAACAAATTAACTGTGTATTATTAACATTTTTGCGATTTTAATGTGAATTACAGATTTCAGTAAGTATGCAAGCAAGTTTGAAGCACTCGCAAGCAAGTTTGAAGAGTTTTATTTGCTATCAGCATCAACAGTTCGATGATTTTAATTGAACTTCAATTAAGTTTACTTCATTCAAATAGCTAAAGAAATTATTTTTTGTTACGATATTTTTACCAAATGCTTAAACTTTTAATGGCTCTCCTGTGAAGTTGCAAAAATGTCGCTTAAGCCTTTTAAAATAACCGTTCACCCGTCGAGATTAAAATGTGTATTAGGTACAATATAGCGATCCTTACCTTCGTTGTTACCAGAGAATCTTCTTATCGCGTCTAAATAATGTACCAAATCGTTATTCTTCCAGTTCTGCGAAGGAAAACGCCTGAAAGAGAGTCGTTTAATATTAAAATACTTTTTATGATAAAAGGATTAATGACAATGTTGTTCCTATACTTTATGAGGTTAGTGACAAATTCATCGAACCGCGCTTAAAAATAGAGTATTTACTTAAGTCTTAATTAAAAAACTAAAATCAAGTCGTCGTGGCCTAAAGGATAAGACGTTCGGTGCATTCGTATCTAGCGATGCGGTGTTCGAATCCCGCAAGCGAGTACCATTCTTTCTAATGAAATACGTATTTAACAAATGTTCACGATTGACTTTCACAGTGAAGGAATAACATCGTGTAAAAAAACATAAAGCAAACCCGCAAAATTATAATTTGCGTAATTACTGGTGGTAGGACCTCTTATGAGTCCGCGCGGGTAGGTACCACCGCCCTGCCTGTTTCTGCCGTGAAGCAGTAATGCGTTTCGATTTGAAGGGTGAGGCAGCCGTTGTAACTATACTGAGACCTTATAACTCGTATCTCAAGGTGGATGGCGGCATTTACGTTGTAAAATGTCTATGGGCTCCGGTAACCACTTAACATCAGGTGGGTAGTGAGCTTGTCCGCCCATCTAAACAATAAAAAAGCGACATCTTGTTATATAAGTTTAACAAATCGTTCTACGTCAGAAATTTGGCGCTACTGCTCGACCTCCCCGGTCGAAGACCTAGAGGTAGACCCAAGACAAGGTGAGGGACGTAGTGCTGAAGGACAAGAGAGAATGCAATGTTGCTGACGAGGATGTCGAAGACAGAGCGAAGTGGAGGAATAAAGTCAGGAAACTAACCCCACCACCATGTGGGATAAATAGCTGGTAAGAGAGAGAGAGAGGGAGAGAGAGAGAGAGAGAGAGAGAAATCATTGTACCAGTTACTACAGAAAGTGTCACTAACAGTGTGGATATTTTAGTTGATTATCTTGTGTTGTATCGTTGTATATGTGTGTGTGAGCCCGCACGGGTAGGCTCGACTAACTTGTTTATTTTTAGCGCTAAGCCATCCGTTGTTGTCGCTTAAAACATGGGACAGGTGTTATGCTATACAGCTAAGCCTTCGACCTCACGTGTCCATGGACTCCCTTAATCAGTTAAATTAACCAATTGCGCCTACGGCATGTCGATCTGTGAGTGAAGTAAAACAACAGCTCGCTCTAGTCCGACTTTTTTAACCGAAAGACTAGATGGCGCTATTATAAAAAGAACCTAGTCAATAGATGGCGTTAGGTGTATCAAAAGGGATAATCTTCTGATTTAAAAGCTTGCAGACTTACTCCGCGTTGTTATCGTTGTTCACGTAAGCTTCCAAAACTTCAGGGTTACGTATAAAATATATTCTCTTAGTTTTCGGTCTCATTCGGTACGCGTTGTTATTGTCTTGCAGGAACTCGAAATCATCTCGAATATTACCAGTCATTAGATCCATGTCGACGTAATCTTCGTCTGGAAATGCATTTGTGATAATACATGCGCCATCTGTTGTGTATTGATGGTACTAACGCATAGAAGCGCCTATACAAGGCTGAGTAAATCGGATAAAAATTATCCTTTCCTCTTACGAGTATTATATGTATTAGATGATAACGGTGAATGTTTAGCACAGAAAATCGATTTGAACAGAACAGAAATTGAACAATCAATTCTACTGTTTAATTTTTTTTCCTACCTAAGCTGTTGGCCTAGAGAGACCATATCAACGTTCATGATAGGTGAGCTCATGGGGCTTAAACCTGACGTTGTGGCTAACACGAACCCTAGCAAGAGCCGTGCTTCGCAGAATCTACCACCGGATCCGAAACGCGACCCCCTGAGAAAACCCGGCGAGAAACTCAGTGGGCTGTGTCTGTGGGTTAATTTACTTGCTGAGCCCTTCGTCGCAAGCGACGGATTCGCCGAGAACGATGACCGGTCCTTGGGATACCTAAGAGCACCCTTAATGGATCGGGAGGATCCGAAATGACGTGTCAACTGTTTCAACTATCAAGCACGTAATGTATGTATCACAAAATAAGCCTATGCTTTTTTGACAAACCACCCTTTCTTTCTTTAAAGAGATACCTACCTCACAAGTTACAACTCTCATCTAAGCAGTATTTTATAACACAGACGAGCATACAGCCCACTCGATGGTGAGTTGTTACCGTCGCTCATGGACCACAACGCCAGAGACACGTGTCTGCCAGCTTATACCATTAATATTTACACAAATACTAATTAGGTATACTAATAGGTATACTAATAGGTATACTAATAGGTAAGTGGCAATATTATTAACTACACCCCTGGCGTCTATGAGCGACAGTAACTAGTTACCGCGGGAATTCGTTTACCAATCTACGCCAAGAAAAAAATAATTTCTTAGCCTAAAGTCATTGCCTGTAAAGTCGGCTTACGGACGATAGTTTTATGTGAAAATGTCAGTAGCAGAACTATTCGAACTGCTGGCTCTGACGTCATGCGAGAAGACAGATAGATGTGTCACAAGCCAACGCTTGGGCCGATCGTGCCTTTCTATCGCTTGTTCGCGCTCTCCCTCGCATGCTCAGGCTCGGGCGGAACGTGACACTTTTTCGTGCGTGCAACCGGTATCCATCGATTTATAAGGCGCTATCTCGTCAATATTATATAGACTTATTGTACTCTTCGTTTCTGAAATGGGAAATCACCAATATCACGGGAGTTCTTCCATTCAAAATCTCGATTCACTTTGTTGATTAGTTCAATTGTGTTCCTGTACAGCTCGTCGTCCATTGCGGCTTTCTTGTTTACGTTCAAGGCGATTACTTCGCGATTTGCAAAGACTGAAATACGGTAATGCGAAATTGATTTTGATTACATACTTAAAAACAATGAAATTAATATATTTGCTGATTTTGTGAACGTCTAATGTAACATAACCCCTCAAGCACAGCCCTCTGAGTTTCTCGCCGGTTCTTCTCAGTGGGTCGCGTTTCCGATCCGGTGATAGATTCTGCGAAACACTGCTCTTGCTAGGGCCAGTGTTAGCAACACTCCGGTTTGAGCCCCGAGAGCTCACCTACACGCTAGGGTAACGCTGATATAGCCTCTCAAGGCTATCAGTATAGGTAGGGAAAAAAAGGTAATCTAACTTACCTACGCAGAAACATATCAGAGAAATCAATTTCATGGTTTGTCCGTTTAGCGCGTCCAGAAATATATAATAGCATTTTTATCGTAAAAATATAAAAAAAAACTACAAAAAATATAAAAATCGAATAGTTTTATTAAGCATAAACATTGTATAGAGTTTTATTGTAATTTTTTTTTTAAATTGTATATGTTTTAATGAGCTTTTTTGTGTTTGGAAAATCCAAGATTCGGAGGGTTCCAAGTTCCATGCAGACACTGTATTGCTCTTATATCTTAAATCTTGGAACCAGATAAGACTATTATTAACGTCCCATGCCATTTTTAACTGGTAGTAGTTTGGTAATAGATTACAGATAGTAGGACCTCTTGTGAGTCCGCGCGGGTAGGTACCACCACCCTGCCTATTTCTGCCGCGAAGCAGTAATGTGTTTCGGTTTAATGGGTGGGGTACCTGTTGTAACTATACTGAGCCCTTAGAACTCATATCTCAAGGTGGGTGGCGGCATTTACGTTGTAGATATCTATGGGCTCCGATAATCACTTAATACCGAGCGAGCGGGGGGCTCGTCCACTCATCTATGCAATAAAAAATAAAAATAAAAAATACATTTATAAATTACATATCATATCTGTAGCTCATAAGATGGACAAATGTTTAGTTTTAAAAACCTCATACGCGAGGAGACAGCGCGTGGTTACGATTGTGACCGCTAGTGCCCATGTAGTAAGGTTGACTTCCCCTCAACTCCTCATCATCAGACGGAAGGAAACGCTCGTGAGTGCTGACGCTTAACAGGAAACGAATTCGGCAGCGTTTCAACGTTTATCGCGTCGACGTCCTAAATGATTATCATGCGATCATCATTCATTTGACACAAAGCTCGGCGATCAAGATAATAATTGTTAATACCGCTGGATAAGCACGTCAATACATTAAGGTCGCGGTGTAGAATCGATATTGTCTGTGATCTATTTCCTATTGCCGAATGATATTCCTATTTCCGAAAATTGATATAGTTATTTGGCTAGTTAGGGATTTCTGATACACCAACAAACAAAAACTAAACTTCATAATTCCTTCTAATAAAACGATTAATACGATTGTTATGATTTTTTTAAATCCCAAACCTGACTTACTAGGCTAATCGAGTGGTATTTATGTACAATCCATTATTAGGTTCAATTTAACCACAAATGACGTGACACCGAAGTTCCAAATTTCCTTTTACATCCATTTGAATCCTTTTTTTTTTTTTTATTGCCCTTGTAGGCAGACGAGCACACGGCCTACCTGATGGTGAGTGGTTACCGTTGCTCATGGACTTCAGCAATGCCAGGGGCAGACCCAAGCCACTGCTTACCGAAACAGAAAAAACAGAAACAGAAAATGAAAATTTCCATACCTACAGAAAATGTCGACTCGTTTGAAACCTCTGCGAATGCACTACGGAAACAGCTCTGGGAAATTATTTAAGAGGATTCCGCCATCTTCTTTCGCCGTCACACACAACTAGATGCCACACAGCATTTTGATCAAGCATCGTCTTGTCCTGGTATCAGGGCGCGTTGTTTCCTGAGCGTTATGAAATTTCCTATGTCCAAGCAGAAGCAGTGGCTCGACTTGACTCCCGGCATTGTCAGTGTCATGAGACGACACAATAGCCAGTCAATAGCTGAAAAAAATCCGCGCTCAGCGTTATGAACTTAGCCTTATGAAACTTATCATTCGCTAAGTTGTGCAATAAATTGAAGGATTTTAATTAGTGTGTGTCACTTCTTGGTCAACAATGGAGAGGTCTTGGGCGGGTTTGATTATTTTGGGCCTCGCTGCTTCAGGTACGTGGATCCCTTCTTATACATCTTGAAGACGTCACGGCCTAATGGATGAGACGCCCGTCCGTTCGTACCAAGTAACCCGTCTGTGTCGGTGTTCGAATCCCGCAGAAAGGTACTGGTTTTTGTAATGACATACTTACTTGACAAATGTACCACTAATGTCTTCCACGAAGAAGTGAGAACATAGTTTAAAAACATTGAAACAATTGAAACATAGACCTCATATCTCAAGGCGGGCGAGCGCTTTGAGGCTTTTTTACGTTAAATACTTCACCGGCAGGTTTTTGTCGATTTCCAATTGCTGGTGACTATGGAGGCTGTGTAAACACTTACCATCCTATATCATTGCTAACTATACTATTGGTAATACTAGTGGCCGAGGTCACAGCCTATTTGGTGTTAAGTGGTCATGGCAGTCCATAGACATCAACAACGTAAATGCCCATATCCACCTTGGGACATAGGGAGTTCTAAGGTCTTAGTTTTTACAGTATAACGCCTGCCCAGCCCTTCAAACCGAAACGCATTACCGCTTCACGGCAGAAATAGGCAGGGTGGTGGTAGAAACTCATGCTAGCTCATAAGAAGTCCTACTAGAACAAACTCTACATTAAATAAGCTGTGTCGCCGTCTGTGCTTGACGCTTACAAAGGTCAATGTCTTACAGCACACAGCTATGACAATGAGGTCCTGTTAAAGCTGGAGAGCCCTGGCTACCAGCACGTCCAGGGTCCGGACGGTCTCCACCTCGAAGACCTGTGGCTAAAAGTTAAAGACCAAAAGGAGTCTGACCAATACGAGCCAGAGAGAGACAACGCATATCACTTATTCACCAGGCGAGTTAATAAGACTTGTAATATGACGTCAGTAAAGACCTATAAGAGACAAATTGTTCTTCTTGGCATCTCCCTATACGGGGTCGGAGCAGCGGTATCTGGACTCACACTCGTCCCTCGCATTTCCTCTCAGACACAGGCCATCCAAGCTTTCTCAAGAACGCCCCTTCCCTGGAAGACACAACACACATTTCTCTTCATCATCACCAGCTTAAAACTGTTGGAGCCTTCTAATCGCACGCCACTGAGAACAATCCTCGGCTTCTCTCATCCATCTTTCGCAATTTCTAGAAGAATTCACACTATTTCATTCGTAGAAGTCATGTTTGTGATCTGAAATGAACTTCAATCTATGTTCATTATGAATGCGAGCCACGAAGAGACTCCTCAGTGGAGTGGGGTGGAGTGACAGGTCTGTGCCTATCCGGCCCCAGAGACATAAACGATGCATTTTAACGCTTCAAGCGCGAACCGTCGATAGATCGACACTCTATTAATGCGCTTAAATTCGGAGCGTCGGAATACCGACTATTGCGTGTTTCGATTATAGGTATTGGGTATCAACCTACGTGTCTTGGGGCGCGTAGCTAAACGAAAGGCAGCACAATTCCCGAGAGATGGCAGCACGATTGCGGTATTGTCGGAACTTGGTTAACTTCGTGCTACGACAAAGCCTAGCCGATGGAGGCGCGTAGACGCCATCACACTCACCAACCAGCCTTCTTGAAGAGCGGTGCCACCGTCCTAAGAGCTGTCATTCGTTTTCGTTTGCTAACGTCAAGAGAAGATTTCTATATTGTTCTAAGTCAACAAACATGATTGGTTTACTCAATATTTCTCTTAGCTCGAACACCCTATTCGCCCCTACGATGTCTGACGACAGTGTTAATAATTGTGGCTTCTCCGACATATAATTATATCACTCCCCATTTTTCATATATAACAGTAGATTTATGATCTTTATAAACTAGACAACAATATCAGAAGCCATTCACAAAAATAAAAAGGAAAGTATTTCCAGTATTTAGTTTTCTAGATCGCGTTATACAATTAATTCCAAATTCGTGTTAGTTCGAAAAATTCACGAGAAATCCGACGAGTTTTATTTGCACTTGTAGGAAGACAAGCCCATCTGATGGTAGTGTTTGCCTTCGCCTATGGACATCGACAATGCCAGCCGAGCCGCTGCCTACCTAAACAACCTCAATCAATTAGTTATGACGTCTCGTTCGCAGATCCAATCCTAAGACCAGCCAGCCTCTCGTGTTAGGAAGCGAAAATGTACTGAAGGCGTCTAATTACGACGAGAAAAAACGTACTATTATATTAGTACATGGATGGAGGAATGTCGCGACCTCAAACTTCAATGCTTTGCTAGTTCCGGGTAATTTTGCACTAATTATGTTAACACTCTACCTCTAGTGATGGGACAGATTAAACTCTCCAAGCACAGTAACGGAAGTCTGGCGAGTGTTTAGAGACGGTGGATGGAAAAGAGGGGAGAAATGGGTCCCTAATAGATATCATAAGGAGTTGGTGAGATAGGCCGATGTTAAGTGCTAACTGAGCCAATAGGCATCACAAAGCCCGTCTTGGGATTTATCCAATATCCCCATTTTAAATCGGGTTTATTAATTGGCCTTTAAGCCGAAACGCATGACTGCTTCACTACCGAAATAGGCAGAGCGACCAGTAAAACTATTGTGTTTTGAGCGAAACAAAATTCAAACCAATCCGTCCTCTTGAAGTCGCTTAGAATTACGTTAATATATTTCGTTAAAATAAATATATAGATGCTAATGGAACTGCAACGAAAAAGTTAACCGGTGATATGAAAATGATCCGTGGGAATATATTGCATTTAAAACTTAAAAAAAAGAAAAGTCAATGTCCTTTAATGAATTTTTATTGAATTTTTATTAAATTTTATTAAATTTTAATTTTTAGCAAACTGTTATGTGTAAATGTTTTCAAGGTTAATAAATAAATTATAATTATTATTATTAACTTTAGTTGCAAAAGTGTGAAAACAGATTGCGCTATTTTCAATTATTTTCAGCTTTCCTCCAGGCCGAGGATTTGAATGTCATCATCGCAGACTGGAGCATCGGGGCAGCCGGCAACTACGTAGTGGCCCTGCTGAATGTTTTTAAATCGGGTGATTGATTCTATTCAACTGATTTTGATTTTAGCCATCCTATTCGCTGGGAGATTTGCCTAGATTCCAATTACGCGCGAACCGGTAGGTGAGCTCACGTGGCTCGACCTGAGAGAATTTGCTAACACTGACCCTAGCAAGAGCAGTGCCTCGCAGAATCTACCACCGGATCAGAGTCACTGAAAAGATCCGGTGAAATCTCATTGGGTCATTTGTTGACAACAGAGCATTTTATTTTGTCTATGTTCGTAAATGGAAGCAGTATTTCGATTCTTATTATTTTTGTATTGCTCACGGTTCATCTGTTTAAGTCATTATCGAAGTTCATAGCAAATTCAATGCCGCCACTCACCTTGAGACATGAGTTCTAAGTCTTAGTTTTTATAATAAAACGATTGACCCACTCTTCAAATCAGAACGCTTTGCTTCACGACAGAAACAGGCAGGGCGGTGGTACCTACCCGTACGGGCTCACAAGATCCTCTAACACTAGGAAAATGCTACTTCCTACCTTTATTTAGCTTTTCTCACGTAGCTTCATCCGCGTGGACTATGCTTTATATAGTCTGGTTCGAATCCTGAGCTCGGCAGTGAAATGGCCGGTCTTAAGTCATCGTGGCTTGACTGATAAGACGCCCGGTGTAATCACATCGAGCAACATGACTATGGATTCTGCCCAATACCAATCTTGCATCGCCTTTGTTCGTTACAGCCAAAGCTGTGGCTGGCTTCATCGAATGGCTGAACCGGACCAGCGGCTCCAAGGTCTCTCAGTACCACCTCGTGGGGCACAGTCTCGGCGGACACCAGGTCGGCATCATCGGGAGGCATCTGGGTGGAAAAGTTCCATACATCACTTGTGAGTAACTCTTCAGTCTGATCTAGCATAGTGATTCCCAAAGTTATCTGAGAGAGCAAGGATTAGGTTTTAATGAGATTGTAGATGAACCTAGCAGACGTAGCGTTGGCAGACCTCACAAAACATGAAGCAGCGACTTGTTGAAGGTCGCGAGTATCTGCTAGATGCAGGCATTGCAGGACCGGTCTTTGGAGCGAGGCTGGGGGAATCCTATGTCCAGTAGATGGCTGTGGCCTGATAGATAGTAGTATAAGAAGCATCGCATGGTTACTGACAGCCATATTACAGTGCTTATACCTAACCTGACGCACGTTTGGACAAACCTGGACCAAATGGCAATTTTCACCTGTTTTTTTATTATTAACTGGGAACAAATCGTGCACGGTCATCTGACCTTAATTCAAGATTCCCTGTGTTATGGGTACTAGAAACTAACATACATACTTTATACGTTTAAAGATATACTTATATACAAAATAAACATCTAAACAAAGAGCAAACAAACCTCTTTATTACACGAATGCTTGCCCAACGTTGGGAATCGAACCCGTGACCCTCTGCGGAACAGTAAGGGCCGCTAACTACAGCACCACCGAGTCAGTACTGTATTCGGAAATTCTACCTGGGTTCGTCTGAAATAAATTGATGTGTATTTCAGCTCTGGACCCAGCATCACCAGGCTGGAATTTAAACCCTAACAGGTTTCAGTCTACCGACGGAATCTACACGGAGGTCATACACACTAACGCTGGGCTCAGAGGATTTCTACCCCCCCTGGGCGACATGGACTTCTATCCAAACGGTGGAGTCGAGATGCCTGGCTGCCAAGACTTAAGCTGCAGCCATCATAGGTACTGTCGTCTTTTTGGGTTAGAAAACAGATTGCATGCTCTACCTGATGGTGAGTGGCAACCATCACTCCGAAAACTTGTTTAGTTTGTGGTTTCCTACCACCATAGTTGCCACAATAACTCAATTCTACTGTATGTTTTATCTATATATTAATACGTGAAGCAAAAGCGTTGTATCCATTTTTACCAAAATTACGCGGACGGAGGAGTATGAAATTTTCCATACTTATAGAGAATATATAGAAGAAGTGCAATACTGCACACAGCTAAAAAGGTTTCATTTTATTTCGAAGTCCATTTTATTTGCTATTAGCATCAACAGTTCGATGTTTTTAAATGAACTTCAATTAAGTTTACTCCATTCAAATATGTAGCTGAAGAAGTTTATTATTATGATATTTGTTCCAAATTTTAAACTCTAAATAGCTCTCCTGTGATGTCGCGAAAATCTTGCTTAAACCAAATACCCTTTCAGCCCTCGATATGTCTTTCAATCATCCACACAACGACAAAAAAATAATTTGTTTCAGTTGTTTGTTTGTGCGACGCAAACATAATTCGGGCGCTTTTGTCGTTAAGTATACCTAATTGTTCTTCGATCAACCCTTGTGACGACGACTGTCCACGAAGTGACCTTAATTGTTACAGATGCAGCTTCTACTTCGCCGAGTCGCTGAAGACGGGTGGATTCACCGCTCGGAGATGCCGCAACTTCGTCGAAGCCGTCAACCAGCAGTGCAACTTGCCGGAGACCGCGCAGATGGGAGGCTTACGGCCGAAAACCGGGTAAGAGCTGCAGTGGAATGAGAGAGCAGACGAAATTACGGTCTCGCTTTTCGAAGAGCGCATTTGAAGTCTTCACAGCCTGGAATCCCGTAGGCAGCTACCAATCGTTCTAATGAAATACTTGACAAAGTGTTCACTAATGAATAGGGAATAAGATCGTCTAATTAAAATCAAAGCCTGACAAAATAATTTATTTTGTTATTGATTAGTTTGGTGGACGAGCTCACAGCCCGCCTGGAGTTAGTGGTTACTGGAGCCCGTATACCACCACCTTGACAATTTCCGCAGTAATGCGTTTCGGTTTGAAGGGTGGGGCAGCGGTTGTAACTATACTAAGACCTTAAAACTCATATCTCAAGTTGGGTGGCGGCATTTACGTTGTAGATGTCTATGGACTCCGGTAACAACTTAACACCACGTGAATCGGGAGCTCGTCCACCCATTTGAGCAATAAAAAAAGATGTGCGTGTAACTTGGTGCACGAGAAAGAAGTGAAACTTATTTAGCAGTTTGTGGTTTTCTTCATTTTTCATCCCAAATCACATTTCTTTTGTAATAGTCAATGCTATGTATAAGAGAAACGACCTAGTTCGCTTTCTCCCTCTCTCCACAGTCGTGCGATTCGCGAGACGCTCTATTTTCTCACTCTCGCTCTTCCTAAATTGTATTTTTTCTCTCTAGCCGTAACGAATCTGTCACGAGTTACATTTTAAGCTCAACGCACCTTAAGAAGTATCATTTAAAAAAATTATTATATATGTTTTTTTTTTCAGCAAAACTGGCATCTTCCATTTGCGCACAAACGCCGGATCGCCATTCTCGTTAGGATAAATAGTGCAACTTTGAAACAGCGACGTACATATATGCATTTATGAATAAATGAGCAGTTTGTTCGTCTATTTCTTGTTTCTTATTAATTCTTCTCTAGAAAACCCTCTTACAACGCGCTAGAAACGAAATGCATTGCTACTTCACGGTAGAAATAGGCAGGGTGGTGATACCTACCCGTGCGGACTCACAAAAGGTCCTACCACCAGTAATTACGCAATTTATAATTTTGCGGGTTTGATTTTCATTACACGATATCATTCATTCACCGTGGAAGTCAATCGTGAACATTTGTTCAGTACGTATTTCATTAGAAAAAATGGTCTAGAAGGTACCTCGATTGTAAATACAAACGACAGTGAGAAATATAAAAGTAATTAATAATGTTACGCCGGTAAGAGTAACGCCATCTGTCGTCAAATAGCAGAAACGAGTATCAAAAGAACTAGTAAAATCGAGAACGCTCAATAAGTGCAACCCCATCTATTATCAAATAGCGGAAACACATATCGAAACCACTGGTCTTACCGGGAATGTTCTCGATAATTCTAGAGCTATATCGACTACTAGCTTTTGCCCGCGACTTCGTCCGCGTGGAATAGTTACTTTGGCATAACGCTAAATTTTACCCGCGACTTCACTTACAGTACTCAGGATTGGAACTTCATTACTGAACCGGTAGATGGCGTTGAAGAAGCTAGATTTTGAGATTTTTTGACAAACAATTTTTTAACTTTTCGTAATAAAAATTTTTTTTTTAATAAAAAGTATCTTATGTTACTTTTAATACCTCCAAGAATATGTGTGCAAAGTTTCATGATGATCGGTTGTGTAGTTTTCGCGCGAAAGCGTAACAAACAAACTTACATTCACATTTATATATTAGTAGGGATAAAAGCGTTTGCAGGGATGACACGAAGGCAGTTAGTAATCGGAACTACTCAAAGCAAAACAGCGAACGGATCACCTGAAGCGAAGCGGTAGAAGTGAATTGCGATTTTATAAAGTGTTCTTTAATTAGTATTGAATAGAGTTTTAATTTGTACTTCGGTGAAAGCTTAATTTATCCAGAGCCCTAGCGCGTAACAATAATAATTGAATAAGGAAAAATAACAAAATCTAAATTTACACAATTTCACTTACGTAACATAATTACTAAAAGGTTTTTACTTTTTAATATTTTTTAATTGCTTAGATGGGTGAATGAGCTCACTCACAGCCCACCTGATGTTAAGTGGTTACCCGAGCCCAAAGACATCTACAACGTAAATGCGCTACCATTAGTTCTAAGGTCTCAGTATAGTTACAACGGCTGCCCCACCCTTCAAACCGAAACGCATTACTACTTCACGGCGGGCCTTCCTTCGGGAGGGGGATCCTTCAACGGTAAAATCGACGAGCCGCAAAAAAAATTAATTAAATATAAAACTTGATTTACTACTTACTTTTAATATATCGGTTTTGATTGTGTGTTTAACACAATACAAACATATACGTAACGAAATTAACGACAATACTTAATATACTAGCAAAGTTTGGATGGGAAAAAACAATTGCCAAAAATGTTTAAGCAATCCAAACAATATCTATTGAGGAATTTCGACGCGTTTTGCGTTCATCGAAGATTAACAATTGAAATACTTGAATTAATGTATCCTGAACTGTGTTTATACAAATGTAATTTAAAATTGTTTAATTTGCTCAAAGAATTACCTACATGGCTTTTTTTTGATTTATTAATACTGTGACAATGTTTTCGGAGGTTTTCGTTCGGACGCAGAAGGTATTAAGTGAGATTCGTGACGCACAATATTGCAGTTACGTCCGCTTCGATAAAGCATTATATGTATTTAAGCTTTTGTTCAGTCTTATTGGAGATTCTTATTCAGTTATTGTCGTCATGGCCTAATGGATAAGACGGCCGTTGCGTTCGTATCGACCGACCCAAGTGTGCCGAGATTCGAATCCCGCAGGCGGGTACCAATTTTTCTAATGAAATACGTACTTTTTTTGACGTGACAACGTCGTATAATTCGATGGAGCCGGCTGCACGCACGAAAAAACATGACTCATGCGGCGTTACCTCGCTCTGAGGCGATGTGAGCGATGCATCCGCGTGGACAGCTGCTATACAATAATACATTTACATGTTTTCGTCAAGTATGAAGTTCAGTGAAAAGTGAATGTGGTGTCAATTGTTTATAGCAACGATAATTGCGATCATTAAAAAATGAAACCATTCCATCAGTATTTTCTTATGACGTTGTCACGTTCAACTATCGTTAGTAAACTTTACAGACAACCGATTTTTTTTATTGCTTATGTGGTTGGACGAGCTCACAGCCCACCTGGTGTTAAGTGGTTACTGGAGCCCATAGACATTTGCAACGTAAATGCGCCACCCACCTTGAGATATAAGTTCTAAGGTCTCAAGCCTTTGGGTCTGCGGAGGGACTTCGGTTCCCTCTGTATTTTGTACCGTATGTTCCATGGGGAGTGCTCTAAGAAATTGTTTGAGATGATCCCCTCATCTCCTTTTTATCATCGCACCTCCCGCCATCGGAGCAGAGTTCATCCATATCATCTGGAACCGCTGCGTTCATCGACAGTGCGTTTCCAGAGGTCTTTTTTGCCACGTACCATCAGGCTATGGAATGAGCTCCCCTCCACGGTGTTTCCTGAGCACTATGACATGTCCTTCTTTAAAAGAGACTTGTGGAGAGTATTAAGCGGTAGGCAGCGGCTTGGCTCTGCCCCTGGCATTGCTGAAGTCCATGGGCGACGGTAACCACTCACCATCAGGTGGGCTGTATGCTCGTCTGCCTGCAAGGGCAATAAAAAAAAAGTATGCCTTTCAAACCGAAATTGCAGCTTCACGGCAGAAATAGACAGGGCGGTAGTGCCTACCCGTGTGGACTCCTGAAGTCGTGAAGTCGTCGTGGCCTAAAGGATGAGACGTCCGGTGCATTCGTATCTAACGATGCACCGGTGTTCGAACCCCGCAGGCGGGTACCAATTTTTCTAATGAAATACGTACTTAAGAAATCTTCACGATTGACTTTCACGGTGAAGGAATAACATCGCTGAATAAAAATCAAACCCGAAAAATTATAATTTGTGTAAGTAACCTTGTTGCAAAGGGACATTTTACTCCGCTTACATATCACGGGGTAAGACAGACATGGAATTTATTTGGAAAAATTAATATATTTCTGTTGGATTTGAACATCCAATGTCTCTCACATCGGGCGTCTTAGCCCTAAACACGTCATTACGGATCCGCCCGATCCATTGACGGTGCTTTTAGGTACCTCAAGTACCGATCACCGTCCTCGTCGAACACGTCGCTTGCGACAAAGGGCTCGACGAGTAAATTAACCCATAGAGACAGCCCACTGAGTTTCTCGCCGGATCTTCTCAGTGGGTTACGTTTCCGATCCGGTGGTAGATTCTGCGAAGCACGGCTCTAGCTATGGTTCGTGTTAGCAACAACGTCAGGTTTAAGCCCCGCGAGCTCACTTACTAGTTCTGTGAATCTAGAATAACCTCGAGGCTACTAGGATTGGTAGAGAAAAAAATGCCTATACTATATATACGTTTCTAAATTACCCATTATACCTGTTGCTCTTAGATCTTTCTCCTCCCTGCGTCATATTCCTCGATGCTGAGAGTTCTGACCTTCCATATCACTTTGACTCGCACGATCTTTCTCTATCTCTTTCTGTCTCTGTCGATGAGGGTGCCGCTGTTAGATAATAAATATATAGTTTAAGAACGAAATTAAATCGCTCAAATAGCTTTTTATTTGTTTATTCTATACAGTTAGCTGTTTTTAGACATGCAGCCGTGGTTTTGAGATATGGTGAATCTGATTCCCACATTGGGAAAACATTGTGTGATGAGCAGAATTGTTTGCTCTTTGTCTGGGTGTTCATTATCTACCTATATATATAAGTCGGAGGCGCTGATTCCATGGTGTTTTTAAAATGATGACGTCGCTGATGCCATTCTCTTTATAATTATTATTGTTATTGCCTTCTATATTGACAGTAATTTAAACTTACTTTTCCAACCAAACTTACTTAAGCTTACTTTTCCTTTTATTGAATTTCAAGTGTACAACAACAATTACAACATCGAGCTCCGCACCGTTCGGCTGCTCGAGTCGGAATGTGTTGTGCGACAAAAGTAACTCGTATTTATAATAGATCAACGGGGGTGGTTTGTTCATTAATTTTCCTGAATACCGTCTTAAGCAATTGTTGACTAGCATTGGACTTATAACAGTTAACCAACAATTTTAACATTGAGGAAACTCTAATCTTAGTTAACTAAATAACAAGGTTGCGTCGGTATATAGATTTAAAAGTCCTTAAGTATGTATGTGTCAGGCTCTGGTGCCCATAACACAGGGAATCCTAATTTGTGACCGGATAACTTAGCGGGATTTGTTTCCAGTTGTTTCCATTTATTTATGTAGTATTGGAAGTAACTTATAAGGACTCATCTGGTTCCAAGATTCAAGATATACGAGCATTCTTAGCGCGGAACCACATTCCTAATTTACTGGTGGTACACCTCTTGTGAGTCCGCATGGGTAGGTACCACCACCCTGCCTATATCTGCCGTGAAGTAGTATTGCGTTTCAGTTTGAAGGGTGGGGCAACCGTTGTAACTATACTGAGACCTTAGAACTAGTATCTCAAGGTGGGTGGCGGCATTTACGTTGTAGATGTCTATGGGCTACGGTAACCACATAACACCAGGTGGGCTGTGGAGCTCGTCCACCCATCTATGCTATAAAAATACAAATTCTCAGGTTTTGCAACAACAATAGAAGCGGCGTTTAAAAGTTAATTGTCCCTTCGATTTGCTATTTAAGTGCGTGTATTTTAGCTTTAAGAATCACATAGATATGTTATGTTATTTCATATTACGGTTCGTATTATGGAGCACTTGCGCAAACACCGCTGACATATAACGTTATACATATATAAACTGGTATAGTTCGGTCGGGGCTTATTCAATTCATTTTATGTGTACGAGGTTGGTGCTAGAGGAAATGGATTGGACAAAGTATTTGGTGCTATTTATTTTGGTAAGTTTCGTTTGGTTATAACCTGAATAGTTTTTTTTTATTGCTCACGAGCTCACAGCAAACCTGGTGTTAAGCGGTTACCGGAGCCCATAGACATCTACAACGTAAATGCCGCCACTTACCTTGAGATATAAATTCTAAGGTCTCAGGATAGCTACAACGGCTGCCCCACCCTTCAAACCGAAACGTATTACTGCTTCAGAGCAGAAATAGGCGGGGTGATGGTACCTACCCGTACGGACTCACAAGAGGTCCTGCCACCAGTAATACTGCTTGACTCTATTGAGGACAGCATTTTAGATTCCCACTTAATTTAGCACCGGTGCCCAACGCGGCGCACTGAAGTAATCATCTCTCAATCTACGTGACGACCGCTCTCTCTGTGTGTTTGTACCGTATGTTCTAAGGTTAGCGCCGTAATCAAAAGCTTGTGATAACCGTTGCCATCGCCCATGGACATTAGCAATGGCAGTCAACAAAGTCATTTGACTTAGAAATCCCTTAAAAAATTTAAGTATCATCATAATGCTTGGAAAACAATTTCGTTACACAGATGGTCGTGGTATCATCTACTTCGACCTCAAAGAAGACCCACCATGAACATTCGCATTCTTCTCACAAAGTCGAGAAGAATTCGAAGATCGAGAAAGCTCTTTTAACAAAGGTAATTCATTCCTAAGCTTAGATCGCCAAGTGGGTTAAGTGTTTTTTTTATTTGTCTCATATTGCGTACAAGGATCAACGAGTGCACCTTGAGGCTTGAGGTTTCTTTTTTTTTCGCGTTAGCGGGGGGAATTCCTCATGGATACCCAAGGGCCCGGGCCAATGGGCATGCCCGACTCCACTGAGAAAGTGTCTCAGTGACCTACGGACTAAAACCTTCCCTCCTGGTTATCTGTCCCTTTTTATTGTGGGACAACCTTTATCCATGTGTTAGTCATTAGCCCATTTTCAATTTGCACGGTTCTTTTTTTTTTAATATATTGGTTTGAATTTAATTGAATTTAAATTGGTTTGAATTGAGGCTTGAGGTTGGAGTCTCAATCGTATAAGATTTGACCCAAACTTCAGACAAAACACATGTCTTTTTCGCGGCTGTGGTACCTACTCGCGCGGGCTTAGAATAACTGGCGTTTTCACACGTCTGAAGTTTGACAGCCGCTGAATAGTTTGTTATAATCAGTATACTCGTTCTGATTTCAGAGTCATGGACCGTTCTCATCGTACGGTGAGTGTACATAGAGTTTTTTCAGTAATTCGACTATAATTTACTGAAATTATAAGTTTGAACATTATTATGGTTCTATTGTCAAAGACTATTATATTTCTATAATCACAGATTTCGCCAAAACTACACTGTAGACAAATAACATTAAAGACAAACAACATTAATCTATCTATATAAAAGGTCTCAGTATTGTTACAACAGCTGCCCCACCCTTCAAACCGAAACGCATTACTGCTTCACGGCAGAAATAGGTAGGGTGGTGATACCTACCAGTGCGGACTAAGTAAGTTCAGTTAAACTTAATAAGATTCGGTTAAAAATTCTTTCAAAGACATCCGTGTTCATTGCGTGACAAGCTTTCAATATCGAACCTCTGCTATTTTTAATTTAATACACAAAATCATCCGATTGGCGGGTACTTAATAATGTTTTTTTTTATTTCCTTTCCCAGGTTTATTCGCTTCAGCCTTCTCAGGTAATTATTTAATTTATATTCCGGAGGCGTAATGTTCTTATGGTACTAAAGCTTCTAAAAAGATGAGATTGCAATAATAAATCCCTCATCAAGATCATCATTCTTCTGCCCTTCTCCCAGTCACCTGGGGTCGGCGCAACATGTTTTCTCCTTCCACACTCTTCTATCATATACCATTACTTCGCTTATTCTCCCCTCTTACCCATATAGTCTTTCACGCAATCCATCCATTTCTTAGGTCTACCTCTTCCTCTATATCCTTCCATATTCATAGTTAACACTCTCTTACCAACCTCATTCTCATTTCGTCTCATCACATGTCCATACCATCCCAAACGCGTACTTCTCAGCTTCTCTGTCACAGGTGCCACTTTCAGACTTCCTCTAACTTATTCATTCCGTATTCTATCCATTCTCGTTACTCCACACATCCATCGCATCATTTGCATCTCTTCTGCATGCAATCGCCTTTCACCCGCCACTTTAGTCGTCCAGAAAGCGGCTTCATACAAGACGGTAGGCCTTATTAAGGTCTTATAATAATATATCTTCCCTTTTAGGGTAAGAGAAATGTGTAAGTCACATGTGGTACAATAATAAATCTCTATTAACATGATCTTTACAACATAACTCGGAAGACTAATATCCGCCTGATTATTTGTCAGTGTGGCTCATGGACCAACGCAAGAAGATAAGTCACAGGCTGCGTTATCGCGAAGGTCTGATGCAAACCATTAATGCCACGCGTCAGTCCATGCTAAATCGATTTCCATTGCGCGCCAAGCTCTCTGTGTATACATGGTTGATCGCGGCTTTTGTCTAGTTTCACTGCTGCTGTCCAATGACTCCGACAATCACTTAACAGCGGAAGTTTGACGACGTTCTTCGACAATAATTTGGTTTAAGCGACATTTATTTATGTAATTAAAGGTGCATTTTATTTGGTAAGTTTACCTCATTCCAATAGCTGAAGAAGTTTTTTTGTTATGACATATTTTCCAAATGTTTAAACTTCAAATGGCTCTCCTGTAATGTCGCTTAAACCAAATAAATTATAGTCTTTCACTTCTCGATATTTACCCAGTCCCTGTTTATTCACTAATTTGTTTATTCACAAAATAATTCTAAGCTACCAACGAAGTCGCATCGAAAAGAAAATTTCAAATAATTTAATCCAAAGCGAATTCACTCTAACAATTAACCTGTTTAATTTTTTCTTTCGTTATTTCAGATCACAAAACCTCACACAGGATATTAAAGGAAATATCGGAATTGAGTGAGTTAATCGTTCGGTTCGTTAACTCCCCCTCAGTTTTTTCCCCCTACCTATGCTGATAGCCTTGAAAGGCTATTTCAGATTGTTGCTAACATTGACCCTAGCAAGAGCAGTTCTTCGCAGAATCTACTACCGGATCGGAAACGTGACTCACTGAAGATCCGGCGGGAAATTCAGTAGGCTGTAAAAGTCTGAGAGTCGTCAATTTTACGGGGCAATCTGTTGTCCTCTGCGCAGTGGAATAGCGACACTGATGCTGGAGTCCAATGTCGTCTAAATTCGATCAGACCAGCGCATGGTTTCTCTTCCCATCAAATTTGCCATTAATGAGTACCTTTTCGAGATTGTCACCCTTATTCCTCACAAAGACCTTCAAAACAACGTTTCGTTAATGTTATTTGTGAACATAACAAATTATCTAATATTTTTATTTGTTCTACAGAAGCGGCGACTAACTTAAATGAAGCATTCCACGGAATTTACTTGAGTAAGTTTGTTAATAAATAGCTTTTATTTATTTACTTACACACAAAAGAAGATATAGTACAGAGTAATAGGAAAACTATGTACAAAAGAAGAGCTTTTAATTTCGATGACGTAATTTAAAAACAGTAGTCACAGCCTAAAGGATAAGACGTCCGGTGCATTCGTATCTAGCGATGCAACGGTGTTCGAATCCCGCAGGCGGGTACCAATTTTTCTAATGAAATACGTACTTGACATACGTTCACGATTGACTTCCACGGTGAAGGAATAACATCGTGTAATTTAAAATGAAATTCGCAAAATTATTATTTGCATAATTATTGGTAGGACCTCTTGTCCGCGCGGGTGGGTCCACCACTCTGCCTATTTCTTCCGTGAAGCAGTAATGCGTTTCGGTTTGAAGGGTAGCCGTTTTACTGTAAAATTGAGACTTTAGAACTCTTATCCCAAGGTGAGTGGTGGCTTTTAAGTTGTCGATGTCTATGCCCCCAGTAAGCACTTAACACCAGGTAGTTGTGAGGTCTTCCACCCATCTAAGCAATATATTAAAAAAAAACAATTTTACTCTTCATGGATCTTTAGATATGTTGTCCTTTTCTTTTAATCTTCATCTGTTTTAATCAACTTCCTCTTTTCAGTTGCTAAAGTCGTCTCCGACACCATTGAGGAGTGGATTCCAGAACGTAAGTGTGTTTATTAACAATTCTACCGGCGAATAGAATGAATCTTATAGAAAAACTAGCTATACTCGCCCGCTTCGCTGGGCATTTAAAATTAACACTAGACGTGGACCGAGCTTTGCTCGTTTTTTTTATTTATAAATTGTGTTTTTTAGAAGTTATATTTAAATACGAATTAAATATTGATAAAATTCCAAGATCGTTTAGACATTTTTAAGTATCTTCGGGTGGTTTAACAACGCCCTCTGCTAGCTTTAGTGTTATTGTGTCTTTAAAGCAGTTAGTTGCTCTCAATTATGAAAAATTGTATTATTATTCGCCAATAGATGTCGGAAAGAGTCATAAAATTGATTATCGATAAAGTTGATTATTAAAAACACGAATAAAATAACATTTTCTGAAAATAAATTGTAGCTAGATCGATTTATCGCCCCCGAAATCCCCTGTATACTAAATTTTATAAAAATCGTTGGAGCCGTTTCCGAGATTCAGAATATATATACAGTCAAAATCTGTTATAACGACATCGAAGGGACTGCTCATATTCAGTCGTAAAAACCGATAGTCGTAACAACCGGTGATGTTTAATGTGTATCGTGCAAATACAAACAAATCGATAGGGAATTATTGGAAAAATATATTTACATAATACGCGATTTTTCTTCAATATTAATTTGTTTTCTTTTTCTTTGCGTAATTTTGAAAGTTTCACGAATAACTCCACAAAGTTTTGGTGCGTCTTGTGTATAGATAAGTAACAAACTAACTGAAGAGATATGAAGAAGCGGGCTTTGACTACCGCATGCACGTGTTTTGTTTCTAAGAATTAGAAAAGACCCTACACTAAACAAATCCTATTGTTTTCTTTCCTGATTTTAAAAGCCATTGAAGACAAATGTGGATACCTATTCAAATTGTTTACAATACAGCTTAGCCGGTCGTTGTAACAGATCTAATTCTCCGAAATATTAGTTAAATGTGGTCGTTTTATGAGGTATGTCGTTATTACCAATGTCGTAGAAAGCAATATTTTTAATAAGGCGGTCATATGGCATTCAGCCGGGACCTTTGTTCTTGGTTATTATAACCGGCATGTTGTATTAAACGATGTCGCAGTAAACGGTTTTGACTGTATATATATATATATATATAAGAATAGCTCGTTTAAAAGTATGAGATATAAGATTATTATTTATTGTCATTATTATTAGGGAGTTCAACTCTCATATAAATATTAGCCTATCCATTAAGTACATGTATTTTCTACATGGATACCAAGTTTCAAGTCAATCGGATGCATGGTTCAGTAGTTATAAGGGAGTATCCGTAAAAAACACTGTAGATTTATATATTAGTATAGATGAGCGAGGCTGATAGTTTTTTTCAATGACTCTATTATTACACGAGGTAGTGGATGGAGGGTAGAGCTAAGAAGCAACACCTTCTATATGGTGATAGGTTGATGAAGTGTCCGCCTGTAAACAGCGAGCTATTGTTGGAAGACTCACCGAAATAGCGCTAGTGTAGGAAGTGGAAATGATATGAATATAGCAGTTTTAAACAGAGCGAGGTTTTTTTCCTACCTAAGGGCGACGCATCGATTTCATATTTCGTATATTCATATATCTTTAATTGTCACATAAGGACTAATAAATATATCAAAACCAATAAACACAATCCACTCTCATTTACCACAACGCAACATATGGTCCTAACCTAGAGGGCAATACCAGCGTAACCTGACGAGTAAGTGTGAGCTCACGGAGCTCACATCTGAGGACGATGCTAACTCGTAATGATATACGCGAAAGCTACTCTGTGTGGAATATTATTTCTATTCGCAATAACTGTTTGTAGTTAATTGTGTTCTGGCTTGAAGCGTAGGACAAACATTATTTCAATAAAAGTTGAAATTTCCAGCTCGTCTCTCCAATCAATGCAATAGAAAAATTTTCCCTCCAAAATTAACTTGGAAAAGTTTTTTTTTTGTTCAAAGTCGTTTTATTTTATTTTGGAAAACTAAATAGATACATATATGCGTATATATAAATTAAAATTGCATATTACAAACACTAAAAATCTAATCTTAAGAACTTCGAGAAATAAGTCAATAAAAACAAACTAGGTGGCGCTAGTGCCCTTTTCATAAGACTTCAATGTATGCAATTAAGTTTTGAACGAAGTTCCTTATGGGACGATGCGGAGGGGTACTCTAACAGGGAAAAAACGTCCATAACGTAAGATTTTTATTAGTAATGCACCCAGTGTACGACTTAACTTTGTAATAACGTAAAAAAAAAAACATTTTTTTATCATTCATTTACCACGATCTCAGAGCGTTCGTTTACGCAATAAACTAACTCTTATGCAAACAACCGTGAATGAAGTGTACCATAATAAGTTCGCACGTTACCGAATGACCGTGGGTTGTTGCGAAACCTCCAGTTTTATTTTCTTTATACCTCGAATAGAACATAAAATTAATATATTTATAATAAGGAACTTCGGTCATATCTAGTATCCCACGACACCACACATCTTTTTGTTTTCTAAGTACAGATATTAACAGTGTTAGTTTTAATATCGAATAATCTTTGTGTACATGTCAAAGTTTAATTTATTTCTTTCCAGTTGGCACAGCTGTCGCGAGACGTAAGTCGTTTATCAATGTTTTGTTTGAATATATTATACAAATTCAATTTACCAGAAATACGTAAATTTGGTTTGGCAAACACATTTTTCGGAACACATGTTTATTGTTGACACTGCCTAAAATGAATCCGCTAGGTATTTCATTTATGTAAAATTGGCTCGCTTTACTCAGCATGACTTTTACTATCTTTTACGATTATACTAACTTTAAAAAACGCGGAGACACATTCGATTTTGTTAAGTAATTCACCACGTACCATCCGGCTATGGAATGAGCTCCCCTCCACGGTGTTTCCCGAGCGCTATGACATGTCCTTCTTCAAACGAGGCTTGTGGAGAGTACTCAACGGTAGGCAGCGGCTTGGCTCCGCCCCTGGCATTGCTGAAGTCCATGGGCGACGGTAATCACTCACCATCAGGTGGGCCGTATGCTCGTCTGCCTACTAGGGCAATAAAAAAAACGTTAATATCCGTTCTAGCTAAACTAATTATAGCACCACTAGCTTTTGCCCGCGACTTCGTCCGCGTGGAATAGTTCACAAATAATGCTTTATTTTAGAACAAATTTGGTTAGCATAAAAAAACGTTATAGTGAACCAACCTTAACATATAGACTATATGCTTTTTTTTAGATCTTTTAAAGGGGAACAATTCTGTCATACATTATTTTAGCGAAACTGTAACAGTTTCTGCAGCGCACACAACGGAATCTCTCAAAAGGGAAAAGAACCCCAATTTTGAAACATTCTTTATTGGTTGCAAAAATGTCGCTTAAAGCTAATTGCATTTTAACCCTCGTTATAATAATTTCATTATTTAATCCATATCATTTTTGGAATTCAATTACCAATTACCTATTTATGAGAAGCTTGTAGAAGTAATTCTCTGTACTTTGTCAATATAATAACATGGATAGTTCAAAATCAAAGGCGATGTCAACAATGTACATACATTAAGATTATATAGTTAGTTAAAACACCGCTAGATGGTGCTACTGTTATCTAGTGTGATCTAGATCAGCCGCGTGAATTTTTTCATAGTTTTAACGCTAAATTTTTCCAGTTTTCCTCGCTCTCGGTCGAGGCCACGCCTGCCTCCCCGGCGGAGCCCTAAAACAACTGGCCAAAGGTAATTTATTCGAGCGCTATTTACACAGATGTTTCTTTATTAACGTGTTGCCGTGATTATAAATTAAATTTAACTTTAATCAAATCGCTATAAAGCTGATTTTATAAAGATTCTTATACAAATATCGCATCGCATTCACACACTAACACCATATTCGAATTTCCTTGACAAAGGATCTTGTATTGTGTGATTCCAATTCGTTAATATTTACTTATGTTTTCGTTGCGTAATACAGTACACATGAGGTTTCGACCTCACGTCTCAAGGGTTGTGTGCTGCGCGTTGTGATGAGCTCGCTAGCCACTTGATACTAGATGGTTCACAAGACGAGCCTTACCTTGACCGCTCACCAAAGAAAAATCATGGAGGCCTTGAAAAACATCGCCTAATAATCCATTTCCTACATGACTAAGGAAAGATCACTCGACAATTTTGGTCAATGTTTATTTGAAAAATTAACCCTTTGCGCTCTTAAGACTATACGTCCAATGCGTGTGGAAATTGGACCTCAAAGCGTTAATGATGTGTTAGCACCAACAGAGAAAAGCTTTTCAGGTAAACAACCTAGGAGCTTCGCACTTAAAAAAACGAAGAAAAAAACACTTTTATTATTATTTCTTCTTTATTTCTTCTATCTATCTTTATTTCACTAATTCCCCGTCAAAATCGCAAACAATAATGTATGAACATTATGCACAGATTTGGATCTAGACATTTGCAAGAAGGACTACGGCGTGGAATGGGGCTGGGAGTATTATGAGGGAGAATACGACGATGTCTCATCTTACTTGACTGGCTGCGGTCTGGACTCGGATTACTTCAGCAAAATAACTAGTCTAATTGAAAACAGCGGGAACTTCACAGGTAAACTAGCCGACCCGACAGACGTTGTCCTTTGACACAAAAATTCACTCAAATCGGTCCAGCCGTTTGTTGCCGTATAGCTATATAGCCTAGATACCGACTGTAGCGCCATCTGCCGGGCTGATTTGTGAATCTAGATCATCCGGGACGTCACCCAAATGCACACAAAAAAAATCATTCAAATCGGTCCAGCCGTTTAGGAGGAGTTCAGACGCACAGGATACACGCACAGAAGAAATTAAATAAAGGTATATATATTATTAATTCGTAGAGCTACACGGCAGTACGCGGAAACCAAATAAGGGCAATAGTACATATTTTGTTCTATTAATTGAAGATGCAGTTTATGATGTAATCTCGCGTTTCAGAAGATGATAAATGTAATATTAAACCTCAATAGTAGTTTTGGTTCTGATGACGAAGACAAACTATTCGTGTTTATTGAAGTGAAACTTCTTTAGGCGCGTTGAAAGTAAAATCTCGCGAACCACTCGACCGTGGAGAGAGGGAGGAGGACAAAGCGAGCTAGGTCGTTTCCCTTATACACAGCAATCCATAACAAGAAAATTTTGATTTAAGAATGAAAAATGAAGAAAACCGCAATACTGCACACCGCAAAAGAAGTCTCACTTCTTACACCACGTGCACCAAGTTGCACGCCCATCTCTTTATGTTTGTTTTTGACGGACATCCTGAACAGTGTTATTTGGTGGGCTTTTAACACCATTTTTATATCAGTTCGCGATATCTCTCATATATCTTTTAACCCCCTAACGTCCATTTCTGGCCTCCCCGAAGCCTGACCACGAGTCTCGGTCCCCCGCTGTTTGCATCCAGCCAATTCCTACAACCTTCAACAGACCGTTCGTTCACCGTGTGTGAGGCCTAATTTACTTCGATTTATTTTCCTCCATAGGTCGGTATATGTCGGTATTTTTAACGCGAGTGTCTTCTTGCAGAAGGAAGACCCCGCATAATCATCAAAGCGGTCAAAGAACTATTGGAGATTTTCAAACGTAAGTAAAGTAAGAAATTAACTTCGGAAGGGATAATTCTAATATATCAGTGAATGGGCAGACGAAGACAAGCCTATCGTATTAAGAAACCATCAGGTCTCACGCCGTAAACCTAGCCTTGAGATATGAGGCCTTTGAACCGGAACGCGCGAGTACTCTCCAGAAATACGACGATGGTCCTCACAAGAACGGATTCACGATACGTAATCGCACTATGCTGCAACTCAGAGTGCTGCTGCCCATTCTCTCCAGGTAGTCCTTTAGTCATCTTACAACTGCTACGGGAAGAGATGGCCAGATTCTCCTGGGTCACACATCCATGAAGCTATAACTATATTGATACAGCCCTTGACTTCCAAAGGACTGGCTTGCTTTTTGCCAGCAGTATTGCAGCATTCTCCCCCATTTATAGGGGTAAAAACTAGGGGACAAATAGGAAAATACACATTACTTAGTAAGAGAAAAATAGGACTAGGGTTGAGGAATAATAATTCTACTATGTTACAAAGTTAAGGTAGAGACCAAAGTCGTGCCTGTGGTGATTTGGTGACTATAGTATAGCCTTGAGGAGTTATTTGAGATAGACTGGTCATCTTAGTTTTACTTTTCCACCACCCTCCACCGCCCCAGATTCGATCCACTCAATCTTGAACCAACACATGCAGTCAAAGATCTTTAAACCATGCAATGCATTTACTACTTACCTTCTTAAATGATAACACCTAATCTCTTAACACTAGTCCGCGACATCTGCTAACGAATTAACCTAATCTAATCTATTCTAAGAGATACCCTGGAGATCAATAATACAGGTCTTTCAACCTAGTACAGACTTCAGCTCTTTCAAAGGTTAACGAAATAAATTATAAGGTTAATCAATATTTGTATTTTTTTTTGTTGCTTAGATGGGTGGACGAGCTCACAGCCCACCTGGTGTTAAGTGGTTACTAGAGCCATAGACATCCACAACGTAAATGCGTCACCCACCTTGAGATATAAGTTCTAAGGTCTCAAGTATAGTTACAACGGCTGCCCCACCATTCAAACCGAAACGCATTACTGCTTCACGGCAGACACTCGGGTTTGAGCCCCGTGAGCTCACGCCAAGGAGAAGCTGAAATAACTGGTGGCAGGACCTCTTGTGAGCCCGCAGGAGTAGGTACCACTATCCTGCCTGCATTCCATATATTAAGCAATATTCACAGACCATTACTAACACTGACTATTGTCATATATTTCTTCACAGGCGACCCAAGCAGCTGGAGTCTAAATGAATTCGGAATTGGTTTGGCTCAATGTGAGTATTGTGTTAATTTATATAAACTAGTGGTCCCCCGGTAGTCGAAATTTACTTTTTTTTTACTTATTTTACTTTTTTACGCCTTGCTCATTAAATCGTCTTCGCCATCTTCCTTGTCTGTCATTCTCTTTTCCCTTTCCTACCGTTTTCTCTCACTCACATCTTAACTTTCCCTTCCACATTGTTTCATACGTTCCGTTCTCACCGATCTTACATCTATATCTTAATACGTAAAGCAAAAACTTTGTATCCCTTTTTACGAAAATTGCCCGGACGGAGGGCTATGAAATTTTCCACAAATTTCCACTTCAAGACAATATAGAGAACGAGTGCACAATAGTAATATTTTTTATTATGCATGAGAAATTCATTAAATCAATAAAATAAAAACATTACACACACTACCATGTATTTGACACAACACGCATGCATACTATTTGTTTATTGTCAATTATTGTTATTGTTTAAGGTCTGTGGTCAAATTGAGAATAGATTAATATTGTTTGTCTCTATTAATATTTTTCTAAAGTGTAGTTTTGGCGAAATCTGTGATTATAGAAGTCTATTAGTCTTTGACAATAGAACCATGATAATGTTCAAACTTATAATTTCAATAAATTATAGTAGAATTTCGACTACTGCGGGACCACTAGTAGGTACACGTAAAAACAAATCAACGAAATGGGAAATTCTGGTTTTTCTCGCAGTCGTTAAACAACGACTTTTGTGGCCCATGGACAGCTCCTTGAGACATGAGGTCCAAGTCTAGATTGTACCATGGCCGTACTAGCCTCAAACGGGTCCAAGACTACCTTACCTAAATATTCAAACCGATGCATGTATGATTACACTAAATTAAGAACTAGAATACAGTAGAAGCTCCTTATGCGCGCTTCCTCCTTTGCATTTTCACTATTTACATTGATAAAAAGTAGTCCAATATCCTTTGAAAGCGCGTCGTCAAATGGACTAATAAAAAAGTTAAATAAACCTTATTACAACTACGCCTAAAGTATGTTATGATTTTGTCACGTACGGAACGTAACCCCTATAATTCCGTATGTAGAGGGTTGAAAGGCTTTATAACTAGTCAGGTCATAAGTAGTTTATTGAATTCGAATTTCGAATTGTTCATGAAAATAAAAATGTATACTTTTAGAATTTTACTCATTTTTAAATATGGAGTGGACGCTTAAAGAAGACCGTGTTGCAGTTATTGCGTTGCATCGTTGCGGTTACGCGCCAATTAAAATTTTTAACATACTGACAAATTTGAATATAACCAATAGATTCGTTTATCGTACCATCAAACGATACAATGAAGACTCTAGTGTAGATGACAGGTCAAGAAGTGGTCGCCCTCGGTCTGTTAGGACTCCAGCAGTGATAAAAGCTGTGAAGGCGCGAATTCAAAGAAATCCCAAACGTAAGCAGAAACTGTTGGCCCTTCAGATGGGGTTAAGTAGAACCACGGTGAAAAGGGTGTTAAATGAAGACTTAGGGCTTCGGGCATATCGAAGAAAAACAGGACATCGTTTGAATGCTCGTCTAATGGACCTGAGACTGAAGAGATGCCGCGCTTTGTTGAAGCGGTACGCGGGAAAAAAATATCGGGAAATTCTTTTTTCGGATGAAAAAATTTTTACCGTAGAAGAGAGCTACAACAAACAAAATGATAAGGTGTACGCACACAGTAGTGAAGAAGCGAGCAACCGTATTCCGCGTGTCCAACGAGGTCATTTTCCATCCTCGCTCATGGTATGGTTGGGAGTTTCTTATTGGGGCTTAACAGAGGTACATTTTTGTGAGAAAGGTGTAAAAACGAATGCAGTTGTGTATCAAAATACAGTCCTGACGAACCTTGTGGAACCTGTTTCTCATACCATGTTCAATAACAGGCACTGGGTATTCCAACAAGATTCGGCGCCAGCTCATAGAGCGAAGAGCACACAAGACTGGCTGGCGGCGCGTGAAATCGACTTCATCCGGCACGAAGACTGGCCCTCCTCCAGTCCAGATTTGAATCCGTTAGATTACAAGATATGGCAACACTTGGAGGAAAAGGCGTGCTCAAAGCCTCATCCCAATTTGGAGTCACTCAAGACATCCTTGATTAAGGCAGCCGCCGATATTGACATGGACCTCGTTCGTGCTGCGATAGACGACTGGCCGCGCAGATTGAAGGCCTGTATTCAAAATCACGGAGGTCATTTTGTATAAACTTTAGTGTCATAAGAATCTATGTTTTGTTAAGTTCATTTTGGTATATGAATGGTTACATAATGAATAAACTTGTTTCAATTATTTTACATTAAACATGTGACAGAATTTATGACCTGACTAGGTATATGCTTTAAGCGACATTTCACTAAAAACGCGACATTTATCTTTGTAACTAAAGATTCATTTTATTTGGAATTTGTATTAACAAATTCGATGTTTTAATTGAACTTAACTTACTAATTAAGATTACTTCACTCACTTAACTTACTAATTAAGATTACTACATTCAAATATGTAGCCGAAGAATTGTTTTTGTTATGATATGTTTTCCAAATGCTTAAACTTTAAATGTAATTATCTTCTTTAAGTTTAATTCTCCTGTAAAATTGCAAAAATGTCGCTCAAACCAACCACCCTTTCACCCCTCGATATGTAAATTATCATTCCGCATTCACGTATCTCTGTATTCACGGCATATTCACGGAACATGTACATCGCGAATAAAAAGCTCTTACTGTGTAACGGTCTTTAATAACATGATCTTTTTTGTTTTAAATTGACAGTGATAAAGACAGCCGCGGTCCTGGCAGAGAGCTATCGCGTCGGCTGTGAGTATTCAGTTGGCAATGTCAACGATTGGGTTACCCACTTACTTACATGAGGGGCAGGCTTGCAGATCTAGTTGTCAATGGGGTCCTAATGTTTACGAGGGGGGGAGCGTGGGTACGTCAATGATTGGATTACCCCCTTACTTACATGAGCGGGGGGCAGGCTCGCAGAACTAGTTGTCAGTGGGGTCCTAATGCTTACGAGTGGGGGGAGCGTGGGTATGTCAATGATTCGGTTACCCCCTTACTTACATAAGCGGGGGGCAGGCTTGCAGAACTAGTTGTCAGTGGGGTCCTAATGCTTACGAGTGGAGGGAGCGTAGGTATGTCAATGATTGGGTCACCCCCTTACTCCTTACTTACATAAGCGGGGGGGCAGGCTCGCAGAACTAGTTGTCAGTGGGGTCCTAATACTTACGAGTGGGGGGAGCGTGGGTGTGTCAATGATTGGATTACCCCCTTACTTACATAAGCGGGGGACAGGCTCGCAGAACTAGTTGTCAGTGGGGTCCTAATGCTTACGAGTGGGGGGAGCGTGGGTATGTCAATGATTGGGTTACCCCCCCTTACTTACGTGAGCGGGGGGCAGGCTCGCAGAACTAGTTGTCAGTGGGGTCCTAATGGGTACGAGAGGGGGGAGCGTGAGTGGGCCGCCCGTAGTGGCTGGAAAGCCTGCAGAGGATCGTGGTCCGTTGGATGCAGCGTGGGACCAACAATGGCGAGACTTAAGGGAGATATGTATCCGGAAGTGGACATGAACTTTCAGGAGGGGGACGTATTCAAACGTTCTATAAAGAGCTATCTGGATTCAGAGGAGATAAAAGTGTCTAATGCGTGCGAGCTGGGCGTCACTATAGGGGAAAGGGGGAACAAAATGGCACTAAATATATAAAAATGTCGCTTAACCCAAATAACCTTTCACCCGTCGATATATTATACACATTATATATACTAATAATGTTCGTTTGTTTTCAGTGGGAACACAAATCGTTGATGGTGAGTTTTCTCTCTTTGGTTTATTTATTTCTTTAATTAACTGTATAGATAAAAAGATACATTGCCATGATAAATGTCACCTCAATTATAAGTAGAAACGTCTGTGCAATAGTTACTGACTGAGTTTCTCGCCGGATCTTCTCAGTCGTCGTGGCCTAAAGGATAAGACGTCCAGTGCATTCGTATCTAGCGATGCACCGGTGTTCGAATCCCGCAGGCGGGTACCAAATTTTCTAATGAAATACGTACTTAACAAATGTTCACGATTAACTTCCACGGTGAAGGAATAACATCGTGTAATAAAAATGAAACCCGCAAAATTATATTTTGCGTAATTACTGGTGGTAGATCCTCTTGTGAAGAATACTGAGAATGAATCTACTTCTAAGAGACCTAAATGACTAGAATATACATTACCAAACAAAAGAAGGTAAAGAGTTAGGCAATCCAGGCGCTTTAGTAGCAGAAATTGACGTAATTACTTCAATGCGCCGCGTAGGGCACCGTTGACCTATATAACAGTCAAAGGGTTAAAATTTAGAAAAGATATCAGAACAAAAAAACTTCTTCATCTTTTCGAATGAAGTAAACTCAATTGAAGTTCAATTAAAAACATCGAACTGTTGATGATAATACCAAACGATACGCACTCTTAATTACAAAGATAAATATGGCGTGTTAACACGTTGACTGCGTTATGCGACTTAAAAGCCCCACACGCGACTATTCCCTGATGCCGCACTCAAAACTTTTCGCTTGGTGCGTTAAGACGACAAGTCCACATTCCTATAGGTATGGGTAAATTCGAAAACATTTTTGAGGCCTATCAGGTCTCGTACGTTAAATAAGTCTAATCTTACCTCGGAAAAACTTCATACGTACTGGCTAAAAATCCTTCAAAAAGTCTCGCAGTCAACGTGTTAAGCGAAACTTCGCTTAAACCAAATAGCCTTTTTACCCTCGATTATGACATGCATATATTATTTATGTGACATCGTATTTCACATATCAATAACAGCTTAATACAAACGGTGCGTTTCTCTGGCAGGTTTCCGGCAGTTCTTCTACGACGTCAGTCAGGAGTACGGAATCGGTAAGAATTATTATAACCATTCCATTCGTTTCATCGAAGATCTGATTGTTAGTTACGATTCTTTTGCTGTCCGCTGAAAATAATCAAAATAATATTACCAAATAACAATGAAACCTGTGTGTGACCTGTGAAACCTGTGACTGACGTATAAAAAGCATTTAACTGTTTCATCTTCAATCTATATGTTTACGTATGTAGATAGAGAAGCAGTCGTAAGACACCGGGCGGCTTATCCATTAGGCCATGACGCGACGATAAATAATTAATCGACAAAGCTCACAATATCGTTTTGTATTACAGAAATTACAACACAACTCGAGGACATCAAAGAAGCGATTAAGAGCACGAAATGCTTCAATTTCGGTGTTCTGAAGTCGTGCGACAGCGGTTACACCGAAATCGATGACCTCAACGACAATGACAAGCCAGCTCCTCGGCAGAGTGGTGCCGAAACTGTTATAGTCTACACGGACGCCGACAATGACGATGACGACTTCAGCGATCTAGATGAAGAAATAATAAGACTGTTCTCCTCCGACGAGGAAATCGATGACGACAAATCCGTCATTCCACTTGACTACGCAAGAGCGAACGATGAATCGTGGTACGTCAACGATGCGGGCTACGAAGATACAGTTTTAGATGACAATGGTGACGCTGCAAACGAAAATACCGACAGATCTGGAGGCTTCATTGTTAATGATTCACAAGCAACTGACACCATCACTGGTGGTGGTAAACGAAAAGGCAGCGCTGACAACGATGATGATCAACGTGTAGTCGAAACCTTTATTGATGAAGTGGCTAACTCTGATGATCCCTCATTTAACAATAAATACACTTGGAACTATATTAAAGCGCAAAAAGACAAATACTCTGATGGTGATAATAGTGACGGTAAATTTAAGGAGTTGTCCGACTCGGACTACAAAGAGGATCATCGATCCCAAAAAACGTTCACCAAAACGGTCGTTTCTGAGGATAACAAAAGCGATGCCGCTCTTAAATCTCCAACAGTCATTGTTGAAAACTCCAAACAGAAATCGAAGCACAGCCATTATAGTAATAAAGAAAAACATTATCTTATTTCTGATGCAACAGGACAACAAGACGGTGTTGCTCACGAGACGGCTCCGTCCGGAAGCACATCTAAATCGAAAGAGGACGACACAACAACCGAAGCTAGTTCCGGCGAAAAGACCGGAACCACAAATGAAAGAGATAGTAAATCGACAAGCACTAAAGACGTATATTCCGGATCCGGTCTAGAAACTTTCCTCTCGTGGTTCTTACCGAAAACGAAGAAAGACAATGAAATATTTAAGACGACGCATACGGCTGTAACAAAAACAGATAATGTTGATGCGGCAAAAACAAAAACTGTCTCCGTTAGCGAACAAAACGAGCAATTCCAACACAAGAACCATCGGAGTGGAACCTCATCAGAAAAAGACATTGATGACGGTAAAGATTCTGTAAGCCAGCAAGACGAAACAATTATCATTGATAGCCAACAGAAAAAAGATAATACTGCGACAACAGGTATGAAGAGTGACGAATATGATGATGATCCTAATGAACAATCAAAAGTTGTTGTCGTAACAAAAGAGAATAAACCAACTTCTACCGAAGTAATAAAACATAAACACAGCCATCATAAACATAAACATGACACTGTGATTGAAAGTAAACCAGTCCAAGAAGTCGAAAAGCACAGTGAAACTAAAGAAACACGAAAAGAACATTCTGAAGAAAGCACAGTAACAAAGGAGACTAAACCAACACCTACCGAAATAACAAAACATAAACACAGCCATCATAAACATAAACATGATATTGTGATTGAAAGTAAACCCATCCAAGAAATCGAAAAACACAGTGAAACTACAGAAACAACAAAAGAACAATCTGAAGAAAACACTGTAACAAAAGAGACTAAACCAACACCTACCGAAATAACAAAACATAAACACAGCCATCATAAACAAAAACATGATATTGTGATTGAAAGTAAACCCATCCAAGAAATCGAAAAACACAGTGAAACTACAGAAACAACAAAAGAACAATCTGAAGAAAACACTGTAACAAAAGAGACTAAACCAACACCTACCGAAATAACAAAACATAAACACAGCCATCATAAACAAAAACATGATATTGTGATTGAAAGTAAACCCATCCAAGAAATCGAAAAACACAGTGAAACTACAGAAACAACAAAAAAACAATCTGAAGAAAGCACTGTAACAAAGGAGACTAAACCAACACCTACCGAAATAACAAAACATAAACACAGTCATCATAAACATAAGCATGATATTGTGATTGAAAGTAAACCCATCCAAGAAATCGAAAAACACAGTGAAACTACAGAAACAGCAAAAGAACAATCTGAAGAAAGCACTGTAACAAAGGAGACTAAACCAACACCTACCGAAATAACAAAACATAAACACAGCCATCATAAACATAAAAATGATATTGTGATTGAAAGTAAACCCATCCAAGAAATCGAAAAACACAGTGAAACTACAGAAACAACAAAAGAACATTTTGAAGGAAACATTATAACGAAGGAGACTAAACCAACACCTACCGAAGTAACAAAACATACACACAGCCATCATAAACATAAACAGGATACTGTGATTGAAAGTAAACCCATCCAAGAAATCGAAAAACACAGTGAAACTACAGAAACAACAAAAGAACATTCTGAAGGAAGCACTGTAACAAAGGAGACTAAACCAACACCTACCGAAGTAACAAAACATAAACACAGCCATCATAAACATAAACATGACACTGTGATTGAAAGCAAACCAGTCCAAGAAGTCGAACAGCACAGTGAAACTACAGAAACACGAAAAGAACATTCTGAAGAAAGCACAGTAACAAAGGAAACTAAACCAACACCTACCGAAGTAAAAAAAAATAAACACAGCCATCATAAACATGACACTGTGATTGAAAGTAAACCAGTCCAAGAAGTCGAAAAGCACAGTGAAACTACAGAAACACGAAAAGAACATTCTGAAGGAAGCACTGTAACAAAGGAGACTAAACCAACACCTACCGAAATAACAAAACATAAACACAGCCATCATAAAAATAAACATGATATTGTGATTGAAAGTAAACCCATTCAAGAAATCGAAAAACACAGTGAAACTACAGAAACAACAAAAGAACATTCTGAAGGAAGCACTGTAACAAAGGAGACTAAACCAACACCTACCGAAGTAACAAAACATAAACACAGTCATCATAAACATAAACATGATACTGCGATTGAAAGCAAACCCGACCAAGAAATTGACAAGCACAGCGAAACTACAGAAACAACTAAATATCATAACGAAGATACCGTTGTAACAAAAGATAAGGCAGGGAATAAACAAACGTCCACTGAAGTAACAAAACATAAACACGAAAACGACGAAAAGTCCGTTACAGAAAAGCTTATATCGTACGTAACTCATAGATCGGTCGACAACAGCAATAAAGGAAATCGGAAAGTCATCATCAGCGAGAACCCAATCATTATAAACGCGCCATCTCGAAGGAACAAATACACGAATTACGAAAAAGTTGATTTCACTAAGGTATGTCGGTATGCTTTTGTTTTTGAGGCCTTTCATCGTCATCATCATCTCAACCACTCATCAACTGTCCACTATTGAACGTAGGCCTCTTCAATCGGTCTCCAGCGCGGCCGGTCCGTTGCTATTCTACATCCAAAGTGACCTAGCGATTCTCATTACGTCGCTGGTTCTTATGGTAGGTAACCGTCCCGCACTGCGCGTGACTGGTCTCCACTGAATAATCTTTCTGCGCCACCAACCGTCCGACCGTACCAGGCTTTTCTTCTTCTTCATCGTTCCCTTACTGCTGAGGATCGCGACCACATGTGACTTTCTTTCACAGTGTTCGATCATGGATGCCATGTACCGCTTGGTATAGACTACCACCAACGCTTCCTTAATCAGGCCTTTATCTGCATCGAAACTGGGATCGTTAACGTTATCGGGATAATTAACCCTCAAAGACTATTTCGAAATGTTCTTACAACGAAAGTTTATGGTCTCCGGATCCTAGTATTGAGGGGGGGGGGGGGTATCAAACTTGAATGTTTATCAACAAAAATGGGGCTCCAAAAAGACAAACTTATAAACGCACTTTTGTAGACAGAGCGAGAAGCGATTACCAAATATCTTCTTCTAAATACACATAATACACTAAAGCTTTTGTGGAGTTGTCAGCAAATGCTCGTGAGGTACAATCCACTTTGCGACTCCCCATAGCGAAGAGTCCTCTGTGTATTTTATACCGTACTTAAGAATTGTTCTAGATTATCCCTTCACCTTATTTTTACCAGAGCAGAGTGTTTCTATACTACCTAGATCCGCTGTGTTCATCCACAGTTACGTCTCCAGAGATTTTTATTTGGCACGTGCCACTCTGCTCTGGCATTAGCTCCTCCACGGTATTTTCCATTTCCGTATGACATCTCGTAATAATTACGCCAGCTAATTTTCTACGGTCTTTTCAGATAAAGCAATTCAGTCCACTCGCGCCATTTGGTAAGTTTTTAATTGTTTTCCTTTTATGCATAGGAGATAAAATTTAACATCACTATCAATTTGATTAGTGCTTATGGCATATTATTTCTGGAAGTGCGAAGAGGATATATCTTCATGTTCTTTGCAGACATTACTTATGGTACTTACTTATGGTATCACTGCCCTGTCTATTTCTGCCGTGAAGCAGTAATGCGTTTCGGTTTGAAGGGTGGGGTAGCCGTTGTAACTATACTGAAATCTTAGAACTCATATCCTAAGGTAAGGGGCGGTATTTACGTTATAGATGTCTATAGGCTCCGGTAAGCACTTAGCAGGTGGGCTGTGAGCCTTTGGGAAAGACGAATCCACAGATACTGAGAATGAATCTATATCTAAAGATAGAGCTAAAGGACTAAAACATAAATTAACAAACAAAAGAATATGGAATTGGAACGTTTGTTTACGTTTGCCGCTAGGGGCGCTGTTACAACTGCCTACAAATTTTGAGTTAATTTTTACGCTCTCGAGAACGTTAAAAAACTCGCACTAAGCACACTGGTCTCTTATACAGTTTCAAGTATGTTCATTTTAATCAATCGTATAATTGTCCGCAGGCGTATTCGCGCGAGGAATCACAAGTAAGTTTAGTTATTTAATTGTATATCTTAATCTATATTCGTATTTTTTATTAGACGAAGTCAATTGACGTTTACTGTGTTGTCAGTTTTAATGAAATAAAAATAGTGTTGTGACAAAGTGAATGATTGAAAAAACTCCTGAATTAATGAAATTGCCTAGATTGTCTAGTGAATAGTTAGTGTGCCAAACTGCCGATATCGGGTACAGGGTAGTCGTGCTTTCGACAAGACCAACCAACCGATGGACTAAAATAGATTGTTTAATTTTAAAAAAATGAGAGCCGTCACGGGACGCCTGGCAGATGTAAAACATCGACATTTTTGTAAGTAAGTATTTTGTAAAAGTAATATGCAGAAAAGAACAGATTGTGATAGGAACTAAATATGTCATAATGATAAAATAAAATATTACGAAAAAATAATTAAAATTTGTTTTCAAGTAAAACACAGGTTATGTGTACTGTAGTAAACAACACTATATACACTACGGAGTATACACTATAGGTATCCGAGCTCAGTGTAGCGAGAGAGATGGCTTAACGCCGGATCGAGTGGGCGAGAGTCGCACAGTCGATTGCACATGGCGACGCGTCGCCACAGCATGCGTCGCCACGCCAGAAATCAGTTTTACGTGCGGCTATAGATGTTTCACATCAATAAACTCATAGAATCCATGTTCATAGGTCGTTCGAAGTATTAAAAATGCATTTTATTATATTTTTTAGTTAAGTCACTTCAATTCTATCGGTGCTATGTATGCTTTTCTTTCCCTACCTATTCGTTAGTACCTTATGAGGTTATTCCGGCTACGCCCGGACGGGCAGGTGAGCTCACGGGCTCAACCTGAGAGAATTTGCGAACACTGATCCTAGCAAGAGCAGTGCTTCGTTGAATCTACCACCCTTAGACTATCAGCTAATAGGTAGGGAAATAAAAGTGCAAGAAATAGATAGATTCTTAGTACGCAAAGCCACCAATGAATGCAGACCCATATTTAAATATTTAAAAGTGTTACGTGTTGTATTGCATATTTGTATATAAGCTCTATTATAGTTATTAGTTATCGTTAATAGTTTTATTTATTACTTAGTTATCACTTATGCTTTATCCATACTGTTGATTTATTATGATTTAACGGTATATAACTAGTCAGGTCATAAGTATTGTCACACAGTAAAAACTTTTCTTTTAGAATGCTGGCCACAAAAAAGTTTATTGAATTCGAATTTAGAATTGTTCATGAAAATAAAAATGTATAAACTTTTAGAATTTTACTCATTTTTAAATATGGAGTGGACGCTTAAAGAAGACCGTGTTGCAGTTATTGCGTTGCCTCGTTGCGGTTACGCGCCAATTCAAATTTTTAACATACTGAAAAATTTGAATATAACCAAATGATTCGTTTATCGTACCATCAAACGATACAATGAAGACTCTAGTGTAGATGACAGGTCAAGAAGTGGTCGCCCTCGGTCTGTTAGGACTCCAGCAGTGATAAAAGCTGTGAAGGCGCGAATTCAAAGAAATCCCAAACGTAAGCAGAAACTGTTGGCCCTTCAGATGGGGTTAAGCATAACCACGGTGAAAAGGGTGTTAAATGAAGACTTAGGGCTTCGGGCATATCGAAGAAAACAGGACATCGTTTGAATACTCGTCTAATGGACCTGAGACTGAAGAGATGCCGCGCTTTGTTGAAGCGGTACGCGGGAAAAAAATATCGGGAAATTCTTTTTTCGGATGAAAAAATTTTTACCGTAGAAGAGAGCTACAACAAACAAAATGATAAGGTGTACGCACACAGTAGTGAAGAAGCGAGCAACCGTATTCCGCGTGTCCAACGAGGTCATTTTCCATCCTCGCTCATGGTATGGTTGGGAGTTTCTTATTGGGGCTTAACAGAGGTACATTTTTGTGAGAAAGGTGTAAAAACGAATGCAGTTGTGTATCAAAATACAGTCCTGACGAACCTTGTGGAACCTGTTTCTCATACCATGTTCAATAACAGGCACTGGGTATTCCAACAAGATTCGGCGCCAGCTCATAGGGCGAAGAGCACACAAGACTGGCTGGCGGCGCGTGAAATCGACTTCATCCGGCACGAAGACTGGCCCTCCTCCAGTCCAGATTTGAATCCGTTAGATTACAAGATATGGCAACACTTGGAGGAAAAGGCGTGCTCAAAGCCTCATCCCAATTTGGAGTCACTCAAGACATCCTTGATTGAGGCAGCCGCTGATATTGACATGGACCTCGTTCGTGCTGCGATAGACGACTGGCCGCGCAGATTGAAGGCCTGTATTCAAAATCACGGAAGTCATTTTGTATAAACTTTAGTGTCATAAGAATCTATGTTTTGTTAAGTTCATTTTGGTATATGAATGGTTACATAATGAATAAACTTGTTTCAATTATTTTACATTAAACATGTGACAGAATTTATGACCTGACTAGGTATATATCTCTATTTATTGTTATGTATGTATTTTCTTTAATAATGTATTATTAATATTGCAAAGTAACATACCTGCAGTAGCTTTATCTTTTCAAGTATTTCTGTAAACAAAACGGCTGTCTGGAAGAGATCGCTTTTAGAGCGATAAGACAAACTATTGCACAAATGTATCTACTTGTTGAATGTTTTCTTCTAATGTTGTGTTTTAGTATGCAATAAAATATATTCTAACTCTCTCTCTCTCCCTCTCTCTCTCTCTCTCCGTCTCTCTCTCTCTGTGTCCCTCTCTCTAACCCCACAAATATATCTATTTTCAGGTAAATGCGAGGAGTCTGCAGCTCTCTTCAGTAGCTTGTCCAGAAAACGTAAGCAAACACAACAATTCTATGTCTTTATTACACGCATTCAATTTGACCAGTATGCACTGTGTTCGGCTGTGTCCTAAAATGGTAAACTATTTCAACCCGTTGCTGGCGACTAAGAGATTCAGTGGAGAGTGGACAACAGCACTCTGAGTGTTTAGCCAGTATTCTATGTCCATATCGACCAGCAAGAGTGACGGTAATTTATTGAGGGAACGTCCTAAAAATACGTGAATAGACTACGCGAAAGAGGAATTGCGAGAGAAGAATATGTTTGCTGAGCTGATGTATGATAAACCTGAATGGATAAAGAAGAAATGCAGCGCCGATCACACATAGTGGTTACAAGGACAAGAAGAAACTACATTTTAATTACACATTACTCTTAAAAGAAAGTACTTTTTTTTTATGGCTTTGATATGTGGACGAGATCACGGCTCACCTGATGTTAAGTGGTTACCGGAGCCCATAGACATCTATAATGTAAATGCCGCCACCTTAAGACATGAGTTGTAAGGTCTCAGTTTTAACAGTACAACGGCTGCCCCACACTTCAAACCGAAACGCATTACTGCTTCACGGCAGAAATAGGCAAGATGGTGGTACCTACCCGTGCGGACTCACAAGACGTCCTACCACCAGTAAATACGCAAATTATAATTTTGCGGGTTATATTTTGCTCATTTCCGTTGGGATGGGGTTGTGACGTCAAAGAACCACCAGTGACGTCATCGATGATGCTAATGGACTTCGACGTCAAACCAATACAATTCTTCATCAGTTTCGTCTGTGCCATCAGATGTGACGGAATCATTCCACACAACCTTCTCCGACTCTGAAACATACGTTCGTTTAACCCGACAATTTTCCCGCAGGATCTCCGCGCAGCTTCCGGGAGGCTATAGATGCGGTTGTTGCAAGTGAGTTACGTTCATATTTATTATTATTTTATTTATTAGGCACAATACACATCACAAGCTAAAACAAGATACATAAAACAAACAAGATACATAAAAAACACAAGTAAAAAGCAACAAAAACTGTCTTGCAACATAAGGCATGTGCGCACGACTATATAAGCAAGACAAAGTGCTGAGCTTGTACACAATGGATCCTTCTTACATCTGTACGACAAAACAACACGATAACGAAAACTAATCTAACTTATAATGTAAGGAAATAATATATTACACACCTAACATTCTTTTGGTGGATACCACACTGTTTCCACTGTTTCCCGATTGAGCTATTTGTAAACCAAACTATTTGTTAACAGCCGTCAGAGCCATCAGCCTTATAGTCGACGGCTGGATTCCGACACGTAAGTTTGACAGTTTCATAATTATCGACTATAAGTATTATGTCGGTCAGAGAGCAGCGGATCTGATGTGAAATCGGGCTGGAGCGTCGGCAAGACGTAAGCCGGTCACCGTCCTCGCCGAACCCGTCGCTTGCGACGAATGGCTCGACGAGTAAATTAACCCACAGATACAGCCCACTGAGTTTCTCGCCGGATCTTCTCAGTGGGTCGCGTTTACGATCCGGTGGCAGATTCTGCGAAGCACTGCCCTTCTTCGGGTCAGTGTTAGCAACACTCCGGCTTGAGCCCCGTGAACTCACCTACACGTCAAGGAGAAGCTGAAATAGCCTCTCAAGGCTATCAGCATAGATAGGGAAAAAAAGAAAAAAAAAGACGTAATGATAACAGATGGAGTAGAACAATGATGGTTTGATGGCTAAGATTAGGTCGTAGAGGTGCCAATGAAAGAAGACCCAAGCCACAAATACGGACGTGGATGAGAAACACGATTGATATTACAGCATAAAAAGAGCAGATCTATGCCCAGCAGCGGGTATAAAAGGGCTGAACAGAGATAAATAAATAGGTAAGCTAATTGCGGGTCGTTGCGGCTTAAACGATAAGAAGGCCAGTGCACTTGTGACCAGTGATGCGACAATAACCCGGGTTCAAATCCCGCTGGCGTTTTAAAGTTTCAATTAAATAACACGTTGTATAAGCACGAAACTAAATCGATGTTTTCTAAAAAGCGGAATAGCTTAAGTTTCACGATGAAAAAAGCTCTTAAAGAAAATCGCGCTTAAACAAACTTTAAAACAGACACTAAAGTCACTCATTCTGTTCACAGTTGGTACCCGCTTCGCTGACAGTGAGTATGGAAATACATAAATTGTAACAAAATCAAAGGAAACCAACCACCAGCCGACTTCACCAAAATAAAATGAGTACATCGTCGATGCAGCCTGGAACTTAATTAAACGTGCATTAGTTATTAGGGATTACTCAAAAGGTTCCGCTCGAACAACAGTTCAGAGCAACAGTTAAATAAATTAAAATAATAAAATACATCGAAATCAGTTCTTCTATAAAGAAAATAGCGCACCAAAAAAAACACAAAATCATATTTGTAACCTTCCTTTTTGAAGTCGGCTAAACATATTACCGCTTATTTTCGAAACACTGCAGAAGATCGACGGTACTGGTATAACAAGAAAAGATGCTTCTGCTTCTAATGGAACCCTTGGCTGGGTGCTCTCGTGGAGGCAGGACATCTAAGACTTCGCAGAAGTCTAAGGGCAGCTCTCGTCCTAAATCCATTATTTGACAGCGCGTTTATTGCTCGTCCACTCGATCTCGCGGCTGGAACTGGTTCCCAGAGGCCACAGACATCGACAAGCCACATTTAAACAGTACCACAGCTAGCCCGCCTTTCAAACCTAAACGCATTACTGCTTCACGGCAGAAACAGGCAGGGTGGTGGTGCCTATACGTGCCGATCCCCAAGGCAGGTTTCCCAAATAACGTAACTCCAAGACAGCCTTTCCCAAAGTGGACGATTACGCCTTCTTGTGGTCGCTGCAGGTCTAAAGGGGGCGGTAAGAGACCCAGAAAAAGAAATGGGGGCGTTGTGTTGAGGCTTGAGAAGCGATTTGTAATTTCATCTGGGAGGACTCTTAGACACCGACTAAGCTCTCACCATAGTGGTTTTAAAGTAGGTGAAAAAATGGGGGCGCTAAAAATTAATTTATTCTCAAAGTGGACACTAGACAAAACAGGTTTGAGAGCCCCTGCAGTGCCAGACGTCTGCTCAACTTGACAGTTCTCACTCGCGTCAAGGACCGATGTGGACACAATAATGTTATAACTTCGCTCTAATATCCTGCCGTATTTCCATTTAGGCTTTGCATTTTGTGATTTTTAACTCGATCCAGTTGTTTTTACAGCACTTGTTTGTTTCAGTGGTCATGGTGATCCTCAAAACGCAAACTTGCGTTCCGCTGAGGCAAGAATTTCCAGGTATACGTCATGTGCACAGATTGAAGGGTGAAAGGCTATATTTTGGTTTATGCGACATTTCAGCAACTTCACAGAAGACCCGCTTAAAATTTAATCTAGAATAAATACCATACCAAAATATTTCTTCAGCTATTTAAATGAAGTAAACTTAATTGAAGTTCAATTCAAAACACGTGTGGCACTCGGGGACTGCCACGGTAAAGCTATTGCACAGCATTTCTTATCACCTATGCAATTATAATAAAACAATAATAATTTAATATTAAAACAATAATAATAAAATAAGACCACGCTATATTTATAAACGTTGACAAAAGTAAAACATTAACGGTCCCCTTCACACTCATAAGCTAGACCGCGCAAGAGAGAGATGGGCAGACTTTTCAATATGCACATGCAGTGCGACGTCACGCCGCGCGCTTATTCACAAACACTACCGTGTGAATGTGTTGAACGCGAGCTACATGGTAGCCGGAGTGGGGGATGTTACGTTTTATTTTCGTTACGGAATTTCTTGATTCGGGCGTCGCGCTCAAAGAACGCGATAAAAGCTATGCAATAGCTTAAAATATCGGATTGTTGATATTAAGATGAAATAAACGGACATTTAATTACAACGATAAATCTCGCGTATTAAGCAAAATTTCGCTTAAACCAATTTGCCAATTAACTACCATTTTAGATATCGTGTTGTAAAATATCCGAACAGGTTAATCCAAAATGGCGTACTCAGAGCAATGTCGGAAAATACCAAAAAACAGCATAAAGAAATTAATAACTACATAAATAACTGAGAACAAATCACGCACGGTCATTCGGCACCAATTTAGGATTCCCTTTGTTAAAGGTACAAAGGACTGACATACATACTTAAATATATACATTTAAAGATAATACACAAACAAATGCAATTGGATTAACAGTGATATGATAAATCCTAGTTCTATAGCAAAGTCGTGTGATAACTGAATGATACTACCCACCGGCCGGCCCACTTCCACTTTTCCGAGCAAGTTTCCTCATTACTGTACAGTCGAGCAAATAGTCTATTGATTCAAATCCTACAGCTATCACTTTGCACACAACAACACGTGTGCGATATTATTTGTGGGTAATACAACAAAACCTGACTAACGGTCATTCACTAATATACATATCAATTATGGCCTATTAAATAGTTTTGATGCTAAAATAAATAGCTGGAACCTCGGCTCTTTTTCTTCTTTTTCGGTCGTACCGTAGGAGCGACTACGGTACTAGTACGGTACGACTTATCCCACTTCTGGTGACGAATAGGCTAGTTCCACGGTGTTTATAAAATAACGCTATTTTCTTCATCATTATCATTGCCTTCCATAGTGACAATAATTAAAACTTACTTTTCCAATGAATTCCATTTATTACATTTCAAGTGTACAACGATAACAACAGAGAGCTCCGCTTCAGTCGGCTGCTCGAGTCACAATATTTGTGCGACTTGTAGTTTTGATGTTAAAACAAATACCCAAAACTTTGACTCTCGTTGTCTCACTTCAGAGTTAGCGTACGTTTGTGACGCCAGCTTCGGATCTGCTTGGGGTTGGACCTCGTTCCCGACTTGCGAGAGCCGCAGACAGCTGGTGCGAGACCTGGGCCTGGTGGGCATCAAACACACAATTGAGACCATGCTCAGTCAGCACGGAAAAGGGAAGGCGCCACACCAGTTAATCGGTACGGTATATTTGTCTCATCACAGTACTGTTAAAACTGAGACTTAGAACTCATGTCTCGAGGTAAGTGGCGGCATTTACGTCGTAGGAGTCCATGGGCCCCGGTAGCCACTTAACACCAGGTGGGCCGTGAGCACGCCCAGCCAACTAAGCAATAAAAAAAATTACTAACGTGGAAACCGCCGTCCAATTTTAAAGGCTCCAATATAACTGTGGGTGTACCATAACCTTGCCTATTGTGTTGCAAGGGCAGCCGTGGTACAGTAAAAGCTGAGACTTAGAACCCGTATCTCAAGGTTTGGTGGTAGCATCTACGTGGTTGATCAGACATCAAGCTGTAGCCGCTACAAAACCCTGGACAGCAGTCAGTTGTAGCAGTGTCCGCAAGTGTGTTCCTAATTTCTATCCAAGTGCTCTTGATAAGATCGCAGGCCGGTGAATTCGTCCCACCATTGCGCTTTTCCTGACGTACGGTAACCGAATGTTTGGAGGCTGTACCAAGTGGATGTGTGACCTGGAACCTAGCGGCGCCGCGTCTCATCCCGGGCGTGTCATAAAGCAATTAAGACATTCACTGCAGCAACGTACTTTGGTCACCAATCGACATTGCTGTAAGCAAGCATCGGTCTGCCTATTTCTGTGACAGAACTACACACGTTACAGCTACAACTATGATCTCATGGTTCAGGGGGGAAGTGGCGTCCTTATTCGTCCACTAATATAATCAATTAATGATAGTAAAAGTCCTGTCAAGTCCTTAAAGTATAAGGATATGAAACTCAACTGACATCTAACTTCACAATGTCAAGCTGCCAAAGACATAGTTTTATTATCAATTGTCTCACAATTTTCGAGGAAAGGAAACCGCTATCTAAGCCCCCTACGGTCTTCTGATTCCTTGTGGGAGCCTTTTCTCTGTTGAGCTCAGTTTCATCGTGTGATCACCACTGTGGATTCTAGCTGCATAGCAGTTACAGCGGAATGGAGTGGCAGCCGATATCCGGCCTGGCTACACAAAATATCATAGATAATTATCTCGAATTTGATCGGTCATTTGTGATCTTGCTGGAGGCCCGCGCAGATGCGATCTGATCACGATATTCTATTACAGGCTCTCCGGCTGTAATAGCGCAGTCGATTCACCAAATATCCATTTTTTATGAACGTAAGTGTAAACTTAATAGCACTATTATTATTAAATTCATTTTTTTTAAATAAAATATTAATCTATATTAATTTTCGTAACAGTGATTTCTTAAAAATATGTTAGTAAGGACATAATAATTATGTTAGTAAATATATTATATTTATTTATACTAGTGGTGCCCCGGTAGTGTAAATTCGACTATAATTAATTGAAATTATAAGTTTGTACACTATTAAGATTCAAAGACTATTCAAAGACTATTTTATTATACTTCTATAACCACAGATTTCGCCAAGACTACACTATAGACAAATAATATTAAGAGAAACAATATTAATCTATTCTCAATTTGACCACAGACTTGTATAAATGTGTGTGGTGTGTCAAATACATGGTGTGTAATGTTTTTTTTTTAGTGAGTTAATGTATTTTTTATGCATAATTAAAAAAAATACATTCTGCCCTCCTTCTCTATATTCTCTAGAAGTGTGGGAAATTTCATACTCCTCCGTGTTGGAAGGTCGTGATGCTGTCCACGTATAATTGTCTATGATGCACTATATTTGAATTTGTATTATGTTCCTTTTACTTTTGATGTGCGGTGTCATTCTGAATTATATTTTCTCTTATACAAGTCAACACAATGTTTTCAAGTATTTAATTTACGTTTTAATTAATTGCTATAGCCGCTAGTCCACCCTATCACTCCGTCCGCGCAATTATCGTAAAAAGGGGTACAAAGTTTTTGCTTCACGTATTAATATATAGATATGCATATTACTAGGGATTATAGATTATTATTATTATTGATAGTACCTACGATATTTATATTACTTAGGGACTATAGCGCTATTTATTACTTATATTAGAATTGGCCATTATTAAACCATTATCAATTAAGTTGCTATTATTTATTTATTTCACAGAAGATCCAGAGGAATGGAACTTGGAGCACTTAGCAGCTACATTCGCAAGAAGTAAGTGACTCAACGGAACTTTAATAAGACAGACATGCTAAACAGTTCAAAAATTGTTTGTCTGTAAAATCGATTTACGGACGATAGGTTAACGTGACAAAGCGTCACATTTGAAGAAACATTAATGAAAAATTGCATACTTTTATGAATTGAATTGTTATCACTGAATTGTGATCATTCTGTGTAATACAAAAAAGGGGTTAATTTGATAATTACAATTTTTTTTTGATAAATTAACGCTTGGGCCAATCGTACCTCTCTATCGCTTGTTCCGCGTTCTCGCTTGCACACTTGCTCGGGCGGAACGTGACACTTTTTCTTGCGTGCAGCTGGTCTTAATCGATATATTAATTAACCACTCCGATAGAGGCATCCGTCACGTGCGGACGTGCTCATCGACCACTCGATCGCCCGGTCTTTGTTCGCCCGGCTTTTGTTAGCCCGGCCATTGTTCGCGCGGCCTGTGTTCGTGGTACATCTGCCGACTAAGTGCTCTTCCTGGAAGTTTTTATTTGTTTTGTTTCCTTTTGTTGTTTCTGTGTTCGTGGTACATCTGCCGACAAACTGTTTTCCTGGNACTCCAAAAAAAAAAAAAATATTAATTAACAATAACATTTTACATAGAATATAAAAATTAAATAAAAACAATAACAATAATTTCGGAATAAAGTATAAATAATAATAAGACAAAAAATAAAATAAATGTCAAAAGTACCTTAACCTAAAGGCTGGTCTGGATTCAGAGTGGTCAACATGCACACGTGAAGATGTGAAGACGTCATTACGTCTTTAAAAAAAATCAATCCTTTATTTGCAATATTTATTAACAACTTTATTTGGTTTTTGAAGTAAGAAACGCAACAGACGCGATAGTACGTCCAGCCGAAAGCAGATTCTCTTTTTATTTTTCTTATCTAAGCTGGTAGCCTTAGAGGACTATGCCAGCGTAAACAAAAGGTGAGCTCACGGGGTCTAACGTGAGGACGACGCTAATAGCCCTAGCAAGAGCAGTGCTTCGCTAAATCTACCACCGGATCGGAAACGCGACCCACTGAGAAGATCCGGCGAGAAACTCAGTGGGCTGTGTCTGTGGGTTAAATTACTCGCCGAGCCCTTCGTCGCAAACGATTGGCTCGACGAGAACGATGATGGTCCTTGTGGTACCTAAAAGCACCGTTGTGCTCAGTATGAGTGGATCAGTATGCAAAGTGCGAGTTTTTTAACGTTCTCGATAGAGTAAAAGTTAACTCAAATTTGAATGGAGTTGGAACGTTTGCCGCGGGGTGCGCTGTTCCGGCTGTCTACAAATTTGAGTTAACTTATACGCTATCGAGAACGTTAAAAAACGCACTAAGCACACGGAAGGATCCGAAATGACATGTAGGTTCTCTGAAGTAAAACACCTGCGAGTGTATTGAGTGGTGCTAGGGGCTTGCAAGTCCAACGGGTAGCTACCACCGCCCTGCCCATTTCCGCCCCAGAACAGGACAAGTCCGATCATTAACGATTCGCGCGACGGTTTTAAGCTGCGCGTTCCTAAAACGACACAGTAGGCTAAAACACCATCGAGCGATTATTACGCATACACGTTCGTTTTTTATGAATTTTATTGCATATATGGGTGGACGAAGTCACGGCCCACGCGGTGTTAAGTGGTTACCGGAGCCCATAGATATCTACAACGTAAATGCCGCCACCTACCTTGAGATATGAGTTATAAGGTCTCAGTATAGTTACACCAGCTGCCCCGCCCTTCAAACCGAAACGCATTCCTGCTTCACGGCAGAAATAGGCGGGGTGGTGGTACCTACCCGCGCGGACTCACAAGACGTCCTTCCACCAGTAATATCAATTTATATTTAATATTTCTAATATTATATAATTATCTAATATTATTAATATATAATATTTATTTCCTTTCAGCGACAACCATATTGGGCGCGCTCGGGAATAGCTACAAGTCAGGACGTAAGTCGCTATGTATCTATTCTATTAAAAAACATTTTCGATTATTTTGAAACAAATATGTATGACTCATAGGGCTGGCTGGTTCCGTCAGAGAGCTCCGCCTCGTTCGGCTGCTGGAGCCGGAATCTTTTGTGCGTTTTTTTTTGTTTCCTATCTATTCTAGTAACCTCGAGGGGTTATTCTAGATTCGCCGAGCTTATATGTGAACTCACGGGGCTCAAGCTAGGAGCGTTGCTAACACTGGCCCTAGGAAGAGCAGTGCCTCGCAGTATCTACCACCGGATTAGACACGCGACCCACTGAGAAGATCCGGCGAGAAACTCAGTGGGCTGTGTCTGTGGGTTAATTCACATGTCGAGCCCTTCGACGAGGACGGTGACCGGTGCTTGTGGTACCTAAAAGCACTGTTAATGGATCGGGAGGATCCGTAATGACGTGTTTAGGGCGACGTCGATTGTTTATCATTCGGTCCACCGGATCGGGTATGATTTGTGCGACAATAGTCACTCTTATCTATAGTAGAACAGTGGGGTAGCATAGTCATTAATTCTCTTGAATACCATCTCAAACAGTTGTTGACATGAGTAACATTAAGGAAACAGTTAACTGCAACTATTTTCAGTTAACTAAATAGTAACGCCGACATGTATAAAAAAATTAAAGTGTAGGTAATTATTTTTTAATTGTAATTAATGTAATTTGAATTTTCAATTTTCAATTACAGTTGGACAGTTCATGGCTGAGGGTAAGTCTGGAATTAAAGCAATTATTTTTTCTCTTTCTCTTTTATTTCAGTTTAGTTATTAATCAGTCGCGATTTTTCATTATTCAGTGTGTCGTGTCATGTTTTTCTTGGATATACACATGTGGTTGAAGCACACGGCCTCAATGATGTGTTAATTGGTTTACCGGACCTATCACATCAATTCAGCGACTCGCAATCTATGTCTTCAGCAATTGAAGACATTAGTGGATGAAGGGGTTAAGTATCATTTTAAAGATTTTTGAGTTTTCACATCGAACGTAGGCGCTATGCGCCTATAAACCATATAAGACTTTAAAACTCTGGATTTAAAGGCTGTTTAGAAATGGCATGTGATGAAGGAGTTATAGTATTGACGAAGAAAAAGTACAAGTAACAAAAGTTTATTGTCAGTTTTCTCAAAATTAACAAATTGTATTATAATAATATCCCCTTCATCCACTCATGTCTTCCAATTATATATATATTAATTACTGTAGAATAGGTATTGCAGCGCATAAAATCAAACTTCCACTGTTCCAAAATCTTCTGTTATTATTACATTAATAAAAGAATATCCTAACACCTTTATTGGCCTTACCCGTCTTCACCATCTTCCTTTTTTTCTGTCGTTCTCTTTTCCCTTTCTTACCGTTTTCTCTCACTCACATCTTAACGCTCCGTTACATTACGGTGATATTCCTTTACTGTCGAAGTCAATCGTGAAGATGAATTAAATGCGTATTTTATTAGAAAAATTGGTCGTCAGCCTGCGGGATTCGAACCTAGGTACATTCGAATCGCTAGTTACGAACTCAACAGCCGTCTTATCTATTAGGCCGCGACGACAAGCTTCTCACGAGTGGAATTTTCAGATTGTATTGCACATTTAACCAGGATACCCGACTTTAGTGACGAAATTCCTCACTCGTAGGGCCCCAAGCAAATTTCTTATCAACTTTAGTAAGGTCTTTATGTGGATTTGTACCAATCAAACAACCGTCGGAGTCTAGATATAAGGTGTGCTTCATGTACCGTTATCCCATACCTATTCCTAGGACCCGAATTAACATTTCCAAATATTCGTTTTTATGTTTAATATTTTTTTGTCAAAGGATTCCTGAATTACTTCAAATACGTCGGAAACTACTATCAAATTGGTGAGTCATAACAATAACTTTTATATATTAACAGAATAATCAAGTCGAACTTAAGTATTGATCTAATCAATTGCTTCTCAGATTTAAGCATCTATGTATCCAAGATATACAAAGATCTGACCTTCTGCAAAGCGAACGCGCTTGAGGGCGTCATTCTGGACGGGACCACGGACTACATCGAGGAGCATCCTAACATAAAATACGTAATCATCCGACACGTGCACGACCAAGTCCGTCGTGCGAACCGGAATAGAAGGAACGGCAGTAAAGTATACGAAAAATCCGGGAGCAAAACTGGTATAAGAAAAGTAATTATCGTTAGGAAGGGCGACCCTTCTGGCAATAACGCGGCAGGCTATGCCTATGCTGAGGCGGGCCCGCGTAACGCAGTGTATAACACGAACACAGATAATTCCGGTAGCGTTGCTTATGCTGCGGCACAATCGCAAGTGAACAGCCAACAGCAAGGTCTTAATAATGGAGGTGGAACTGTTTACTTAGAGGAAGCAAAATCGCAGGGCGGACAAGGAAATTCCGGTAGCGTTGCTTATGCTACGGCACAATCGCAGGCGAGCAGCCAACAGCAAGGGCTCGGTAATGGAGATGGAATTGTTTACTTAGAAAAAGCAAAATCACAAGGCGGACAAGGAAATTCCGGTAGCGTTGCTTATGCTACGGCACAATCGCAGGCGAGCAGCCAACAGCAAGGGCTCGGTAATGGAGATGGAATTGTTTACTTAGAAAAAGCAAAATCACAGGGCGGACAAGGAAATTCCGGTAGCGTTGCTTATGCTACGGCACAATCGCAAGCGAACAGCCAACAGCAAGGCCTTAGTAATGGAGGTGAAACTGTTCACTTAGAGGAAGCAAAATCGCAGGGCGGACAAGGAAATTCCGGTAGCGTTGCTTATGCTACGGCACAATCGCAAGCGAGCAGCCAACAGCAAGGCCTTAATAATGGAGGTGGAAAGGTTTACTTAAAAGAATCAAAATCGCAGGGCGGACAAGGAAATTCCGGTAGCGTTGCTTATGCTACGGCACAATCGCAAGCGAGCAGCCAACAGCAAGGCCTTAATAATGGAGGTGGAAAGGTTTACTTAAAAGAATCAAAATCACAGGGCGGACAAGGAAATTCCGGTAGCGTTGCTTACGTTGGGACACAATCGCAAGCGAACGGCCAACAGCAAGGGCTTTATAATGGACGTGGAACTGTTTACTTAGAGGAAGCAAAATCGCAGGGCGAGCAAGGAATTGCCGGTAGCCTAGCTTATGCTGCGGCTCAATCGCAAGCGAACGGCCAACAGCAAAGCCTTAATAATGGAGGTGGAACTGTTAACTTAGAAAAGAGACATTTTCAAGGCGGTTATGGAAACGCGAATAGATTTGCTTACGCCCCGGCAGGACCGCAGCTTATTGGCCAACAGCGAAACCATATCAATGAGCTCGGAAGCGCTTACTTAGAAGCGGGAAGATCACAGGTTCAAAACGCAAACGCTGGGAGCGTAGCTTACGGCGCTTTAGGATCACAAACAAACACCCAAAATCAATATAACGGAGACAATAGACTCAATAATCGACATGTCAATAACATTGGCGAAGACAAATTAAGGGCAATAGGTGAACAATACCATAAGGGATATTCGAACGATCGTAATGCAGTGAATACGCAAATCGAAGGTTCGCTTCTAAATCACAGTGGCCACGTTCCATCGCCAAACGATTTCAGGATACAGAATCCCGGGCAACTCGCAAACAACGTCGGAACCAACCAAAATAATATTTACGGCAATAAACAGTTTGGATATGGACCTCAGCAGGGGAGCGGTTATCAGCAAAAGAACTACAGAAATATAAATGAAAACGGGCAGGATAAAGTGAGTTGAAATGCTTCTGTTTTTTTTCGCTTTAGAAAAATTTGTGTGTCAAATTCCGACGTGCGATTGGAGTTTCGCTGAATGTTTTTATGTGATACAACATTTAAAGAGTAAATAATGGCATCAATAATGCCATAAATAATGGCTATAAGCACCACCCTGCTTATTTCTGCCGTGAAGCAGTAATGCGTTTCGGTTTGAAGGGTGGGACAGCCGTTGTAACTATACTTGAGACCTTAGAACTTATATCTCAAGGTAGGTGGCAGCATTTACGTTGCAGATGTCTATGGGCTCCGGTAACCATTTCACACCAAGTGGGCCGTGAGCTCATCCACCCATCTAAGCAATAAAAAAAATTCAAAAAACTAGTGGTCGCCCAATAGTCGAAATTCGACTATAATTAACAAAATTATAAATTTGAACATTATTATTGGTTCTATTGTCAAAGACAACATATTTATTATACTTCTATAATCACAGGTTTCGCCAAGACTACACTATAGAGAAATAATATTAAAGACAAACAATATTAATCTATTCTCAATTAGACCACACTTGACCACAGGCTTTAGGCAATAACAAAAGTTTGACAATAACAAAGAATATATAAATCTGTGTTGTGTCAAATACATGGTGGTGTGTAATGTTTTATTTTTTTAATTGTTTTAATGTATTTTTACGCATAATTAAAATAAAAATTAGCATTCTGCATGCACTCCTCTATATTCTCTATAAGTGTGAGAAATTTCATACTCCTCCGTCCGCACAATTTTCGTAAAAAGGGGTACAAAGTTTTTGCTTCACATATTAATTTTACGTAAATAATGTAACAACACTACTGACTAACAAATGTGAAGAAGATTAGAGACTCGTTAATGATTTAAGCTCATTATTGTAAATATCGAGGGGGAAAGGTTATTTGGCTTAAGCGAAATTTTTGCAACTTCACATGAGAGCCATTTAAAGCTTACCTAAACATTTGGATAAACAATATCATAACCCAAAAAGCTTCTTCAGCTATTTGAATGAAGTCAACTCAATTGAATTCCAATTAAAAATATCGAACGGTTGATTCTAATACCAAATAAAACGCACCTTTATTTACAAAGATAATAATGTTGCTTAAACAAAATGGCTTTTCACTCTTCGATAGTTTATTAATCTAAAACTTATATTCCATTATTCAACGAGTTCTCACACTGAACTAGTCCATGTCATTGATAAGTGTCATCGCGAAAGAATGAGTAGAATTTACGTTTAAAAAAAAACTGCATACAATAAATATGTAAATAATAATTAAATTCTTTATTTACAGATTCACGGAGGTGAGAGTAAGTATTTATTTCATTTTTTAAAAAGAGGAATTTTTTTGTTTTAAAAGGATATTCATTATAAGTGTTATGAATGACTAGGGTTGATAATCATAATTAAAATCACAACTTGTCTCTTTATTGTAATTATGCGACAGAAGTTTTCATTACGAAAACTTAAGTTTATTTTATCACATCGACGCCTCCAATGAACACTACTCTAACTCAAAATTTTGAAATTTTCGTTTTCACGCAAATCGCTTCACTATTTTAAAAGTATTACAAATCATTATTGATGGGGTTCGAAGCAAGAGTAAATCAGCTAGCTATACAAAAAAAAAACCTTAAATATACCTATATCTGCAATCATGTTTATGTGGTTCTTGTATAATGGAAACATTTAGATATTCGAGGAGTGAAAGGCGACACTGCTTAACACGCGATATTTATCTTTGTAATTAAAAGTGCGTTTTATTCGGTATTAGCATAAAAAGAATCGATGTTTTTAATTGTGCTTCAATTAAGTTTACCCTACTCAAATAGCAAAATTTTTTTTGTTATGATATTATTTCCAGAATTTTTAATTTTAAATGGCTGTTCTATATACTTGCAAAAATATCGCTTAATGTGAAATTTAAACCAATTAGCCGTTCACCTCTCAATATGTTTCTCGCAGTTTGAAGTTACCGCGTCTAGAATGTTCCTTTGAAATTCGCGTCACGGCCATTTTGATAAATTTTGCTGCTTCCCGCGTAGAGTAGGAACTAAGTATACGAAGCAATATTAATGGCATACGTAATTCTAATATTTGACATCTTTCTCCTTACATTCTCTTTTAATATAAAAATGATATGAAGCGAAACGAGATGAAGTTGATTAATTAATTTAAGAATTTAATCAATTTGATATGAGACTAAATGAAACGAGTTAAGATGAACGAAATACAATCTCAGAAAAAGGAGGATATAGTAAAATCAGTAGGTCCATACTTAAATCAAAAAAATTTAAGAAAAAGCTTCGTATTTCTAGCATTTTTAAACAGTAAAATTAAAATTTTTTATACGGATTGTTAACGATTTATTTTTAATAATACTAATAATAATATTTAATATAGTAATGTATATAAGTCAGAGCATTTGAATTTATAAATTACATAGTTATAAGATTTAAAAAAGGTTCCAATTAATTTACTGTACAGCATGCAAAATCGGTACTTACTCAGACTTTTCAGTTCAAGTCATTAAACACTTAAACCTGAAAAAACACTAAATGAATTTATTAAAATACAATATTCACTCAACACCGCGCGTCGCGTTCCCGTCAAAAACTCATGTCAAAAGGTCACTGACATTTGAAATGCATTCTCAAATGAATTCTTTTTCTGATCTCAGATACAGAAGCAGGCGGCCATAGCCCGGGCTTAGTTGGCGGTACGTATACATTTAATAAGTTCCAGGGTGGTGACCTTGCACCGTGAGACGTAGCATGGGTGAACCTCCACAGCGAAGAACGACCATTCTCAATGCGGGCAGCATCGGAGCCGTCATTACGACTAATGAGACACCTATGTCCAGCAGTGGATGTCTCTGGGCTGATGACGACCCCAAAAGCCTAACTACATTCCCGATCCTGCGGACCGAATGTCAACAGTCGACGTCGCCCAAAACACGTAATTTCGGATCCTCCCGATCCACTAACGGTGCTTTAGGTACCTTAAACACCGGTCATCGTTCTCGTCGAACCCGTCGCTTGCGACGAAGGGCTCGACGAATAAATTAACCCTCAAACACAGCCCACTGAGTTTCTCGCCAGATCTTCTCAGTGGGTCGCGCTTCCGATCCGGCAGTAGATTCATTCGCGAAGCAGTTGCTCTTGAGTTGTTAGGTCTCCTTCGGAGGCGCTCGGGCAGCTGTTAGCTAATCCCACCTCTGCTGACTGAGCCCTTGCTCGCCCACCTGTCCTGGTGAAACTAAAAAGGCGTTCGAACCACCAGTAACCCCTCATTCATAAAAAAAGTAAACATTCAAGTAATTTGCTGCCAATTTACGGGTAGTAGTTTATTGGTGTGATGACTCAAACTTCGACCTATCAAGATCGGCGCTGGTGTTCACATTGGTTGAGAGAGAGACAGAAAGAGTCAAAGGTCCGGCTTAATGGCCACAGATTCGATCGACAGTTTCGATTCTTAATTGACTTTATAAGGATTCTCACTAGCAATCTGAACGTTAAATGCTTTTTCCGTGCGTGCCTTTCCATCTCCCAGGAATGGTGAATTTTTACAAAATAAAGACCCTATTAGATCATAAATCTGTTGTGTTTCTCGACGATAACGCCATTTGCTTTCTCGTTTGTATGTGCAGACGTAATTTACTTGACTCACTGTGACGAATGTTAAACGAATTTTAATTAATGCAAAGCGTTTTTATTTCCAGGTCTCTTCAAATACTTGCTGGGCGGTAAGTGAAAAAGATAATTTGTTACTATATTTCTAATGACGGTATATAGTTAGTTGTAAGTCTGTAGGACATAGAAACGAATAGAGATGGCAAGATATTTTATTTATTTGAACGATAACAATTTCACAGCAATCTCACTGCAATATGTACTAATGATATCGAAGCTGCTACCAGCACCCCTGGTTGGCTCCCCAAATCAAGAAACCATCAAACTTCCACCAATCTCCGATATACTAGCGTGGACTGATGCGGGATACATACACGCACACACATTTTATTTTTATTGTTTAGATGGATGGACGAGCTCACAGCCCAGCTGGTATTAAGTGGTTCTAGATGTCTATGGGCTCCGGCCCATAGACATCTACAACGTAAATGCGCCATCCACCTTGAGATATCAGTTCTAAGGTCTCAAGTATAGTTACAACGGCTGCAAACCGAACTGCACCCTTCAAACCGAAACGCATTACTGCTTCACGGCAGAAATAGGCAGGTACTTACCCGCCCGGACTCACACGAGGTACCATCAGTAATTACGCAAATTATAATTTTGCGGGTGTGATTTTTATGACACGATGTTATTCCTTCACCGTGGAAGTCAATCGTGAACATTTGTTAAATACGTATTTCATTAGAAAAATTGGTGCTTGCCTGCGGGATTCGAACGCCGGTGCATCGCTACATACGAATTGCCACCTACAAAATTATAGTTTGCGTGATTTCTGGTGGTAGGACTTCTTGTGAGTCTGCGCGGGTAGGTACCACCACCCTACGTATTTCTGCCGTGAAGCAGTGATGCGTTTCGGTTTGAAGGGCGGGGCAACCGTTGTAACTATACCGAGACCTTAGAACTCATATCTCAAGGTGGGTGACGAATTTACGTTGTAGATGTCTATGGGCTCCAGTAACCACTTAACACCAGGTGGGCTGTGAGCTCGTCCACCCATCAAAGCAATAAAAAAAACTACAATTCTAAAGTTGCGATATGATGACAATAAACCATGGAACGGTTTGCGTCAAAGCAGTTATAATTAAGCATATGATTCGTAAAACCTATATATTATACTAATCTATATATTTTGAAATTGCCAACAGGAAAAACGCAGTGAAGAAGCGTGAACCATGAAACCGAACAACCAAACATCAAACAAATCAATTGTTCTAACATAATTTTCTAAACCTGCAATGAACACATCATAATTACAACCTATTCATTTGCTTTACCACAAAAAAAAGAAATCATTCTTGGATTCGCGAAAACACATAAATATTTAAGATTAAGATCTGCAGAATTCATTATTAAACTTTTTTTTAAACTAATCACAATTACTTTACTTTCTCATTCGAATCGTTGGGGTTATGAAAAACATTTATGAGGGCTTTATGGGCGAAACGGCAAATGTTTATACTAACAGCTGATAAGACGCCGCCATTTTCTAACTTTTAACTGGCCAGCGATGAATAAATTTGTAATGTTTTAAAATAATTTAGTAATAAAACAAATAAACAGTTACGTGTGCGATTAATTTAAATAGTGGAAATAAAAATGAACGAAACAGATAAATGCATTTTTAATTGTCCGAACGTCCAAAAACTTGGTGGTGTTGTGTCTGTGGAGTGTGTTAGTTCGCTCGTCGAACCCTTCCTTCCACTCGATTTTGACAGAGTTTTCGTGGTCATCACTTCAGGCATTGGTGACTCTGAGTGGAGTGCTCTGAGAAACTGTTTGAGATGATACCATCATCTCGTTTACACCATCGCACCGCCCGCCACCGGAGTAGAGTTGATACACTAGCTGGAGCCACTGCGTTCATCCACAGTGCGTTGCCGGAGATCTTTTTTGCAACGTACTATCGGACTTTGGAATGAATCCCCCTCCACGGGGTTTCCCGAGCGCTATGACATTTCCTTCTCCAAACGAGGCTTGTGGAGAGTGCTTAACAGTAGGCAACGGCTTCGCTCTGCCCCTGGCATTGATAACGGCCATAGGCGAGGGTAATCACTCACTATTAGGTGGGTCGAATGCTCGTCTGCCTACGAAGGCAATTAAAAACAATATCCGAGTATCACGCACTCACGAATCATCTCACAAAATATGATTCAAAATAAAAGTAATCCTACACTTCAAGGATGACAGTGATGTCAAACTTCGAGATTACTTTGTACAGGTAATATTAGTGAAAATAATAAAAAAACAATTTACAACAAAAACTGAATATTAGTATAGAAAAATAACAACATTAATAATTTTGTTGAAGAAAAATAATAAATAACTGGGAACAAATCACGCACGGTCACCCTGCCCTAAATTAAGATTCCCTGTGTTATGAGTACCATAGTAAACACCCAGAGACAAAGAGCAAACAAACCTGTTGCCAGTTTTTTAACATTCTCGGTAGCGTAAAAGTTAACTCAAATTTGTATGCTGTTGGAACGTTTGCCTTCGTTTGCCGCTAGAGGCGCTGTTCCAACTGCATACAAATTTGAGTTAACTTTTACACTATCGAGAACGTTAAAAAACTCGCACTAAGCACACACCACACGAATGTATGCCCTATGTGGATACGAATCTACCCATGACCCTCGGCACAAAAGTGACGGCCGCTAACTATTGCACCGGCAGTCAGTCCAAGAAGAAGTCGAGAAAAATCGATTGTATATTTAATATAGTAATATTTATATCTATATAATTAATATTTGGGCTGTGTAGACAGTAGACAAACTGTTAGCAGCCGACTGAGTGAGCCACTTTGTGGCCGAACTGAAATTTAAGTTAACTGCAAGCTCAGATCAATTTTCGTGCGTTAAGCCGCTTATTTAGGCCGACTGAATTTTCACTTTACTATTTTTGCACGAGTGGTGTTGGTCACGATGGATATTTTCGAAGTAATTGGTATATGGTGGCGCTGAGAGAGAATAAAAAGAAGCACTGGGTTCACCCATTAAACAGGAAAAGATTGAGTATTGGACTATTTCACGTTCTTTACCCTCAACATAGGAAAAGTTTAGCCGACTGGAATCTGTTTCTCTGTGAGTCGGCCACTAACCGAGACACGTCGACGCACTGCAAGCTCAGCGTAAAGTGAGCGCAAAACTAGCAAATTGTGGACACTACATTTCAAATATAAGGAAGGAATTTTTCTAATGAAATACGTACTCAACAAATGTTCACGATTGACTTCCACGGTGAAGGAATAACATCGTGTAATAAAAATCAAACCCGCAAAATTATAATTTGCGTAATTACTGGTGGTAGGACCTCTTGTGAGTCCGCACGGGTAAGTACCACCGCCCCGCCTATTTCTGCCATGAAGCGAATAGGGTGATCGAGCTAAGAGAGATATTGAGTACACCAATCAAGTTTGTTGTCTTAGAACAATTTAGAAATCTTCTCTTGACGTTAGCAAACGAAAACGAATGACAGTTGTTAGAACGGAGACACCGCTCTTCAAGAAGGCTGGTTGGTAAGTGTGATGGCGTCTACGCGCCTCCATCGGCTAGGCTCTGTCGCAGCACGAAGTTAACCGAGTTCCGACGATACCGCAATCGTGCTGCCATCTCTCGGGAATCGTGCTGCGTTTCGTTTAGCTAGGTACTAAAGTAATAACCGTCTCCGACATTTATAAAGATTATACGGCCCGGTCAACTGCCCGTATGACCCGCTACCCTATAGCAAACGCATACATCTTTATGTATCAAATAAAACACATTTAAGGCAAGAATATTTATTCAACACACAACAAATCAACCTCCAATAGCATTCACGACAATAAACATTAAAAAACTGAACAAAGAACGAAGAAACGATAATTTATTTTACTAAAATTACCAAACAAACGATTTGAAGTCGTCACGGCCTAATGGATAAGACGCCCGGTGTTCGAATCCCGCAGGCAGCTACAAATCGTTCTAATGAAATACGTACTTCACAAATTTTAATGTGCTCAATTTACTTTTTTTTTTTTTTATTGCTTAGATGGGTGGATAAAGGAATAACATCGTGCATTAAAATAAAAACCGACAAAAAAAATATTCATATGCGTGATTACTGGTGGTATATTAAGTAAGCAGTAATGCGGTTTAGGTTTAATCAATCTGAATTTCACAACAATTATACGCATATTTATATGGCTTTTATTATTATTCAAATACTTATACCTATTACGGGCTGTACAAGAATCATGATTAAATATACAATTTGATTGTTATAACAATTAATATACAATATTTTTTTACTAAATCCATTCAATTTTACTTTTAAAGATTATACACAGCACGAATTTTGCACAATACGTCACATGTATAGCTGCAGTTATATGTACTTGCTATTACGCGTGTCGGTGACGCAAACCAATAAGATTTTCCCCGAACAAAAAATACTGAACGCGGCTAAAGAAGCTATCACTTCTAAAAACAATTCTGCTCGCAACTTCACTACAAGTGACGTCGATCATACGAAGCCATGTATTAATTGCGATTCTATCACAATGAATTTCATGATGATCCTTTAATAAGTATTATTGGATTATATTTATTTAACGGTTTATATTTGCGCTATGATCCAATATAGATCGATTATGTAATGCGTCTCTTTATCTTTAAACAATCCAATGGACAGTCGACCTTTAAGACGATAAATATCACGATTACCGTGTGCCACTTTTATGAAGAAAAAAATATTTTAACACAACCCTTATTAATATTGTTACCTTTTAATGTCCCCAACAAAATTAAATTATCTATTAGTGACGTACATATGGCTTCTGAATTATTTGACAAACTGGTCCATGTCTGCATTATGCTACAAAAAAATTGCAACGTTCTCATAAAATGATAACGAAAATAAGTATATATATTTTTTAATTCAAACTATATTAAGTGACAAATACTACCAAAAAGGTTACACACGTGTAGATCCTACGGACCCGTAACGATATAATCTGTGGCACAATAAAAAACCGCGAAAACGATGACAGTGTCAAAACAGCTACATTGTACTTCGCGGAACTCAAAGTCCCGAAAAATTATCGAGTGGTGGATGCATTAGGACCGCGGACCACAGCACTCCTACTTTATTCATATAGAACGCAGTCAACTAAAAACCAAACGACTGAGTCGTGGATTTTTTCAAATAATAACTGTACTCCTGCACCAACCGATTTCTCTTTGGAAAAACATTGCAATAATTAATTATAAAACACTACTTAATCGTAAAACTAATATACTACGGTATTTTCGCCGTCTTATAAATTAAAATGGATTAATTATTTGGTAAAAAAAACAAACATTTATCACATTAATTTAAAGACTAAACCTACATACCTATCTTTTGCACGCCATTTTATGCTACGAAGAATTCTATCTAATACATTTTTGTACATATATTCTAATAATAAAAAAACAACATTAAATGCATGCTCATAAGTTTTTTTTTTGCCTATTATAATTCAAAACTATGCGAGGAACATTAAATTAATTTTAAATTAAATGGCGCATTAAATTCACAATAAAGGGAGTAATTTTTTTTTATTCCTACAACCGTCTTAAAATTGTTAAGACTAGTCCACACAGCACCTTGAATAACGATTTTTAAAATTAAAATACATAACGATGGGTGAAAGGGTATTTGGTTTAAGCGACATTTCGCTTAATACGCGACATTTATCTTTGTAATTAAAGTTCCGTTTTATTAGTTACTAGCGACCCGCCCTCGCTTCGCTTCGGAAGCATTAAATTTCATTATTGATAGCTTAGTCGCGCGATGTTACCCGCGGCTATTGTCGTTCCACGGGTAACGCCGCGGGGCGAAACTAGTCTAAAAAAATGGTGGTCATTTACTGTGAGACTTTTTCAGTGGACTTTTTGGAGGATCCCGAGAAGTTACGTTCAGCGGCTCTGTTTCATATTCCCACTGTTTCATATTCCCACATTAGTGGACTTTCACAGATACTAAACAGTTAATAAACCACCGTTATACACATTTAAACCTGAAGAAACACTAATTAGATAAAATAAACCAAACCATACAACTTCAGCCCTCGCGTTCCCGCCAAAAAGTCCTTATATTGACTACTAGCGACCCGCCCTCGCTTCGCTTCGGAAACTGTAATTTATTATTGATTTCTCCACTATTTAATGGATGTTATTATACATATAAACCTTCCTCTTTAATCACTCTATCTATTAAAAAAAACCGCATCAAAATCCGTTGCGTAGTTTTAAAGATTTAAGCCTACATAGGGACAGACAGATATAGGGACAGAGAAAGCGACTTTGTTTTATACCATGTAGTGATATTGGCTCCGGACCACAGACAAATATAATGATAATTATAAACGCAAATTCCAAGCTTAAAACTAGTTTAAATCGTGTTTACGGTTCACGAAAACCGTAAAAATTGCCAATTAAAAATACAATACATTATTATTCGTCACCAGCGCCGCTCGAACGGACATAGAAACGAATAGAGATGGCAAGATATTTTATTTATTTCAACGATAACAATTTCGCAGCAATCTCGCTGCAATATGTACTAATGCTATCGAAGCTGCTACCAGCATCCCTGGTTGGATCCCCAAATCAACAAAACATCAAACTTCCACTGAAAAAAAATCCAAAACCTATTCGTCTATCTCTTTCGCGCACTACGCAAGCGCAACGCGAGCGAAAGAGACGGGCTGCTAATTAATTCAAACAAATGAATTCCCACTTCGACGCCCGACTGTTGCTTCAACAGTTGCCGGCGACAATCGCACAGACTTATTTATTTGACGAAACGAGTTCTAGTCTAGCTCTAGTCTCTAGTCGACGTTAGTACAGTCGGTCCGCGGACCGCAGCAGACCTCAAGTCGCCCGCCGCGATCAAAAGAAGCAACTCTTTGCCGCGTTAACATCGTAATTATTATTGTCTTTTTTAAGATTATCGACGTATGGAGCGCATCCCCCGCCCAATATTCCCAACAGTATCAGGAAACCAAAAGACGAATTCGATTTAAACTTATCAGCGCAGTCCTTCGCGTCATCCGTTTTGAGCGTGTAAATCTGGAAATAAATCTATATATTAATAAGTGAAGGAAAAACTTTGTATCCCTTTTTACGAAAATCGCGCGGACGGAGGAGTATGAAATTTCCCACACTTATAGAGAATATAGAGAAGGAATGCAGAATGTTAAAATATATTTTTTCAATTATGCATTAATAATACATTAAATCAATAATAAAAAATACATTACACACACAACCATGTATTTGACACAACACCTAAATAGCACACTCTTTTGTTTATTGTTTAAAGTCTGTGGTCAAATTAAGAATAGATTAATATTGTTTGTCTTTAATATAATTTCTCTATTGTGTAGTTTTGGCGAAATCTGTAATTAAACAAGTATAATCGTCTTTGACAATAGAACCATAATAATTGCAACTATACTGTGACCTTAGAACTCATATCTCAAGGTGGGTGGCGGCATTTACGTTGTACATGTCTGTGGGCTCCGGTAACCACTTAACATCAGGTGGGCCGTGAAATCGTCCACACGTATAAGCAAAAAAAATATATTCGACTACTGCGCGACCATTGGTGTTGATAACAGAGCCCTTCTTGAGACATGAGGTCCGGTCCGCGCTGCGAGGAGACCGCACCTGTCGCGCGGCGGCGGCAACGTACGCCAGCACGGCGGCGTGGTACAGCGGGCCCAGCCCCGCAGCGGCACCGGCGGCGACGAAGCTGACCCCGCTCGCAGCCAGCACCGCGCCCAGCGCCGCCCGCGTGTGCCGCCCGAACGTCAGCGCAGTCGACTTGATCCCTATACGGGCATCGTCCTTTTTATCCTGAAAAAAAAAAAAACAACTGAGACTAATTTTCATCTTCTTTGTTGGGAGGATTATCTATATATTAATTTAAGACAACAACAACAAGAAGTCCATATGTGTGCATAGAATCACTGAAACATACTTAAAATTACCAAAACAAATCAAATGAAAAAGATACATTTATTAAAAATAATTATCAGTTTAATACATTTAAAATATTCCATTCAACTGATACTTACTTCGAACCAACCATTATTATTATTTAGTCCGCATGTGAAGCATGGTACAATGCTTCTACAGTCATAACGGTCTGCTAATGCCTTCAGGATGCTGTTAGGGCTGACCCGGACTCAGCGAATCAGGGATGTGTACCTTTTCCGCATGGTCGTGCCTCGGCGAACATCCCCGACGCGCTACAGAACCGAGGCAGCCCTAACAACGCCCTGAACGCATTGTTGTATTGGACATAGATAATCTATCTACTGGTACATGTACTACTCAAGTTGGATGGCGCATTTACGTTGTAGATGTCCATAGGCTCCAGTAACCACTTAACAACCAGATGGGCTGTGAGCTAGTCCACCCAACAAAGCAATAAAAAAAAATTTTAGGGGATTTTATGACCTGGCAACTAAGACCTTTATTAGGTCAAGTCTTATTTTATTTTTAATGAAAACTTTTTTATATGAAAAAGTATGTTATGAAATGAAATGAAGTTGATTATTATGAAACATGGCATGAAATGAAATGAAAACAAAATGAAATGAGATGAGATTATATGGGATGAAAAAAAACTTAAATTATAAACTTTTTCAGTGGACTTTTTGGAGGATCCCAAGAAGTTACGGTCAGCGGCTCTGTTTCATTTTCCCACATTAGTGCACTTTCAGAGATACTCAACAGTCCATAAACCACAGTTATTACACATTTAAACCTGAAGAAACACTAAATAGACAAAATAAAACAAATCACACAACTTCACTCCTCGCGTTCCCGTCAAAGAGTCCACATAGATAATACACATCAATTAGTTATAGATAAGCAACTCAAGCACTCAACAAAAATGTTTACGGGCGTCGGCCACTAGATGGCCTCGCTTCAATTAGTTTCTCATTGCTCCTGTAGATAGCAGTCACATATTACCTATCATATATTTTATTTTTAATGAAGGATTTTGTAAATTTTCAGAAACCACAAATTGATATAGTCTCCGGCACGTAACTTGGCAAGAGTCGTTAGATGCGCAGAAGTCGTTTTTTAGGTCTCTTTGGTTGTCAAGCGGGATGCGGGGAAAGACGTAGCACCGTTCCGAGCGCGCGATTGGTGAGTCAGTCGACCCTCCCCTCCCGCACCGCGTTCACGTTCCGTTCGCTCCCGATTACACATGCGTCTACTAAAGTTGTAGGTACCCTTTGTTTATATTGAGTTTTTGTTACGAGTTGTTATTATTGTTTTAAATTTAGTTTTTGTTACGAGTGTTATTGTTTTAAATTTAGTTTTTGTTACGAGTGTTATTGTTTTAACTTTGTTTGCAATGCCAAGAACAAATACCAATGACCATATAGTCGATTCAATCACTGAGCGTTTTATTATTTACGCCAGTGACGACAGTGACTCTTCGTTATATCGAGGATGAGGAGCCAACTCCTTCCACCAGCTCAGGTGCTACCATAAATTTAATCCAAGGGGTAGCACTATTAGAAAATGATAGTGACGACGGCGACACATAATTTTTAATATTAAGTATATTTTTTCAAATAAACTTCTTAATTTTTAATTGTATTTTATTTATAACACCTAATACACTTCACGAATTCCTCTCTTTTCTTTAACTTTCTTCTAAGCACACAGGCTTAAAAATAAATTATGACAAATAAAAAATTAAATAAAATTAAATTATATGCGGGCAATAAAAGTAACAATTTTTTTGTAGCAATGTGCACTATGCGCGACATTACCCCCACTACACCAAAACCTTGCCAACTTACGTGCCGCTTACTATAAAATTTCATCAATTTGCCTATAACAAATGAAGACTTGTATGATTTATAATTTTTTTATTTTCTGTGTTTTGTTTTCTGTGTTTATAAAATAATTAAATGCCTTAACTTTAACAACATATCCGTTTAGGGGTATCCACTACAAGATGTCGCTAGTTTCCATACAAAAAAAATTGTCTTAAAGTATCACAGTTTCAGAGCACTGTAAGTTACTATCTAATTAAGATTGTTAATAAAGGCTTCTTTATCTTATTTAAGACATTTTGCATTTGGGGAACCGGTACACGCCGGGCGTCGTGCTCTCCAGACCACAGAGGCTGTACTTACTTGGTGAGCGTATATGGTGTCGTAGTGGACGGTCCAGCCGAGGGCGGCGGCGTACAGCGGGAGGCATACGGCCGCGTCCAGGGAGCCTTGCACCGCGCTGTAGCCCAGCAGCGCGCCCCAGTTGAACGTGGCCCCCAGGAAGACTTGAGGGTAAGCCGTGAAACGCTTCGCCAACGGATACGTCACCACTAGCACTGAATAATTTACAAAATTAAAGAGCTCATTTTTTCTATTGCTTAGATGGCTAGACGAGCTCACAGCCCACCTGATGTTAAGTGGTTGCTGGGGCCCATAGACAACTACAACGTAAATGCGCCAGTAAGCACTTAACACCAGGTGGGTTGTGAACTTTTTTACTGGTGGTAGGACCTCTTGTGAGTCCGCGCGGGTAGGTACCACCGCCCTGCCTATTTCTGCCGTGAAGCAGTAATGCGTTTCGGTTTGAAGGGCGGGGCAGCTGTTGTAACTATACTGAGACCTTATAACTCATATCTCAAGGTGGGTGGCGCATTTACGTTATAGATGTTTATGGGCTCCAGTAACCACTTTAACACCAAGTGGGCTGTAAGCTCGTCCACCCATCAAAGCAATAAAAAAAATAAAAAGAACACTTCCGCCCATCTAAGCAATAAAAAAACATAAAAAAACACAACTGGAGATGCAAAGCATCTAAAAAGGTGGCAAATTTTAGACTTAGACCTTTATAATTAAATTTTCTGCTGTAATTGAAGACATTTAATTAAATGTCATCCACAACTCCAAGCCGTTGGAGTACATCTTATTATGATTATTTAACCGATTGTAGAAAAATTTAGGATAAATTTAAATAGATAAATAAATGTAAAGACAAGACCTTTTTAATATTTTTTTATATAACACATTTGAAACGGTTTTAAAAAAAATGAATTTTCTTATATATAGATTGACTGAACTATCTGTCATTGAGAAAAAAGGGGAGTTTGGTTTTACTTAATTCAATAATACTGTGTAAAATCATAATTTGTGGAAAAGCTAAGGCATTAAATGTTGTTTTCTTAATATTTTACAGAAGAAAAGAAGTATTTTATTATTGTTCAACCATTTTTGAATATTCCATATCATTATAAATTTATTTCAATCATATATTCATCATTTTCTTGACTTTTATTATTTAACTTTGCTGATTGGTTTTTATTTCAGTACCTACTTAAAAGTATTTAGGAAATTTATTATATTAGAAAAAAAACAGATAAAATAAATCAAACAAAAAAAGAAATAGGAAATCAAATTATTAAGTAAAATAAATAAAAATGTCTATATTTTTTTTCGATCGTATAAAATTACATAAATCTATCTATATATATAAAAGTGAATTGCTGTACATTAGTCTCGCTAAAACTCGAGAACGGCTAGACCGATTTGGCTAAATTTGCTCTTGAATTATTTGTGGGAATCCAGAGAAGGCTTAAAAGGTAGATAAATATAAAAATGCTCGGAATTAAATAAAAATGACAATGTTGTTTTTCCTTTGATATGTCCCCCCCCTGTCGGACGGATTCCTTTTGTTTGTTTTAAGTTTATTTTATACAAAAGCTTAGGTCTTTTGTTCATCGACTGAGGCACTATGAAGTCTGCAGCTAGTAATTTAAAAAACAATACGAAACAATTAATTTATAATGTGAATATACACCGTGTGCTTATAGTTTGTTTGCGTTAAGAATCCAGTGAGTCTTCAGTACAACTGCAGGGTAAAGGTGTATTCACAGTGATGTTAAAATTGAAACAAATTATATATTTAAAGATTAAGTTTAATGAATGAAAAAAATACACCTTAAAAGTTAAAAATCAAAATAAAAGTCATTAATATATTAATTGTATAATATAATCATCGCAGCTCATGCATTATTTTGTGAAGTGTGGTACGTTTAAGCGTTGAAGTATCTTCATCAGCTTCACAAATTGTCATAATTTTATTTAATGTCATGTAGTATTTAAATATATTGAATGTACTTTTTACTTGAGAAGAATTTTAATTGTATGCGCATGCGTGTTGCTTGTACATGGATTCATGAGTATTAGAGATCCCGCAGTAGTCGAAATTCGACTATAATTAATTGGAATTGTAAGTTTGTACACTATTATAATTGTATTTTATACTTCCATAATCACAAATTTCGCCATGGCTACACTATAAAAAAATATTAATAAAGACAAACAATATTTAATCTATTCTCAATTTGACCACAGACGTCAAGAACAAAAGTTTGACAATAAATAGTATGCATGCGTGTGTGCGTCAAATACATGGTATGTAGTGTGTGTAATGTTTTCTTTATTGATTTAATTAGATCTTTTATGCATTATTTTAAAAAAATATTAGCATTGTGCACTTCTGCTCTATATTCTCAATCAGTGTGGAAATTTTCATTCTCCACCGTCCGCGCAATTTTCGTAAAAAGGGATACAAAGTTTTTGCTTCATGTATTAATATATAAATAAAGTATGCATTGGGGTGGCAGAGTGGGATCAGAAAGAGAAAGGATGAAAGAACAGAAATAAAGAGGGAGAAAGAGAAATGTATCATACACTATTAACTATAGCATTTCCACTATATGTTTTTCTTAGGGTTTTAGTCCCACATTTTGTTCAGTTCATTTGCAAAGCAAAATTCCTATCTCCTCCAAGCCTGTCATATTTTTTTTTCCTACCTAATCTGATAGCCTTGAGAGGCTATATCGGCGGAACCTTAACTAGTAGGTGAGCTCACGGGGCTCAAACCTGATGACGGTGCTAACACGAGCCCTAGCAAGAGCCGTGCTTCGCAGAATCTAAAACCGAATCGGAAACGCGACCCACTGAGAAGATCCGGCGAGAAACTCAGTGGGCTGTGTCTGAGGGTTAATGTACTCGTCGAACCCTTCATCGCAAGCGACGGGTTCGACGAGACCGATGACCGGAGCCTGCCATAAGGAACCACGTTCCAATAAAAATAGCACCCTATATGTTATTAGAAAGTTTGAAATAAACTCACGCATGCTGCTGGCTCCGAGTGCTACGCTGTAACAGTTCAACTGCAGCAATACACCCAAAGCTAATGAGAGCTGAGCGGCTAAAAATATCATAGCACCAGTCTGTGAGACAGCACCAGACACTAAGGGTCTGTCTTTTGTTCTTGCTACCTGAAGGCAAATACGGAATTGTTCAGGTCACATAAAAACAATAAAAACAGGGTCGAATACTTATAAAATTTATTACTGGTGGTAGAACCTCTTATAAGCCCACACGGGTAGGTACCACCGCCCCGCCTATTCTGCCGTGAAGCAATAATTCCTTTCGGTTTGAAGCACGGGGCAGCCGTTGTAACTATACAAAGACCTTAGAAGTCATATCTCAAGGTGGGTGGCGCATTTACGTTGTAGATGTCTGTGGGCTCCAGTAACCAATTAACACCAGGTGGACTGTGAGTTCGTCCACCCATTTATGCAAAAAAAATTATTATAGACTTTTCTAATCAGTCTCGTGAAGAGTCAATCACTAATAGTCATAGAAATGAACCGATCAATTCAAATTGTTTTGTATTGAGAGTGTTTTTTAATAGCCCCAGAACTCGTACTCGCTTACTGGTGGTATGACGTCTTTCAAGCCCGCACGGGTGGGTTTTTTTTTTTTTTTTTCGGGCCGAGGGCCGAACCTCCTACGAGGTCCCCGCGCCTAGGGGGCGCGCGGGGTATGTGAGACTCAACGATCTGCAGGTGTTGAGAGCAGACCGCGGGCCCAAGGAATTTAGGGCCCACCCACTAAACGACTCCCCTGCACTCTTACACCCGGCGTCCGATCTCCGTCCGGGGTCAAAACCCGGTCAGAGTAGGGGGGTTCCCGCGGTCAACACTACAACCAGACACGCGGCGCCACCCCGAGGACGCCCGACCGACGGGTCGTCGAGGCGATAGTCGACGACCAACGACGTCAGTCTCCGCGGTACGGCGGCCCTACCAGGCCGCCCGGGCGATGCCGCTGGTGTTCCGGGATACCCCGCTGGGCCAGAACCAGCCTGCCGGGTCGGAACGCGATACACCGCCGACCGAGTTGCTCTTCCACAATATGTTCGGCGACGACAGCGACGACGAAAATGCCGCCGAAGCGTCGTCCCGTCCTCCTGGTGCCAGCGCGCTAGAGTGACGGTAGCGTGCGGCGCAGTCTCAACCCCCTTAGGTCGCCCCGTGACCATCACCGGGAGGAGACTGCCTCCTCATAGGGGCCGGAGCTGGACAAACGCCCTCCTCCGACCCCCGGCTCGACGGCGGCGGCACGGCGCCGAGAGGGAGGAAGAGTTCTCCCTCTCCCGTTCCGCCGCCTCCTTCTGCGAGATGGTGGACTCGCAGAAGTCGAGCATCGCCTGTCAGGACTCATCGCTGCCGAGCATCGCAACCACGACGGTCGGAATCGACAAGTCCGGTCCTATTTTTGCAACAAGGACGCGGCGCTGCTCCGCGAAAGCGGGGCAGTACGCGAGCGTGTGCTCCGCCGTGTCCTCGCTGCAGCCACTGCAATGGTGGCACTTCGGCGTCGGCTCCCTCCGGGCGATGAGGTGCAGGTAGCGACCGAAACAGCCGTGTCCCGTGAGCACCTGCGTCGCTCGGAAGGTGAGACGTCCTCGGTCGATTCACCCAGTCCAAGAGGACCGGGCGGATCGCCTCGACGGTCCGTCGCCCGTAGGCGGGGTCCGCCAGGCGGCGAGACCACGCCTCGAACACGGCACGCCGAGATTCAAGCTTCCGCGCTCGAACTTCCGCCGCGCCGGGACGCGGCTCCTCCCTGGAGCGGAGATCACATCGCCAAGCGTAATCCGCAGCGAGCGCCTCCACTTCCAGGTCCCAGGGAGGCGTCCCGGCGAGCACGCACGCCGCCTCGAACGAGACGGTGCGGTACCCACGAACCGCCCTGACCGCAATCGCACGCTGCGGACGTCGCAACGCTGCGACGTTGTCACGTGTCAGGGCGTGGCACCTTACGGGAGCGCCGTACAGTGCCATTGACCGCACCACCCCCGTGTAGAGGCGGCGCACCACCATGTCGGGACCCCCGACGTTCGGCAACAGCCGACTCAGCGAGCCGGCGGCTGCCATCAGTCGGGGACCCAATCTTTCGAAGTGAGCACGGAAGCTCCAACGACCGTCCAGTACGAGACCGAGGTACCGCAACCGGGTCGCCTCGATCTCGACGCGAACGCCTCCAATCACGAGGTGGGCCCCGCACGGGTGGGTACCACAGCCCTGCCTGTTCCTGCCGTGAAGCAGTTATGCATTCCGGTTCGATGGGAGGGGTAGCCCTTGTACTATAGAAGTCAGATTTAGAACTCATCTATCAAGACAGGTATCCTCATTTACATTATTAATGTCTACAGGCTCTAGAGACGTGAGCTCATTCTAACCTGTTTGTCTATATCTCGATCCCACATGTCATTGATTGTGCATCCAGCCCCTCTCATTAAGCCGGCTCCAACGAGGAATAGCGCGGCCGTCTGCAGCGTAGTTTGTATGGGTACACCAGGAATCGAAGCCAAGGCAATGGACCATGTACAAGGCCAGTAGAGGAGATACACTCCTGGAAAGAAAAATTTTGCAAATTTAAAAATTATACTGACATTTTACTCCAGGACTTCAGCAATGACAGTCAGTTATTAATTCTAGACTGAGCCACTTATATGCATTGAATTAATGTTATATCAACATCCATAAGAACGGCATCGACATTATCTTCAGACAATTGAGTCTTCAACCTTCTGACTGGGGTTACTGAATTTATTCTTTGGGTTCCAGTAACAACTGAATACCAGATCCATTAAGTCATCTACCTATCAAAAACAAAAAAACTTTAATATTATCCAATCACAAATGAAATGAAGTTTAAGTTTACCTATAGGTCGATCCCATCTAGCTAACCTCACATACGGCAATACTTTGTCTTTCCATATTTGTTTTCTTTGTGAATCTGGCAGCACCTCACTCAGTTTGTCTATGACTATCTTTGGTTGACTAGTTTCTATCACAACTTTTTGTCTGTGGTGGTCGCTCTGTGTTGAATGAACTCTCACATTGTACCTTCTTGAGCATGCGTTTCTGCATGCGGTGCACCCATGAGCATTGTACTTCATTAGCAGATGCACCTTTTTACTTATTTTCAAATTAACATTTGTAATGTATAAAAGTTTTTTTAATTGGTAAATTTTCGACGTTTTCAACATTTCGTCCGATACCTATTCTGAAACAAAATAATAAATAGATTTATACAGTAAGTTTTTGATTGACCAAAGTAAGCATTTATTGGAATAGTTAAGTAAAATGGATACTTAGCAAGCTTTGGTTCTAGAAAAATATATTGAAAGATTCTTAGCAATTTCTGGTGTGGTACTTATTACAAAACGGATGGTAGTATTTACGATTAATGGGCTCTCTTAACGACTTATCACTATGGGATATCAGACGCCCTGCCTAAAAAGCCAATTTTCATAATTATTGAATATTTTATAATTTTATGTTTACAGGATATAATTCCGAGGCCAATAGCAGCAGACGTCGCAGATTGATGTCAAAGCAATATATAGCTTCTAGTTTTCAGAAAATCATTATAATTTGTATTATTTTCTATTTTGCATAATTGAGAATGAGATTATGTCACATAATTGTAACTAATGAAGGAACCATTATTAGAAAACCAAAACATCTATGATCCACGGGTGATTGACACATTGTTACATTAATTACTTACCGTCTAGAAAAATTAATTATGACCAAAGATATACTATTTTTTACAGCGTCGTTCAAGGTTATAAATTTTCAAGGTCCCAATTTTTTATTCACTTATATCACTATCACTACGTTATATCTTAGAGGAATTGTCATTTTCATTACACTTTATTTAAGACTAAGATATTTTTCACAGTTTTTGTAATTTTTTTGTTTTTATTATTTCGTTTAAGTTTTATTCTGCAAAATTAAACATGCCGCCTATATGTATAAACTAGAACGATCCGGTCAAATGACAACAAACGAAGACAGCTCTCAGTTTTGACAAATTCTGTTATGTCAATTGGATAATTTGATTGTTTTTTTTTTACTTAATGACCTGGTATCTAGACTTTTAGGACAAGTCTTGAGTATTTTATGCGGCTTATTACCTACCTATAATTTTCCCACTGTATTTTTGGTGAATTTATATAGAGGCAATTTATATATATAGGGGGATATAATATATAAAGGGAATTCATATTATATACGTAATAGGATGAACAATTTGATTGTTGCATCACAAAATACGTAATTATTTAATATTTAAAAGATAAATGCTTTATGATTCGGGTTTTTAGTGGGAATACGAAAAGACTTACATACGTGAATTATTTTATTACGTTAGTTTTATATCAGTGTATGTGTACGAAAATTTATTTCTCATTAACCGCTTAGTACACATAAAACTACCATGCCATTTTACTGATAAATAATAATCCATTACATTGATATCATTTCACTTAACATTACGATAGATGTAAATCCGGTTTAAACCCAATTAAACCAATTCGTTTACAACGAAAAAAAAACATTTAAAACCGTTATAAAACAAATTTTTTTTTTCGATTTAAAACCTTTGGTGTTGATGACTATGTTTATTTTACCGAAGTAGAGATTTGATGGAGTAACTATTAACCATGTAAAGAATTTTTCAACGTGTTGTACAGGGTGACTTGTAATTCGACGTATTCCTCTTGGGATGTGATAATACATCTAATTTCCAACAAAATTAAATTAACTAATGTCCCTAATACCAAAGTGTCTCGTTATCGAGATATTCAATATTTTTCGTTTTGTTTAAAAAAATCCCGAATTAACTGCAAAAAAAACATTAAATAAAATGCTAGTGTTTTGAATTAAGTTGTTTGAATTTTTATCAGTTACCAATACATCAACTAACATTTATTAATACTAATACTGGCACGAATGTCAAACATTTTAAAATAGCAAGTGATTTCTTATAAAATTTTGTTTTGTTTCGCTACTTTGGTCGATAAAAAACTGGATTTATTTTGAAAAATCAACTAAGCATTATGCGTACAAACTACTAGAAAAACTTCTTTGTTTTATTAGCTACTTAAAAACATTAAATTATTTACAAAAAATTGCGCTGTCTATTGATATTAATATACTTACCGGGTTTAGGTCTATTTATTCGTTTTTATAACTTAGGTAGGTATTACCTACCTAATATAAAAAATGTTGAAGAGTTACAAACTGTGATAATGATTAAGCATTTGTTTCATTCTTTTCAAACGATTCAATTAATCGATTAATGAAAAGGTGTGGGGAATTTAGCGGAATTTGGGAATTTATTTAACTATTTCCTTTAATTAAATTAAATTTAATTAAGCATATAAATTTTACTTAATTACTGACTGTTTCTTTTTCTGATCTAATTCAACTTAAAAGTATATAGTTGTAATAGAATATGAGGCAAGGGAAAAGGAAGGAAAAGTGTCTTATGTGAGGAACAAATTGATAAAGTTACCCACTGAGTTTCTCGCCGGTTCTCAGTGGGTCGCGATTCCGATGCCACTTAGACAAAGCGGCACGACACGAGAACCCTCTCATCGTGGCCGCCGGTAAACACATTCTCGATCCTGCGGACAGAATGAAAAGCAGTCGACGTCGCCCCAAACACGTCATTACGGATCCTCCCAATCCACTAACGGTGCTTTTAGGTACTTCAAGCACCGGTCATCGTTCTCGTCGAACCCGTCGCTTGCGACGAAGGGCTCGACGCGTAAATTAACCCTCAGACACAGCCCACTGAGTTCCTCGCTGGATCTTCTCAGTGGGTCGCGTTTCCGATCCGATGGTAGATTCTGCGAAGCACTGCTCTTGCTAGGGGTTATGTTGGCAAAGTCCTCAGGTTAGAGCCCCGTGAGCTCACCTATTCTTTCCGTGAATCTAGTATAGCCGTCGAGGTTACCAGAACAGGTAACAAATAAAATTGGTCACTTTGCAACGGACATTTTTTATACACAGGCAGTGTGCCTTACCTCTACCCTCTGATAATACAATTAATATGCTAAGAATTCTATGCACTTATTATATGGAGGGCAAATGTAAGGAGCACCACCTTGTATAGGGGAACAGTTGATAGTGTCCAAGCTGTAAACAGCGAGTTATTGTTGGAAGACTCACCGAAACAGCGCTAGTAGGAAATGTAGGAAGTGGAAATGATGTGAATATAGCGGTTTTAAACAGAGTGAAGTGTGCTTGCTACGTTCAAAATTTTAACATTTTTCGTGACTTGTGTAGTTAAAAAATCTGCAGTATTTAAGATCTCGACTTTTTGCTATCTATCTAGGAAGTGCTTCTTTCCTTCTTAATTTAGTATCCTACTCTAATAGTTTATGACGCTATTTTTTAAGTCTATCCACTTGCTACTGTGGCGCCACCTTAATTGGTTCCCTTTCAACGGACCCTTTTTAATACATTGAGATCGTGTTCCTTACATAACTACAGAATACTAGTGATTTTCTGAACGGTGTATTATCTTTAAAATATGTTACCACGTTACAAGAACCAGAGCTTAAGATTTAATAAAACTACATTTTTCATTCAACAAATGTCAGTTTAATAGAAAAAAAAGCAATAAAATAACACTCGTCAATCGCCATGTATCTGGAAGGTGAAATAATTTCATTATTATATATCTGACCGCAGGAGGCTGCTATACTTGACAATAAGCAAGTCAGCTGCGAGTCGAGTGACGCAATCCGAAATACTTCTTGAAACGTGAGGTCGGTCTCTTCAAACCCAATGCTGCAACGGAGCTCTTCAAACCCAATGCTGATGCTGATGTCTATGGTAGCTTGTCCGTGCAGATTTTAGACAGGACTTCACTTTTTAGTTTCATTGGCCGCGTGAAAGGCTTTATGGAATGGGTGCTTTAGTGCTTCAGCACCTGAACGCCAATAATTCAGAGTCCACTGATAAAAAAACCTCGCCTGACAGTGATTCTTTATCTATTTTCAATAGGCATGATGACTAATTTTCAAAATCTATTCTATGATATTCAGAAGTATCTATTAAATCAAAAATATATCATATTTCTGTAGAAAATAAAGGTTTTCATGCAATAAAATGAAATATTAATTTTAAGTTTCTATTTCGCGCAAAAATGCTGTATAGTGTCATGGCGTCGGTCATTACGTCACTACTCAGTAAACTTCAGTACGTCATTAGTAAACATTAGATGCTTGTATATTAAATCATGTTATTTTGCATAATGAATATGACTTCAAAAGTAGACTTGCGCAAAACATCACTTGCCAATGTAATGTGATATGACATCACTTTTACAGACAGGTGATATTACTCGAAAACATTACACATCACTCTTAACATTACTCGGTGCGTTCAATAGATACTGTGACGACGAATACATTGTATCTATACACCCGAATCATTACTTAAGTGATGTGTTCATACACATCACTTAGGTAATGATTCGGGTGTGTCATTACAGTAGTGTATTACAATACAAAGTATGAACTTTGTATTGTAATACACTGTTATATTACTTGACAGAGATTGACTTACTTAATAATATAATAATTTTATTTTTTACTTAATATAATTTATTGCGGGATGAACGGATTTCATATGGCGACTTAGACTGCAAATTGAGCTCGACGATAATGTTAATATACGAGAGCAGTAGACGCATTGTTTCGGCGCGGTCTCCTCAAAATGCATCCAAAGAGGACTGTACTTTCATTTAGACGCCATTCTTTCTTTCACTTATTAAACACGCATTAAAACAAATAATAAAACTATCTTCAAACAAGTGCTTAAGTAATTCAAACACAAACATTATAATGAAATATTACTAAACAATTACGAGCGACTAGCGATTTTACAAAAGTTGCGAATAAAAAATTAAGTAACTACTTGCGGGGAGCTACCGACTGGCCCATGAAAAATATAAACACAAATACCTATATTAAAATTCAGACGTACCATAGGTATAAAAATGTACCTAGCGGCCAGGGCATACGGTTCAAAATCACTAGGAATAATTCCGTGTCGCTTGCTCATTTATTTTGCGTAGATCGGTCTGTCTCGCTCGCTCGGTTCCGTTCGTGTATCAAGCAACATTACACGACAAAGAAAGAAACATGTTGGGTGATAGCTTCGCTAGAAGTAATAGTGTTCTGTGGGTGATAGTGTGATGTTTGTTTCCTTCGCGTAATGTGTGATGTTGCATTACATCGTAGAGTAATATTACCGGAGTAATATCACTCGCATTACTTACACATGTCTATTCAAAAGTGTATGAGTGGTGTGTGGTCCCTCAGTGCAATAGTACATCTATAAAAACTCCGAACAAGTTAATTTGTTTATGTCCCAAATAACAAAACAATGAGAAATAAATGGTTGGACTCTTGCACGGCGACAACCAATAGGTTTAAGTCTAAATATTTCAATTTATTTCCGTGAAGATCATTTAGATGTAAGTTTGTACATATTTCGTAAATTGTACAATGATGTGTGACCTTAATTGAGGTCTAAAATTTCATAAGTTCAATATTTATTTCATCATTCATTATTATGGACAATGGAATTGGTGTCGCAGGTTCGCATGAAACCAGGCTGTATTCTCACAAAACTTGAATGCCAGATAGTTAGAAAAAAACGAACTGCTAAAATTATTATAGATAACAGAAAATATTAATTTCATGCACTATTTACCATAATTTATCAATTCAGACAATAACCATTAAAATAATTTCACGTTCCCATGGACATCCACATTACATAAAACTACAAGGCAAATATATCACCCTGAAGATCAATCTGATAGTAATACTTCTTTTATACCATCTGTAATGCACAGAGAATCATCATCATCAACAATATCTTAAAATTAAATCTATATTAGACTGCAGTGAGATGATACAAGACAATAAAAAACAGGAGGCATCTAAAACTCTGGAATGTACCTTGCTTAAAATTACAAAGAGCCCGCGATCTTACATTGGAGTTCCCAAAAGCTGTTATTACTTAATTGATTTAATAGAAAAAACATACTAATATTCCTGCTAACAAAATATGCTCATGGGTCTAACCAAAATTAGATTAAATAACCCATTTAGAGAGCTTGCTGATGGCTTTTGTGGAACTTCTGTTGTGGAAATGGTAAACTACGATCATAAAATGTATTTTAGCGACAGGTAAAGCGAAAACAATAGTTTTTTTGTTAAAGTTGCAGTAATCGCATGTAAGCTCAAATGAAACAAGATGACGTTTACTAAGACGTGACGTCATTCGTTCTGATTGGTGTTTAAGCTATGCTGATTGTTATATTTTGCAGATTTATTTTAACAAATATATCATAAATCTCGTCATGAATATGAAAATAAATACATTTTTCATTTGATCAGTTAAATATTTTAGCGATACTTGACTACTGTCATCATGCCTATTAAGACCACTTCGTCTCAATAAGTTTGTAATAAAGTATTTGGGTTAATTTAAAAAAAAAACAGTTAGACTGGAACTGGAATAACCCCTTAGGCTACCGGCGAATAGCTAGGATTAAAAAAACATATCTGACCGCTTCCGCAATCTCAATCCAGTCCATGGCTTTACATAAATCATCGTTCTTCGATGGTTTCTTATCCCAATTCCAATACGTGAAGTTCTTGAAGCCCCCTGTCACCTGAAACCGTAATATATATTGATGGATCTATGTACTTATAGCCAAGAGTCTCCCAGGCTGAGCCCCTTGACGTCGAGCCTGCACGATTGGTGTAGCTATTTTTTTGTGGTTGGGGGCCGAATCTCCTACGAGGTCTTCGCGCCCCCTCAGGTCGCCTCGTGACCATCACCGGGAGGAAACTGCCTCCTCAAAGGGACAAAGCTGAACGAACGCCCTCCTCTGACCCCCCATGTTTGGTGAAGGTAACATAATCCGTCGAGGATACTAGCAATAGGTAAAACAAGGTGGGTCTTTTGTCCTACCATGAGTATTGCCTTGCTATTACTTCACCTGGAATTTTCTTTCAGCATCTTCAGTTAAAGGTCTCTTCGTCTCAGTTACTAAGACAGCTCGGTAGCCCTCCGGAAATGTCATCTGTGTACCGTCAAGAGGATGCCCCCGAAACGTTGCTGATAGTTCTAAAATTAGTTTTTCGTGTGATAGATTAGATGCCACAGAATAACACTAAGGTAACAGAACAGGCTGGCTCATGTCCATAACGATTCAAAAAACATTTAACCCGGTCCATGAGTACCTGGATAAACCCCCTTGCTACGAATGACTTAGAAGATGACGACGACGTTTTTTATGTAGCATACATTAGTCAATTCATGTTTTAGGATTTTCTTGGTTATAGCAAATCATAGCCATAGAAGTAAACAAGGTTATATTTGACATTCCATAAATCAGTCATTAGGCGTATATTTTCGTCGCATCTAATTTATTTAAAAAAAAAAAACATCCCAAGTTACTGGCTGATAATGCAGCTTTAGTTACTAAGATTTTTTTTAAATTGGTTACATACTTTTTGAGTTTATTCTTTAGAAACAAAATGGATAAAATTCAAATGAGCTTCTCTTTATAATCTTCATTTAAATATCACTAAGTTTTTCTTAAGTATTACCAAGTTAACAAAACAACAAACACACAAAAATATGTATATTTACCTTGTGAATTGTTTTCTACGATGTAAGGGTCAAAATATTTCTTTACGTTAGCAGAACCATCCTGTTCAATCTTACAAGGTATATAATGAGATTTCTGTTCAAAAATATCTTCATTTTCTTTCTTAATCAAATTATTTTCAACTAATATGGACATTTTAATCAATTAAATTGTGAAATTTTAATCTTTTGTTATTGTTTTGGTTAATGTCACATTCGCTTTTTTTACTTTCTTTAAGAAACATAGCACGGAAACATAGCCTTTTCAGCCCAATCTTTCGAACAAATTGATAAAGCCGGTTTTTTTTCACCAAGTAAACCAAGATTTAGGGACAATGTTTTCCAAGAATTCAATGGATATTTTGCAAGAACTCATCACTTTTTTTTTTTCATTAACAACATACAGATTCTAAATATTTAAAAAACCACTATTAAAATACATTTGAACCTAAAGGATATTAAATAATATTCGTTATCCTGTTTCCAACAAAATTACTAACCAGCGATCACTAATATTGAGAAAGATTTTCTGACACCATAGCTGCTAACTTCATCCAAGGAAATTTTAAAACAAATTCGTAACAATAAGTTTCATGAAACCTATTGATTTCTCAACATTATCTACAACTGAAATTGAATTTCATATTAATGTTCTTTTTATTTGCAAGCATAATCTTTTATCGATTAATATGTATCAAGTTTCATGAACAGTATTTCCTTTGCCAATCAAATTGATAAATAGCAATATTTCCAAGATGTCAGGTGGTTTCGCGCTATTTTTGACATACCTAACTAAACATTGTTAAAAAAGAACATTTCATGTTAAAAATAAATAAAAACTAAAATATCCTTTTAATAAATGGTTTCATGTGATAATGGCAAGAACTAAAGCTTCTGTCGGTGCAAAAGGTATAGAGATATTCACTTATTAGTATGACTTAAAAGATAAATTTCTAAATGAGATTCTCGGATGTACCAATAGCTAATAGAATCTGAGATCATACGCTCAAGTTATAATTTAATAACGATAACAAAGAGAATAAATGTTTCTTAAACAAATTTGGCTGTAGCATAGTTTTGAGTATCGTCTCTCCAAAAAGCGATCTCGTGTCGTGCGCCCGTCTTCCCATTTACACTGTACAGAACCTTGTTTATGGGTGGGATATCAATAAAATATCAATCAAGATTTGGTCCTTATGTTTCAAATATTGACTGTATTGGTGCTGTGATGACTATTCGTTTGTCAAGCAACAGTAATAAAAAGATCCTAAGCAAAAATAGGTAATACACAAATAATAGAGAAGAAAATTGCTAATTTTACAATTTTCATGTTACAAATGCTATTATAAGTTTCATATGTTATATAGTTGCTGTGGGTAAGAGTTCGAAGGCACGATGCAATGTGGCACCACCACCGAGTACACCCAGCACTTCAGGTATACGAATATTATAATAATCATTGTAGTTCTATCATTGCTTGTTGTATCTTTATCAGAGTTTTTCTGTGAGTTGAAAAAATTAATTAACAAAGATCCAATTTGAACAACATCCCAAATTGATACTGAAAACCCTAAAATTTAAAAATAAATCTAACAACAGTATTTTCTTTGAGTTTTATAAGGCATAAATAAAGCTAATTTTACAGCTTATTTTCATGTTGTTTATTGTCATTGTATTGATATATTATTTAATACCAGGTACCAGTGACCGTGCCTCTCGTAGTAGCTCCGGAGGCAACCCAGTCTGTCCAAGGGAAACTCCAAAGTGGCAGAAACCCATCACCAGATTCTTTGCCTCCAAGGACTCTGATCATGGCTCTACAGACGAAGAAGATATAGGTAATAATGAATTCTTTAAGTTTTACTGATTAACAGAAGCTATAGAATTGTTTCAAATATTGTTTAACAATGAACGTAGCAAAGTCATATTTTATGGGAATTGAGTCCATCCACAATTAGAGCCCATCTTTCAAATTAATATTTCTGGTTCTATTTCGGTTGATGGTAACATTAAATATGCTATTACCCGTGGTATTCAAGAAATGTGTTCTTGAGTGGAGACCACGAATTGGGAAACGCAGTGCAGGACGCCCTGAGGCTCGGTGGAGTGATGATCTGTGCAGGGGGGCTGGCAGGAGCTGGATGAGAGAAGCCAAGGGTTGTGCTCAGTGCCTAGCAACTAGAGAGGCCTATGTCCAGCTGTGGACTTCTGTAGGCTGGTGATAATGATGATTCAAGAAATATATGCCAATGCTCCATATCTTATTAATATTTATATTTGTAGTGAGAAAAAAACCAAAAAACAACACCATAGAATCGGACGATGAAGAGAATGAAACACCAACAAACCAAGTCTTGGACGAAACATTAGAATTAGAACCATTGACGGGTGAGAACAGTCACAAAATCGATGAATATTACACAAACAACAATGATGTGAATGGGGATGGACACGAAAAAAAAACGTTGGAAGAATCCACCAAGTCTCTCAAAGGTAAAGGCAAAGGCAAAAAGACGAAAGGCAAAGAAAACCTAGATTATAATTCAGATAGGAAAAGGTATAGAGACGAAAAAGAGGCCAATGAAGAAAACGCAGCCAAAAAGATTAAGGTTGATTAAGAAACAAAATGAAAGATGATGGAGATATGTTACACATCAGTCTTTAGTCTTGAATTAGTTTAGGAAATAATCATCAAATAGAATGCTGTTTTGTTTATAACACAGGTGTTGTATGTTATTTAATTCCAAGCAAACACATAGCTTTCAATTGTATAAGATTGTGCTTTGTGACTAAATACTTGTTAACACATTGAACGCCAAATTAGAAAACATGTTAAACCCAGTGGGATGCGGCAGACACCCTGTAGCTGCCAATAATTTAGGTTTAGGGGCCTGTGATGTTTTTTGAGTTATTTCTTAGCAATATTTGATTAAAAAAACTATTTTTGAACGATTCTTGATATATAATCTGCCCTTTTAGAAAGTATCCCATGGATAAAGTATTGATCATGGTGTTCAATATGTTAAGATAGATCTGATGAGAAGGACCTCTACTCATTGGTTGCCAAGGAAGGAGTGTGGTGCTTTCCACCAACGCTTTTTTTTTGTATGGAAGACTAGCTGATGACTTTGAGTCTCTTACCAGCTTCATCGGGAAAAGTGAGTGAACTCAGAGACTCAATCAGTAAAGAGGGATGTCGTTGTAAGCCCATAAGTCTAAGAAATATCCAAAAAAATTATGAAAACCGTAGTATTGTTAAAACCAGTTGTGTTTTCATACTTTTTGTTACATAGTATTTAAGTATAATAATATAGTTTAAGAAACAAATGTGGACCAAAAATAAATGTTAAAGAACTTTGGTGTTTTATTGTGATTAATGCATGTCTGTATAAATATTTTTTCCCTCCCTAGTCGCTGGTAGACATAACGGCTATTTAAGCTACGATCGGACGAGGGTAGTATATAAAATTATAGGGGGTAGTTAATATTTTGGACTTTTTTTTTAAATGTTTTGTAACTTGTACGATATTTTATTACTGCCTTGCTTAATATTGAGGGGTGAAAGGCTATTTGTTTTAAGCGACATTTATCTTTGTAATTAAAGGTGCGTTTTATTGGTATTAACAACATCAACAGTTCGATGTTTTTCATTGAATCTTAATTAAGTTTACTCCATTTTAATAGATGAAGAAGTTTTTTTTGTTATAATATTTTTTCCAACTTTCAATGACTCTCTCGTAAAGATGCAAAATTGTCGCTTGAACCAGCCTTTCACCTGTCGATATGACTAATCTCACTGTACCACGTGCGCAACATTCATAACAAGGAGTAAAAGTTATTTCTTTGGGTATTACCAGTAGACAGATTTTCAAAATTCATACGTTCACACATAAGTCTCCGTGTATACGGTACCCATTTTAACGCATACAACAAAAAATTATTCTTTGTTCACACACAGGCACCGCGTATATCCATCATTACTGGATACGATGTTCTCCAGTAATCACCGGTCATCGTCCTCGTCGAACCCGTCGCTTGCGACGAAGGGCTCAACGAGTAAATTAACCCTTAGACACAGCCCACTGAGTTTCGCGCCGGATCTTCTCAGTGGGTCGCGTTTCCGATCCGGTGGTAGATTCTGCGAAGCATAGCTCTTGCTAGGGTTCGTGTTAGCAACGTCATCAGGTTTGAGCCCCGTAAGCTCACCTACTAGATAAGGCGACGCTAATATAGCCTCTCAAGGCTATCAGATTAGGTAGAAAAAAAAACCAGTATTCGATGACAAAACGGAATGTCATAATTTACCGGATCGTTTTTATTTACTGTATATTGAATACTGTATCATATCGTTTTCTCGCATTAAAACCATATAATCTCAAAACTTACAAAATATTACAGGAGAGTGTTTTAAAGGTTTAACATATGATATTTTTAATATTAATCATCTTTGCAATTTTTTTTTACCACTTGAATTATCTGTATTTTAAAGTGAGATAAAATTATTTATTAATTTTGTTAAAAGTAGTCAAAATATAGATAAACTAAAAAAAAACTAAAACTAAGCTACTTACGCTCTTTTGACAGTATTTATGAGAAAAATACTGGTGAGACCAAATGATTCCGCATATGAACTCAATTTCGAATATTTTTGGAAATTGTACACTTTTAATGCGAAAAGACGATATGTGAAGTCGTTTATACAACTCCATGCTCCATCGATGACAAAAAACGTATCCGACAAAACTGACCAGTAAAACGGAGACCATGTGTGAACGGGCTGTATGGGCCGAGTCACACCGGAATGGCAGTGGCCCCCGGTATCGCCGCTGGCGACCTCGCGCGGCCTCCAGTCTGCTTAGTGCGAGTTTCTTAAAGTTCTCTATAGCGTAAAAGTTAACCCAATTTTGTATACAGTTGAAACAGCGCCCCTAGCGGCAAACGTACGCAAACGATCCCATTCCATACAAATATGAGCTAACTTTTACGCTATCGAGAACGTTAAAAAACTCGCACTAAGACACTGACTGCACGTGCCTAGTCCCCCCTTGACTAGTTTAGTTTCTTCATTCGGCAATGATACTCGTGTGTCTGGAGTGAACATGATGGAATTGATTATTATATATGACCGCGGTGCCGCGAGTGGCCTTGTGTCGCCACAAGAGGGCATTATCGCTCACTTTGGAAAAGGCTGGTGTACACGCTTGTATTAAACACAAATCACATAAATAATTAAAAAACTGCAACACTACGCGAAATAAAAAAAAATCGATATGCAAAATTGATTTATTCAGAGCAAAATACAGCCTTAAAAGTAAGTAATTAAAGCCAAGATAATACAATAAAATAATATTTCGTTTCACTGAGAATCAAGGGCTCTTCTCAAGTAATAGTTTCTCTAGCGGAAATATTATTCAATGAATAATAACATAAAACATGTCACTTCCAGAATATAAGGATCATTAGAAGAGTATAACACTATCTATTGATACGCTCTTCGAGGAAATTTTTTGCGAGCTAAAACGCCTAATATATATTTTAAGTAAAGCAAAACCTTTAAAACCCTAGTTTTATAAAAAGATTTTTCTTTGACGGGTTCACTGACCTACTTATTTGTCATTCAGTGAAGAGATTAGTTCAATTTGCATAATCGAATAAAAACATTTAAATTATTAATTTAAAAAGATATTTAAGGGCTTTAAATGTTGTTTTCTTAAAATATTACAGAAAACACAATGGATTATTTTATTGCTCATTCATTCTGGAATATTCCGTATCATTTTAAATTTGTTCACCCGTGCGGACTCAAGACGTCCTACCACCAGTAATTACGCAAATTATAATTTTGCGGGTTTCATTTTTTAAAGACGATTTTATTCCTTCACCGTGGAAGTCAATCGTGAACATTTGTTAAGTACATATTTCATTAGAAAAATTGGTACACGCCTGCGGGATTCGAACACCGTTGCATCGCTAGATACGAATGCACCGGACTTCTTATCCTTTAGGCCACGACGACTTCAAACGCGCTGTTCTTTCTAAAGCGTAGACCAGGTAGGCCGTGCAAAAACTAAAATAAGTTAGTGTCTTCAGACGTATACATCTGGAGCGGAAGAAATACAAATGGAAGAAAGTTTGAAAATAATATTTACACCCCATTTTTTTTAATTTAGGTTCACACATTTCAATTAATGACCATCAACATTATTCGCCGAGACGGGGTTCCGTTTCACTTAAATCCTCTAAAACATTATTCGATAATTTGTCATTAGTTCACATATGACGGTAGTAGTCATTTTTTTATTTTTTTTATTGCTTAGACGTGTGGACGAGCTCACAGCCCACCTGGTGTTAAGTGGTTACTGAAGCCCATCTACAACGTAAATGCCCCACACACCTTGAGATATATAAGTTCTAAGGTCTCAGTATAGTCACAACGGCTGCCCCACCCTTCAAACCGAAACGCATTACTGCTTCACGGCAGAAATAAGCGGGGTGGTGGTACCTACCTGTGCGGACTCACAAGAGGTCCTACCACCAGTAAAAATGATCACAATGATTGTCATATTTCAGTAAAATATCGCCAAATGTTTAAGCTTGAAACTCTGTATGGTGACTGCTGTCTAATATGAGGAGATAAGTTAGAAAAGCTGTAAGCAGTAAATTCTATTGGTGGCGGCTCGACTGTGTCCCCAGCAATGACGGTATCCACTTCCCATCAGGGGGGGCCGTATGCTCTCGTCTGCCTACAAAGGCATTATTACGAATACGACTGAAGTACCCACCAAAACAGCGTAGTAAGTTATAATATAAAAACTTTCGGCACCATCTTTGTGCGCCCCAGTGTGCATAGTGCGAATTTTTTAACGTTCTCGATAGTGTAAAAGTAAACTCAAATTCGTATGGAGTTGGAACGTTTGTCTACATTTGCCGCTAGGGACGCTGTTAAAAACTCGCACTAAGCACACTGGTCGCTTTTCGATAGACATTACCGACTGTACCCCTTGCCCCCCTCCACCATATCACTCTTATTACAATCAACATGATGTATGTTGATAGAAATCAACTGTCACTGTCAACTTGACGTTGACGTTTCGAGTGTCTCACTAAATGTTGCCAACGTTAAACTTAATCTAGTTTCACAGTGAATACTCATTCCGATTAATTAAACCTAATTCAATTTTAACCGATATACAAGAAAAATATAATCACTCATTAATATGTTTACAGCGACCTTAGTGTTCACGAACATAAATATAAATATTTTGATCATATTCTAACACGAAATCAGATCAGAAACATTTAGTATTACAATTCATTCTAATCTATTCAATTCAAATGTTTCATATTTAATAACCGCCTTCAAATTCGTCTCCCGTATTAAGTACACAAAAAACACACACACATAAACGAAAATAATCATTAAATCCAATATCATTATTATACTATCTCATAAAAATATAATAAATAAATATATGATAAAGTAGTGTCACCAAACATTTCCACTAAATATCTCGGTTCTCCTCGCTAGGGTGACGTTACTTGAGGAAAATAACAAATAACATTTTGTTGTCCTCTTCTACATTTACACGTATACAATATTCTGTGCTTTAGACACAAATATAGTAGTTTAGGACTTTCAAGGGACGTGCGGAAACACTTGCGTTATCCTCCCTATGGCTCTGTAAAGTAAATTGCAAAAGGGGTATTAGGTTAGCATTCGTTCAGTATAAGATCAGACTACAGTCTAAGGATGCGGCAGTACCGACCTGGTGCCGAGTCCTGCAGTGAACAACATCCTCCTGCCGCGCACCAGGTACTCGGGGCTGCGCACGAACCGGAACAGGGCGGAGGCCGACTCGCCAGCCCTCAGCTCTCCCGTACCCGACATGATGCCCTGAGCGCACAACGTTTGATTACACGCGAGCATTACTCACGATTCCACTACAGCAAAAACGTATCACCATTAAAAGCTACACGACAGTCACCGTATATTCGACCTCAAGCCTCAAGGCAATGATTTGTGTGTCCATTTGTGATGTGAATCTCCAGCGATAACTTAATTTCATAGAGATCAGAACAACTAGAATTAGTAGTATACATAGATGACAAGTTTATTTCGGCAATTACAATGAAGGATACTTGGTCACCTAAGATGCTTAGTCTCGTCTCACCTGGATGATGGCTGTTTGCGTGACGTTGCCGACGTGAACTGTGCACTGGAACCCTCTATAGATGGCGGTCGAATGTCTCAGAAGGTGTATAGAGGCCTGCGAACGATTGCAATAGAAGGTTCTAGAACTTAAGACTTGAAATCTCATGCGTCGTCTGATGTATTCAAAATATCACAAAACTGTAATGTAAGGAATGTTGACACTTGACTACAATTCTCTGTACCTGAAAATAGAGACATCCCCTAGGATTAGTCGTGCCGTCGTCTTGGATGTCATCGGTGGCTCCTTCGAACGTGTTCTTGGTCGCATCGGCGTCGGGCTTCGACAGCGTTTGCTGAGCTCGGGCCAGGGTCATCGCGTCCTCCACAGAGCTCCCCACGTTGTTGCTCTTGCAGTGAAGGCCCGAAGAGTCTGAAGGCTGCGAAAATTACTACAGATCATTTATGAGTACAGTAATCGGCATGCGCGTTTAGAATTGCCAGGCAGAGAAATATTTGAATACTCCTCAAAAGATGGGAAAATTGAAATGTCAATGTTTTTATTTTTTACTAGCGACCCGCCCTCGCTTCGCTTCGGAAACATTAAAACACACATGAAACAAAAAAAAAAAAAAAAAGTAACCTATGTTCATCAGGGACAATGTCGGCTTCTAATGGAAAAAGAATTTTTCAAATCGGTCCAGTAGTTTCGGAGCCTATTCGAAACAAACAAACAAACAAATCTTTCCTCTTTATAATATTAGTATAGATTTATTGCTTAGATGGGTGGACGAGCTCACAGCCCACCTGGTATTAAATGGTTACTGGAGCCCATAGACATCTACAACGTAAATGCGCCACCCACCTTAAGATAATATAAGTTCTAAAGTCTCAAGTATAGTTATAACGGCATGAATTGAATACAATGAATCACATTATTGGCGCCCGGCCACACCCGTCCCCGCACCGACCTGCCGGAGCAGCACCATGCCGGGGCGCGGCGCGTGCTGGGCCCGCAGCCGCAGCGAGCACGTGTGTCCGGCGCGCGCGGCGCTCACGGCGGCCCGGTTGCGGTGCACGCCCACCGCGCGGACCGACACGAAGCGCCCGTCGTCCAGTGGACCTGCGACACCACACCGGTCACACACCACGCATGGGCGTCAATATTGGACAAGCTGTATAGCGCGGTACGTTACCCATCAGGAGGTCGTCCCCCTCCCGGATCCTGCCGCGGGCCAGCAGCCCCCCAACCACGGGACCGGACGACTCCCCCGCGTGGAATATCTCGTCGATTTGAAACTCGCACGTGTCCTGCAAAACGGCACGCTCGTCAGTGGGACACTTGCAACAAGCGACACGGTAACTCAGCGAAGTTAATGCCCTCACGTCGTGCGGCAGCGTGTTGTAGTGCGCGGCGGAGGGTGTGGCCAGTAGACAAGCGAGCGAGGCGAGGCAGGCGTGCAGCGGCCCGAGCCCGGCGCCGCGCACGCAGCTCACCGGGAACACCGCCACCTCCGGCATCACGCTGGACACACACAACTCTGCTATCTCCCTACCACTAGCTGCGGGCGACGGAGCGACCACCACCGCGCAGCCTACTTGTTTCTCGAAGCAATAGTACGTTTCGGTTTGAGGCTAAGATAGAGCATAAGCTTCTCTACTCATCTTAATAACTAAGTACTGAATATATCTAAAAGGCTCTCAGCAACTATCAGAGTCAGGCTGGTGGTGGGATCTCTTGTGACCCCGCACGGATAGGTACCGCCACGTTGCCTATTTCCGCTGCAAGGCAATATAGTAAGTTCCGATTTGAAGGCAGCCGCAATGCTACGGAAATGCAACTTCTAATTCTTTTTTTTTTTTTTTTATGGTTTAAAGATTACTGGTGGCCCGGAGGCCTTTCCAGCTTCACCAGGACAGGTGGGCGAGCAAAGGCTCAGCCAGGAGGGGTGGGATTTGCTAACAACTGCCCGAGCGCCTCCGAAGGAGACCTAACAACTCAAGAGCAATTGCTTCGCGAATGAATCTACTACCGGATCGGAATCGCGACCCACTGAGAAGATCCGGCGAGAAACTCAGCGGGCTGATGCATGGGTTAGGTTGCACGTCGACCTATTTGTCGAGTTCGACGAGTACGGTTACCGGGGTTCCTCAGCCTGCTCCTAGTGTTAGAGCTGAAGGTATCTAATGCAAGAGTTATTGGATCTGATGGATCCGTAAGGACGTGTCTAGGGCGACGACGGTGACTTGCTCCTGCGTGATCAGGATTCGGGGAAACTTTTAATTCACGTCTCGAGGTGGGTAACGGTATTTACGTTGTTGACATCAGGTGGGCTGTGATATAGTTCACACGAAGCATCCTCGCTACCAGGGGGGAGTCACTGATCTGATTACTGATCACACCACATCTCCGTGAAGCCTAACCGGTATTACTGGAGAACCTTCAGTATTATAACAATTTTTTCTTAGATGAGATTTGGTTTTTGCTTTGGCAATGTCCATAAGCAACAGCAAATGGGTAAGCCGGTGAAAGAACTCGGGGTTCATCAGATTGCAACAACCAGACAGATCCTATATAGATGACTCGTGAACGCCACTTTCAGACATCATTTCAGGACATGTTTGTAGCGAACCACCATCCAACGCTAGTGTCCTACCACTCACCATTTATCCTCAGAGGCATTGTCATTGATCGTGTCAAGAATTAGCTTCTGTGGGGCCACGCAGTTCCTCGCAGAGTTCTCGTCTGTTATTAGCAGTGGTCTCTGGAAACATGACAACGTACTGCAGTCCGGCTCCGTTGGTGAGGTTCACGGACTCTGCACGCGGTGGGCACATTGGAGGTCGGACGAGGACGTCTTGCGTCCGCTTAACTCTAGCCAAGTCGCCCTCGAGATCCTGTCTCCCGATGTTATAGTATAGGCCACTATAGGCAGACTAGTAAAGCTACCATAATATGTAGATAAGTGTTTTTTTTTTTCCTACCTATGCTGATAGCCTTGAGAGGCTATTTCAGCTTCACCCTAACGTTTGTAGGTGAGCTCACGGGGCACAACCGGAGAGTTGCTAACGCTGACCCTAGCAAGAGCAGTGCTTCGCAGAATCTACCACCGGATCGGAAACGCGACCCACCCACGCAGCCCTTCGTCGCAAGCGACGGGTTCGACGAGGACGGTGACCGGTGCTTGTGGTGCCCGTTAATGGATCAGGAGGATCCGTAATGACGTGCTTTGGGCGACGTCGACGGTTTACCATTCGGTCTACTGGGTCGGCTATGTAGTTTCCAGCGGCTACGATGAGAGGGTTCTCATGTCGTGCCGCCTTCTCAAAATGGCGCAGATTAGTGAAGGCAGCGCACTCGGAGAACACGAGGTAATAAACAAAATGGCGAAGAATATAAAAAAAAACAATTCCTTACACACTGTATAGTCTTCCGAAAATTACTTGGGAATGTTTGAAATTGAATGTAACACACTTCTAGCGGTCGTATCGATTCGTAGCCTTTATGTTTTTGGGATTCGAACGACAGTCACGTTGTACCATCGACCTGGTGGCACAATAAGCTCCCGATAGTGGAACTCTTCGACAGCAACCCTCGAGTTTGAACTCCTCGGGTCGACAGGAACAAGTCCAGTCCATTACAGCCATTACCCGTGTGGTGCCCCTCTAGAGGAACTCCATCCCCTCCCGCGGGTGTCACATGGCCACTGAATGATTCATCAGAGACGGATAACAGCGTCCCTTGAGTATTATACCAGGGTACTGCAATCGTCAAGTGATATTGACTGGTGGTACTAGTAGGCACCGGCGATGTCCATGGGCTGAGGGTGGATGCGCGAGCGGTACCTTGTTGTAGGGCTGCAGGAGCTTGGCCAGCTTGGCGGCGACGTCCTGCACGGCGGCCGCGGCCAGCTCGCACTTGGTCACCACCGTGAAGAACGGCACGTCCAGCGCCAGCAGCAGGTCTATGTGCTCCTCCGTGATGCGCGTGATGCCGGCCGTCGCCGATATCTGTGCGCCACGAAGCCGCATTAGGACCGGAGCCATGTTCCCTCATGGAACTTTGCGACCGTTGAACTTCATGTTTAGATCGACACCACTTCGAGATACAACTTCACAAATACAAGATCTAATGGGGGTCATTAAGGATCCCTGTCCCTCCCTGATCCGCGTGCGGTCGAGCTAACGGTCTGTCTATACGTCGTGCTTATTACACAGTCGCTGCATCCGGCTTTGTCCAGGACATGTAGTTCACCGAAAAAATCTTAATTATTTCTGGAACCTCTGGGTTTACGAAGGGATTTCGGTTCGGTATGCTCTGAGAAACTGACTGAGATGATTCCATCATCTCGTTTTTACTATCGCACCGCCCGCGCCGTAGTAAAGTTCATCCATACTACCTGGAGCCACTGCGTTCATACATAGTGTTTCCAGAGGTCTTTTTTGCCACGTACCATCCTTCTTTGGAATGAGCTTCCCTCCACGGTGCTTCCCGAGCGCTATGACATGTCCTTCTTCAAACGAGGCTTGCGGAGAGTACTTAACGGTAGGCAGCGGCTTGGCTCTGCCTTTGGCATTGCTGACGTCCATGGGCGACGATAACTACACACCATCAGATAGGCCGTATGCTCGTCCGCTTACAAGGGAAATAAATGAAACTTAGTTCGCTTCTCCCGAGCTCTCGACACAAATAATGAACACAAGTTAACAGACAATGAAGGGGCGATGAAGCGGCACTCACCACGAGCATGACGAAGTGCGGCGAGTAGCCGGCCAGCCCGTGCAGCGTGGTGCGCTGGTACTTGGAGTGGCCAGCCAGGTCGATGAACGACACCAGCCGGGTGCTCCGCTCGCCGATCCGCTCGGCCGTCATCAGCTCCGAGCACCCGTAGTTCACCACGTTGCCCTGGGCAGCACGCTACCTTTACACGCGATCTCGTCTCGAGCAGACACGGATAGACGTCAGAGTCAGTACAGTCAACAGAGAGGTTTGCTATCAAGTCTGGGTACCACTTACCGATGCGTAGCACACGTGACCCAACGGTCGCTACATTATCATCAACTGAGGTGTCTGCTCGTCTAGATAGAATGAAGTAACGCGTCTAAATACATTTGAAAGTAGCAGGTCGACATCAGCGCGAGGATTTCTCCTCAGGATCTCCAACAGCTACCAACTACCCTGACATCAGTGGCGTAGCGTGGGTGTCAGCCACCCGGGGCGGAAGACAATTTTGCCGCCCTTTTATTTAGGTATTTCACTTTGACGTATACTGTACATTAGTTCTAGAATTTTATTCTAATATTCAAAAAATATTCTATTCCGTTGACCTGTAAACATGAAATTTGACAGGAATCTCGGTAGGTATATCTTACAGCACATATATCTATAGGGAAAAATCTGAAAACCGTAAATATTTGTATGGAACCGCGAATATGCGAGTGTAAAACTTGCACTTGGTCGTTTTATTTATTTTAATAATAATTTATTGCTTATATTACATATCAGACAGTCCAACATATAATTACATAAATAAAATACGTATTTAATACTTACACAGTGTAATTCAAGTAAACAAATAGAAAAAAATCAATTTTCATAATGTTGAATCAAAACTTCACAACCACTGCACGTAGGTAACATAAATTACGATACGTCAATGTGAAATGGACAACTGACAATCCATCAATACAACTTTCTTTGAATTGTCAAAGCATCCCGTACTTCCTTACTATTATAAAATACGGGGAATCCCCGCGAGTCAGTATAGATGGTGTTGCCAGTTCAATCGGTCCAAATTTGTAGTTGCGATAAAAATATGAATGGTTCAAATATTTTTACAATTTATTGTGAAATTTTGCCGCCCCCTAAAAAGTTCCGCCCGGGGCGGGTCGCCCTCACCGCCCCCGTCACGCTACGCCACTGCCTGATATTAATTCAAGCCACGGTGTGAAGTGGTCACCGGAGTAAGGGCGCGCACCCCGGGACCAGCCCGGCCCCTGCGTACTGACCTGGGCGTCGAACCCCAGTATCTCGTGGCTGAGCGACGAGGTCCGGCCGCTCTTGACCTCGTGCAGGTGCCGGAACATGTTCAGACGGGCGCTCCCCCGGCCGTTGTCCAGCTCGCCTACAACAGACCCCACCGATAACGCCTTCCCCACTCCCCCGGGGCACGCGGGCCGGGACCAGCCGGACAGTGCCAGCAGTGAAGTCAAGTTAATGCAGATAACGCAATGCAAAACGAACTAAATTGGGGGTCGTTGAGCTCGTGCGGACACGCCCACGCGCTCCATGTATTGTCGGCGCAGGGACGAGTGCTTACGCACGATGGAGAGTTCCACCTCATGCCTCAAGCAGGGCGGCCCCTCGCGCTCACGCCGTACCCTCATCTGTTCTCGGACGCGCCATTTTGATAATTTCGAGAATGTTCGTGATTGAAGTCGATTCGTCTATACTTCTTCTTAAAGGAAGGAAGGAAGCGAACGAGCACCCGGCCCTCTGGCGGTGAGCGGCCGGGACACGCCCGGGCCGCAATCAACGAGAGGGTACTAATATATATATTTTTTTTATTGCTTTATACGCAGACGAGCATACGGCCCACCTGATGGTAAGTGATTACCGTCGCCCATGGACTTCAGCAATGCCAGGAGCAGAGTTAAGCCGCTGCCTACCGTTTAGTACCTTTCACAAGCCTCGTTCAAAGAAGGATATGTCATAGCGCTCGGAAAACACCGTGGAGAGGAGCTCATTCCAAAGCCGGATGGTACGTGGCAAAATTATTATTAGTATTATTATCAAAGATATCAAAGATAATACTACCAATAATATTACTATAATAATACTCAGCCTCAATTCCTCTGGTAAGAACTTGCCTTGCGTGAGGACTCCGATCAAGGTGGACTTCCCAGCTTCGTTGGCGCCCATCACGGCGATCCTCAGCTCCATGCTCTGCTGCGGGTCGGCCAGCTGTCAACAGGAGGAGGCGTCACTGCGGGCGGCTCCGTCGCGCGGCGCCCGATCGGAGCTCCGGACCCGTTACCTTTAGTATGTGCACCTCGGCCACGGCGCGATCCGGCGCCAGACGCCTGGTGGTGACGCGCAGGGTGGCGGCGAGGGCGCGCGCCATGCGGCGCAGGGTGCGCAGGGAGCCCCGCAGCGCGCGCGCCCGCAGCCCCACCACGGCGCCGCAGTCCCGCACTCCCACCACGTACACACACCGGCCGCCCCCCGACCGGAGACGCCATTTGAGCTGCAGAGAGAGCCCTTCTCATTTCATTCGTCGCCCAACGAAACCATCACATTGCAACTCGTGCAATCGCAACCCAATTTCATTAGGCACTAAGACTATTTTGCTACACGGACCTGGGTGACCAGATGCTGGAATCGTTTCTCGCAGAGCGACACCAGCTGCAGCTTGTACTCCACGTTCCCGAACCTGGGCTCGGGGGGCAGGTTCCCGTATACCTCATCGGCCGAATCCTCGTAATCAGAATCGCTGAAACATTTCGTCTATTTACCAAAGCCAGCTGACGTTACATAGGAGAGAGTCCGTCTATAGTGTTAAGGATAAATTTGTATTAATAATCAGGCTGTCTGCGTCTCCTAACAAAGATATTTGGACAAATTACGCAAAATCCTAGATTTTTCGTTTCGTTTTTTTGTTTAAATCGATTTATAGTTGAGCAACCTTCACATAACCTTGGAAGACCGAAATACCTAGCTCACGAGACACCGGTCCTATGTCCATCAACCAAAAAAGACAATCCCTGGTATACTCACGAGTCCTCAGCCGCGGGCTCGTCCCAATCCTCGTCAAAATCCCCCGTATTGAATTCCCCTGACATATACAAGTCTTCCTTCAGGCTGACCCCTTCCAGGCCATCGATAACGTTACACATCTTATCATCGAAATCGTCATATTTCGTTTGGTTGTTCCTTTTTTTGTCGTCCGTCAGTTTATTGACATTCTTACCGACGCTTCCATCGGTTTTTTTACATGTAACTATCTGATTGTTGAGATTTACGCAGGGGTTCAGTTCTGCATCGGCCTGCTCTCTAATAGGCGTGGTTTTAGTCCTTTTCCGGCGTGATTTGCGGTTAGAATTTCTGCGTTTGGGCCTCTTGTCGTCTGTCGGAAAAAAGCACGGTTTTCTTTTTTAGTTTACCGAAGTTTACCCTTACCAGATATGACGTAGAGCATTAGTGGGTTGTTTTTAATTTTGCGGCCAACAAGTGAGTCGTCTATTATCAAAGGTGGCAATCTGTGCATTTGGACAAAAAAATTTTATTGATATGTCAATACAGATTGATTTGAATATAATCGTCTCCTTCAAAGAATACGGTTCAAAACCTGCATTAAATAAAGGTTAATAGTTAACCTGTTATTTATCTAAGATGTCGTTCCGAAGAGTTTTGTGACTGCCAATGGAACACAAAGTCAATAATTCGTTTTTCTGATTTACCAATCATTGTCCAAAAGTCAGATTGCCGGCTTTGATAATAGTCGACTCAAGTAACGATTTCATGAATTTAAACTTTCTCTAATTTTCCATTGAAAAAAATTGTATTTATTTATTTGTTTACTTATTTATTTATAATATTCATTTATATTTTTCATTTTACGCATTTGATAACAATTTAAATAGGATCTTTTTTAAAACGCTTAGAAATCGTACTTCTTTTGTTTTTAATAATGTTCTAATATCCAGTTAAGTTTCTTTCTTTATTATTGTATTATATACTGATTAAATAAAATTGCCGAATTTCAACACGCCTTACTGGAAAAATGGCAAACAAGTTAGAATTTGAATTTCGGACCAGTGATACGAATGAGATTTGGGGTAGTTTTTATGTGTAACTCCTAATTGAACAGTGTTTACGAATATATAGTTATAGGACCACCTGCCTGTTGTCATAACAACGAATTTACTGTACTTATATAATTACGGTAACGGTAAGGTTATGGGAATTAAATCAAATAACTCGCTTTTGGCCCCAAATTTGAAAACGACCCTAGTGGCTTCCGTCTTGATGGCCACGCTCGCACCTTGAGATTCGACATCATGGCGGATGTTTCAGTGTTCACGGACCCTGCTAATTGACAATTGAATACACTGAAGAGGCCTCCGTGAATTCACCATTCATTAATACATCAGACTTTGCCTGCGTTCGAATACTGCAGACGGGTACCAATTTCCACGCTAAAGGTAAAAAGTGAAACTTAACAAAACACTAAGACTATGGCTAAAAGCACCCCCCCCCCCCCTATTTCTGCCGCGAAGCTAACCCGCCTTCAACATCAGAGTCCCGGCCGTTACGTGACGTGACGTCAGTTTTTTTATTTTTTTATTGCTTAAATGGGTGGACGAGCTCACAGCCCACCTGGTATTAAGTGGTTACTGGAGCCCATAGACATCCACAACGTAAATGCGCCACCCATCTTGAGATATAAGTTCTAAGGTCTCAGTTTATGTAGTTACAACGGCTGCCCCGGTCTTCAAACCGAAACGCATTACTGCTTCACGGCAGAAATAGGCAGGGTGGTGGTACCCACCCGTGCGGACTTACAAGAGATCCTACCACCAGTAATACTTATCGTCCCCTTTGTGACGTAAATGCTGTACTTAAAAGTAAATAAAAAAAGACATTACCGTCGTCCTTTGTATTAATTTCGATGTAATTCTCGATGTAGCTGACACCCTTGACCACGATCCCGTTGCTCAGATCAGGCTCGCAGAGGAACGAGGACTCCTCGGGCAGAGATTCATGCTTGCCGTTCGAGCGTCTCCCTCGCCTCCTCCCTGGATGAGGGTAGAGCATCGACAGAGTAACATTACCAAAGCGAGAAGCGAGAAATTTACACTTTTTAAGCTATTGCATAGCATCTATCGCGGGCCTTGAGCGCTGCGACTGAATCAATAAATTCCGTAACGAAAATAACCTGACACCCCCACTACGCCTACTATGTAGCTCGCGTTCAACACATTCACACCTTGCGCTGGTGTAGTGTTTGTGAATAAGCGCGCGGCGTGACGTCGCACTGCATGAGCATCATGAAAAGTCTGCCCATCTCTCCCTCACGCGGTCTAGCTTATGAGTGTGAAGGGGACAGTTAATGTTTTGCTTTTGTTAATGTTTATAAATATAGCGAGGTCTTATTTTTATTATGTTTTAATATTAAATTATTATTGTCTAATTGTAATTGCATAAGTTGATAAAAAATGCTTTGCAATAGCTTTACCGCGGCAGTCCCCGAGTGCCTCACGTCATTTTTTTTATTGCATAGATGGGTAGACGAGCTCACAGCCCAGTTACCGGAGCCCATAGACATCTACAACGTAAATTCCGGTACCCAACTTGAGGTATGAGTTCTAAAGTCTCTGTATAGTTACAACAGCTGCCCCACTCTTCAAACCGAAACGCATTACTGCTTCACGGCAGAAATAGGCAGGGTGGTGGTACCTAACCGTGCGGACTCAAAAGAGATCCTACCACCAGTAAATGTTGCGAAGCACTGCTCTTGCTAGGGTAGATGTTAGCTAGTACTCTTAGGCTGAGCGCCGTGAGCTTGCCTGCTAGTCATGATGAAGCCAGAATCGAGACTACCACTGCTACCAGTAACTGCTGCTAGTAAAAACAAAAAAAAAATTGTAACATTTATATTAATTATCTGTGGTTTCGTACATACCTTTGGGCAGTTCATTTTTTTTCTTAACGCTATCCGAATCGATTTTGTGTTTTTTTCTTGTATTATTTTTATTTTGACCTCCGTCGGTAGGATCGAAAAGGCTAAAGAACGAATCCATTTTATCTGATGACAAAAGAAGTGATCGCTTAAGTCTCGCGACAAAAGACAAAAAGGAATACATATTATATATCGAGGGGTGAAAGGCTGTTTAAATTTGAAGTTTAAATTTTGGAAAAAATAAATAAAAAAACTTCTTCCGCTATTTTAATACAGTAAACTTAATTGAAGCTCAATTAAAAACATCGAACTGTTGATTGTTAATACCAAATAAAACGGACCTTTAATTAATTACAAAGATAAATGTCGCGTATCAAGCGTAATGTCGCTTAAACCGAATAGCCTTTTAGCCCTCGATTTTTTTTTAAATCTTGTTATATTAGTAGCCTGTATTAATCACTGAAAAATCTTTCACGTAGAAGTAAATCTTAATGACAATTCAAAATCACGTTGCAGCTCTGAATATTTCCGTAATATAAGTTGTCTGAAACATGTCAAAAACTCTCCAATTGTCAATGAAAATCATGGGATTTTTGGCGGGAACGCGAGAAGTGAAGTTGTGTGTTTTGTTTTATTTTGTCTATTTAGTGTTTCTCCAAGTTTAAATGTGTAATAACGGTGGTTTATTAACTGTTTGGTATCTGTGAAAGTGCACAAATGTGGGAAAATGACACAAAGCCGCTGAGCGTAACTTCTTGGGATCCTCCAAAAAGTCCACTGAAAAAGTCTCAGTAAATGATTACCATTTTACTTAGGATAAATAGAATATGTAGAAAGATAGAAAGATTAGGCTGTGTGGTATGATACCTTTGCCTTTCCAGTTGAAAAAACAAAACAACTACTACTACTGAAAATCCTGTCAGAATTGGTTCCGGAATTAGATACGCGCCAAAAACAAAATAGACATAGAAAATGTGCATCTTTTTTTAGTAATACGCCAGTAATCATTTCACAGCTACTTTTAAGGTTTAATCTCGTTTAATTTTCTAGAAAAATAGACGGTAATTATTTAGTACACTTATTGAAATATCGACAAATAATACCTCTGTGACGACGCGACTACTTCAGTAAAGTATACGAAACATAGGAAATAAAAAAAGCAACATTAAACCGTAACAGTAAGTATCGAATTAGTATAGCAAAACTTTGTTTGGAAACTCTGAAATCTTGGCACAGATATTTATCTAGATTTTTGCAGAATTCAGATATTATTGCCAAGAATGTTGAACAGGCAAACTTATGTTCGTTTTTCAGTCATTTTCTAGAGATAAACTTTTTTTTCCACATGTGAAAATCGCCGGATCCCCACCTGCCGCGCAGGTATGTGGGAGTTGAATCTCATTAAAAACTCCTGCCGCTCACAACCGGCGCCCTACCTCGGACCGGGCCGGAGCCCAGTCGGGGCTATTGAGACGGCTGGACAAGGTTGACGCAGAGCACATTACATCCATCCCGTATTTCTGGAGATATACTGACTAAATTATTATTTTTTATTGCTTACATGGGTGGACGAGCTCACAGTCCAGCCAGTGTTGAGAGATTACCAGAGCCTATAAACTACAACGTAAATGCCGCCACCCACATTGAGATACGCATGAGAACGCATTACTGCTTCACGTCAGAAATACGTAGGGCGGTGGTATAGCTACCCATGCGGACTCACAAGAGGTCTAAGTAACTCTGAACAAATCGCGCACGATCATCCGTCCCCAATTTAGGATTCCCTGTGTTATAGGTACCAGAGACTGAAATACATACATATATACTCTTAAATTTAAACATTTAAAGATAATAAACAAATGCAACTGGATTAACAGTGATATGATAAATCCTAGTTCTATAGCAAAGTCGTGTGATTCCTGTAACAATTTTAAGTTGTCTTGTGCATCAATAAATTAAAAAAATAAAAATAAAATAAATTCCTGTTTGAAGGTTGAGCCCATGGACATGTATGCAAATGCTGCCGAATGCTGCCAACAACCTTGAAACATGAGGTCTAAATCTCGATTTTATAACTTAACTACTCCACCGTGCTCACAAGATACTAGCATCACAAGTAGTCATTGTATGTATTAGAACATAAAGCCCATTGGAGGAAAGGTCTCATGTCACTCTTGGTAATCAAAAGTGCTAAGGAACATTATTATTTTTTTGAAATACATAAATATGTAGCCCTACTCATTTTCATAAACCAGTAGCTTTTAACTCTTTTTTTTTAATGCAGTTACAAATATTGTTCTGGTAAAAATTATATAATCTGATTTAATATTATGAAATGATATTTTTTTTTTCTAAGCTTAACAACTATGAAACACTTATATTAAAATATTGCATCATGATTATTTCAAACATTAGTCATGCTGGAAAAAAATTTGTTTAAATCTATAAAGTTGAAGCATTTTTAAAATAGATATTTGTTACTGCAAAAACTATGTGAATAGATTTAATAGATAACACTTATTTTCTTAATTTTCAAGGGTGATGATCACCTATGTTAAAGTATGTTATAATCCTTATGACTGCGAACAAAAATAAAGACTAGCAGTTCTAATAAAAAGATGATCTGAAGACGATCAAGAAAAAAAAAACTTTAAATAAAATACAGTAAAAGCTCTTTATTCACAGGGTATATGTTCTGTGAATATGCACCAATACAGGCACTTTGAATATGGAAAAATGGGTTTACAAAGGATATTCAGTTGGATACCTACATATTAGAATCCTTTTTATCAATATGTATATACTGATGTACCGATTAGATCCGTGAATAAAAAAATCTTCAGCTGCAAAGAAAGGAATTGGGTCGCATTTATTTAATCTGCGATTCATGAAAATGCTAATAAATGAAACGAAAATAAGGAGCTTTTACTGGATACCTGTTTCATTTAAAAAATATGCAATTAGATATATTTTGAAAGTAAATTTTCAGTTATTTTACTGAACTAGAACTGTCAATTTTTTCAGAACAAAACAATGATGCTAATTTGGGAATTATTTTGTTAAGAAATCACAATCTCATGCTGTAAATCTTTTGAGGCAATTTTTTTAAGAACAGTATTGTGAATTAAATATGTATTATAGTTTTTGGAAACTCTTTTCACAGTCAAGAGCAAAAAAATAATATAATATATATTTTTTTTCAAATATGATTCAAAATATGTTCCAATGACAGAATATACACATATTATCCAAAATTCTAAATGTAGACCACAATTATGTTTTATTTGTGTATATCTGAGTCTATAATTATGTTTAATTATAATTTTTATTTCATTTTTAACTATTTATGATTTATTTCATTTCATTGATGCTATTTAAATGGTTATTTTAAAAATATTTCAATCATTCTATATACACATTTTTACACGTTTTTAAAATAAATGATTTTTAATTACATATTTTTGATAAGTATTTAGCCATTAAAAATTGAAAAAGAGAAAGTTACATTTATTATCAAATTGCAAAAAACAATATTTGTCATAAACTTCCTAGATCAACATCATACGTAAAGAATTAAGAAACTCTAAAGGGATTTTGGCGGTTTATCCCAAAAAAAACACTACATTTATTTTTAAATTGAAAAAGGCGCAGGTACTCACCGTAACAGCTGTTTCTAGTCAAGGTCACATTGAAATGCTGCTGGCAACGCCAAGTCGACGACTATTGTGAGTCAACAATCACAATACAGAAACCCGGCCAAATTATTAAATGTGACGTAAAAATGTAATAAATAACGCAACTGTGTCAACAAGGCGCCGTAAACAATATTAAAATCTTTTAAACCGGACAGCCCATCGGTTTACAGGGCAGTTTTTTTTTCTAATCAAATTAGGTAAATGTATGTAATTGTGTTACACTGAGATAAGATTTATTTCACAAAGGCTATTTATTTCGTCATGTAGGTAGGAATTGCACAAAAATATTTACTCACTCTAAGTTTGACGTTGACAAGCATAGCAGTGCCTGACAATATAATGTATCCAGTCTATTGATATTTGGTAGATAGGAATATAAAACTGTAAGGCACTATGCATTTATTGTAAAAAAAAAATATATTATAAATTTAAATGGTAAGTCGTGTTTTATAACTGCAATCTGCAATTCATTGCAAAGATCTAATTTTATGTTGAATTTGTTTTATGCATAAGTGTCGTTCACTTTCAATTTTTGTTCTATTTTGGGAAATTTGGCTTTGGCATTATTGATGTCCATGAGCGACGGTAACCACTCACTATTAGGTGGGCCTTATACTCATTTGCCTACAAGGGTAATAACAAAAAATTTATAAAAGTATATTCTTCTTTGAGTCAGATTTAAGTATTTCATTGTATCATTAGTATGATTGTCGTGTTAAAAGTTCAAAAGTGGCAACAATGTATTGAAAATATGACGAAATTGTCATTGTTTTTCAATTACATGCAATAACTTCGGTCCTGGTTGTGAATGCTTTATTAAAATTAAATTTGACTAAAGCATGAGAATCACGGTACATGTTTAAATGAATTTAACCGGTATTTCAATAGAATCTCGAATAACCAGTGGAATAACCGCTAATTTTCATTTATTGTCAAAAATAGTTTAGTTTATTTTTTGACAGCAACTCTAAAGTATCAATTGACACGAACAGTTTTATTTTACTTTTTATTTAAAAAAATCTCTTTCACCTTTTCAACACTCACGTTATTGTCTTTTCTCATTTGATTCCATTTCACTTAATTCCTTAGGTAACCAATTTCATTTGAGAATCGGTTCCAGTTAATCTTATCTTAAAAATTTGGATCTACACTATACCCTTTGCCTGACTGATAGATAGCCCAAATAATGAGATGTCAAAATTTTACCATTACAATTTACAAGCTGATCATATTTTCGTGTACAAAACAAATTAACATTTAATTAACGCAATTCAAGACAATATCCTGTTGTCCTCAATGATATAATCGTTTTATCAGTAATCATGGCTACTGCGGCGGACGTGCGGAGCATTTTTGAGAATCGTCTCAAAGAAAACGATGTAGACTTCCACCCGGCCGACTTAGAGCGAACGAGAGATGAGAAGTACCTGAAGAGGGTGCTGGCCCATTGCGAGAAAGACGCTAAGCAGGCTGCCGACATGCTGTGGGACATTCTTACCTGGAGGAAAAATGTCGGAGCTTCCAACATCAACGAGGACAACATACGCATGGACTATGTTAAAGAAGGTGTCTTCTTCCCGCGGGGCAGAGACGTGGATGGCAGTCTCCTCCTCGTCTTCAAATCCAAAATGCACATCAAAGGCCAAAGGGACTATGACGAGTTGAAAAAAATCATGATATACTGGTTCGATAGGGTCGAGCGAGAAGAGAATGGTAAAAAAATCAGCATGTTCTTTGATATGGACGGTACTGGCCTCAGTAACATGGACATGGAACTAATCAAATACTTAATAACCCTATTTAAATGTTATTATCCGTATTTCCTCAACTACATCATTATTTACAACATGCCCTGGGTTTTGTCGGCGGCTTTTAAAGTGGTGAAGACATTGTTACCTGCCAAGGCCGTTGAAAAAATGAAATTTGTCACCAAAGATACGTTGAAGGATATTGTGGCACCGGAACAAGCTCTTGCCTGTTGGGGAGGTAAAGACAACTATGTTTTTGAATTCATACCAGAAAGTCGTAGTTCAGAGCATACTCCGAAGAAAGTCACATTTGCAGAGCAGAGCGAAAATCAGCACTCGCTCGGCGAGATGCTCAGAATTGTTCCGAATGATACTATAATATTCAAAACAGACAATGATGAGATCTCCGGGCAGTTCACCATAACAAATATGGATGAGAGTGCGATATCATTCAAAATTCGTACAACTTCACCAGAAAAGTTCCGGGTTAGACCCAGCTCGGGTACTCTAGCAGCTGGGATGTCACAATCAGTCTTAATAGTTGTCCAACCTGGTTTTCATCTACGAACAGTTACAAAGGATCGCTTTCTGGTAATGTCAGTACAAATACCAAAGACAGATATGACATCAAAAGATCTAGCGGACATATGGCAGAGTTCGCCTAGTAGTAAAATAGATGAATACCGTTTAAAATGCCAATTCCCGGAGAAGGATTTGCCTAAAAATGGCAATTTGCTTGACAAAGTCTCCGAGAAAGACTCACTGTCAAATTCATTGAATACCCTGCAGGTCCATTATGAGTTATTAAACAGAGACGTTAAAAGAATGAAAATATTTCAGTTTCTGACACTGCTATTCTCCGGGGTGTCGGTGGTACTTGGCTACCTCATTTACAACTCCACAAGCATCGAAGACAGGTATTGCGAAAGAATGTAGCCCACAATCCCTGTGGTCTTTGAGATCACAACAGCAAATCTGCTGTATTTTTTAAAAATGTTAACATTTGTCATGAACATATTATTATACACCATTTATTGTAGGTTTTCGTACAAAACTAATGAATTAAGCATGAAAATAAAACAACTAAAATTGTCATAATTAAACAATGGTTATTATGGGAAAGGGCCATCAAAACTTTTATTGATGTAATGTGATTACAGCATAATACTCACTGAATCAGATAATGATCGTGTTTGGAAATTGTCATCTACAAAAAATTATTATAAAGAATATTTAACACAGTTTAAAAGCAAACATTAATATTATAATTAAGTTAGTACATTCCTTAAAAAGTTTTCATTAAATTTATTTATTTAGGATGCTGTTTTCTATAAAAACTTAAATCAGTCAGTTATTGTTGTATCATCGATTTGCAAGATATTAATATATTTATGCTGATATAATAACTTTATGGGTAGTTTGTAATCATAAGTGTGAAGTGTTTGTGAAAATTTTTCAAAGTGCTTATTTGAAATCTAAACTGCCTGATGACATTATAGTCGCAGTTGAGCATTGTTAGCAGATAACACGGTGCTTGCACAAATGAAAATGCTCTGAATAAAATTGTTGTTATAATATAGAAATGGGAAATTAGAAAATGCATCACAGAAGCACGGGAGCTGTACTAAAAGTGAATTAAATCTTAGTTTTAGGGGCGAAATGTAGATTTACAATTAATTTATTCGTAAAAATAAGTACAAAAAAACTATATTAAATTATATTATGAAATTTAGTTGGTATTGGGATTTATCAGGAAAATTTTAAAACAATAAGGTATTTAACTGATTTGTATCTTTGATTTACTCAATTAACATTACAATGTCATGCAGAATAGAGCATACACAATATTTTATTTTCACACACAGAATGTATTGTTAAAATGTGATTCAAAAATTATGAAATTTTTAGTTTATCATCGAATATTTTCGAGTCCATAAAAGAATATTTTACGAAAATCATACAGAAATTATTACACTTGTAAAAGCAAACTTGTAAAAAGCTATTTGGTTTAAGCGACATTTCGCTTAATACACAAACATTCATCTATTATAAAAATGAAAAGTCCGTTTTGTTTGGTATTAATCAGCATCAACATTTGTTTTTTTTTTAATTAAACTTTAATTAAGTTCATCCCGTTCAAAGTTGAATGAAAAGAAAAAAGCTGATGAAGATTCTTTGTTATGATATTTTTTCCAACTTTTAACTTTAATTGGCTCTCTGTAAAGTCGCAAAAATGTCGCTTAAACTAATTAGCCTTTCACCCCTCGATATATTGTAAATAACGGCGAAAGTTCAAAACAACTATTTTATAGCTACTCGAAAAACAATAGGTGTTTGTACAAATACCGCCAAAAGTTCCTGTAATTCCCTATGTATCTGTGAAGTGATATTTTTAGTACCTACCTACTCAAGTATGGGCGTGTAGAAAGAAATTTAACTTTTGTTATTTTGAGGCATTATACAAAAGAAACCATTACCGTTTAATTATAAATAATATGTATGTAACAGAAGCATTTAAAAAACTACATTAATATACATAAGTGAAATAGTTAAATACCCTTATTGAATAGGTATAATATATATGTATATATGTAATTGAAAACTAATATGAATAGCATTAAAAGAAAAATCTTGGAAACTTGAAACAATTAAATCACAATTAATCTATTAAAAATAAATAACATTCCTTATGAAAAAGACAAAACCGTGAATTGATTAGCCAACTACAGTTTGGAATCAGTCGGAATTACAAACCTAAGGTATGCTGAATTATTTTATATTCGTTGATGTATGGCCAAGAAACCTAATATCCGGTTGTGTATAAAATAATGTATAGGAATGAATAATACATAAGTAATTTGTAAACTTATCATTCTGTGGACAAAATGGCTATTAAAGAAAATCTGCATCTATAGGTTTAGGCACGAAAACTCTAATAGTTAATCATGTATTAACTAATAATTAGTGTATAAATAACCTCAAACGAACAAACAAAACTGTAAAATGTTCGTCAGCGGAATTCCTGTTTCTATTTCTTTCTGCCTAATAATGTGGTTTTAATCAATTATTAGAATTAAGGCATTTAAATATTAAAACAAAATTGGAGCTTGCTGTTGGAAATTGGGGAAGAGAGTGCATTATTATTGTTTTTATCTAATAAACTTATAAACATTTGATGGTACTTCTTTTTTGTAATATTCAAGCGACAGATTAATCTTTATGGTAAGACGTGACAGGCATATTATTACATTATTTCCACCTTGCCCTTAGCAGGTTACGGAGCGAAAAAAAAGCCAGGTGGTACCACATCTTTTACGCATGGCATTTAAATCTGGTCTCAAATGTGGGTGACGGCATAATTTACTTTGTTGATAGGCTCCGGTATCCATGTAATGCCAGACACCAACCAGATAAGCAAAAAATAAAAAGGATTTTAGTTGGTTCCTGTTCGGCATGTTCCATATACCGCCAATACGCGCAGTTTGCTTAGTTAGTAGTTAGTAAACATTTATCCGATGTTTTAATAACTTCGAATGACGTTAATAATAATAATATGTATTTGGAACGTTTGCCGCTAGGGGCGCTGTTCCAACTGCATAGGTACCTACCTACGTTAAGAAACTCGCACTAAGCACACAGAAGTATTTATCTCATTCGTAGGACTAGTGTGTTTCTTTATTTTTCATCGAGTTTCAAATCAATTTCTTTAGTGATAAAATGCTAAAAAAATGTAACTTCGAGAGGTGAAAGGGTGGTTTAAGCGACATTTTTGTAACTTTACAGGCGAGCCATTAGAAATTTGGAAAAAAATCATAACAAAAAAAAATCTTTGTCTATTTCAATACAGTAAACTTAATTTAAGTTTAGTTAAAAACATCGAACTGTTGACGCTAATACCAAATAAACCGGACCTTCAATTACAAAGATAAAGGTCGCGTATTAAACGAAGTGTTGCTTAAACCAAATAAATTTGACCTCTCGACCTGACTCAAAAAAAAAGTATTTTAATTTAAAAAATTTATTTATTTTTTTTTTTTTTTTTTTTAATTTATTGAAAGCATTGGCAACACGGCCATCAGCTTAAACTAATTTTACAAAAAAATAGAACATGAACTAGAACTTACAATAAAACACAAATAAAAGAAACAAACCAAACCAAGAAACAATTACAAATCATTGAAAATAACAAATTAATGACAAAATGAATTGCAAGAACTTACTATAAAAAAAATAAAAACTTACAAGTTTTCTTTCAACAAACAACAAAAAAAGAATATGAGTCGTTATAAAAAAATAATGAAACTTGCACATAAGCAGGAGACCTATGATACATTCATGAATTATACATTCATAGTCGTCCTATAGTGTGAAGTACAAAATTATACACTATTGAGAATAGTTGTGGAAGCTTTAAAATACCTTGAATGGAATTAGGAATAGATTTTAAGCCTGTGTCTTTACATAATGCATTAAACAATAATCTCTGTTGATTGAATTAAGGACAATTAAAAAAAATATGACCTAGATCACACATGCCAGAGTTACAATAAGTACATGCAGCTGAATCACTTAACTTTAATCTAAAAAGATGGGCAGGAAAATGGCCGTGGCCTATACGTAATCTACAAATAATCGATATAAAGGCTCTTCCCGGGAAGAATCTAAAACTATCAAACCAAGATTTAGTACTAGGTACTGGGACTATTTCAGCTAACCATTTACCTTTCGTTTCTCTGGACTTAGACAAGTAATTAGACCAACGTTTCATCATATTTTGTTTAATTGAATAAACTAAATCTGANAGCATGGTGGTCTTTAAAAAGACCGCGCTTATTTTTAATGAAAGTCATTTTTATTTTGCGGCTTTCGTCGTATTCAGATGACTTCATTCTTCTTTTTCCCATTATTATGGGAGCGGACACAGGGGCGGAGCTGAAGCCCTCACCCCCGTCGTCATCGTCCATTATTACGGAACACACTTATGAAATATAATTTTAAACTTAAACACAGTGAAAAATTAGGAAACAATGTCGTAAAAAAGGGCTAAAACCAAATAAATTAAAATTAACTTGAAAAAAGCGCCTACCTATTTAGTTTGACGTTCCCGCCCTTTTTTTTTCATTTATTTTTTACAAAACACCACAGACGACACAACGCTTCCGACTTTCCCGCCAAAACGGAACTGCGGAGTCGGCAGTACGCATTTCAATTTCATTTTCTCGGAAAAATGTTTAACTAATTCCTCTTCGGTCCAATTGCACGATGTTATTATGAAAATACCTGAAAAACGATTAATTCACTTTTAGACCGTTAAAATTAAATGAGATTTTAAATGCTAGGTAAGCCTCGGTAGGTAGTTACTTTTCCTGTCTCCGACACTTCAGTTGACCCGACAAACGTCATTCTGTCCAAATATCAACCCATTTGTTTTTTTTTGGTAAATTAATTGCTTTAATTGCTGTTGGAGACAGACGAGCCACCTGATGGTGAGTTGTTACCGTCGCCAATGAATCGCAGAGTCAAGCTGCTGTATATCGTTAAGTAAATCAATCATTATTCCAGATCCATGTAGTTTTGTTAAAATCCAAATTCATTAGAAATTGCTTTTTATTTTTATTTTATTGCCGACATGTGTGGACGAGTTCACAGCCCATCTGGTGTTAAATAGTTACTGGAGCCCATAGACATCTACAACGTAAATACCGCCACCCACCTTAAGATACGAGTTCTAAGGTCTCAGTATAATTACAACGGCTGCTCCACCCTTCAAGCCGAAACGCATTACTGCTTCACGGCAGAAATAGGGAGGGCGATGGTACCTACCCATGCGGACTCACGCGAAGTCCTACCACCAGTAATTACGCAAATTATAATTTTGCGGGTTTAATTTTTATTACACGATGTTATTCCTTTACCATGGAAGTCAGTCGTGAACATTTGTAAAGTACGTATTTCATTAGAAAAATTGGTACCCGGCTGCGGGATTCGAACACCGGTGCATCGCTAGACACGAATGCACCGGACGTCTTATCCTTTAGGCCACGACGACTTCAAGCTTGGTTACGACTTGATTGAGTATTGCCACTCACCCTCATCGAGGAGCAGTCTATGAATTTGTTCGATGTATTTCTCTCGGCAGGCTTTAGGGTCTATGGGATTCAGGCCTATAGCATCGTATGTGCCCTTGTCATGCACTATGGCATATTGGCCCAACGCTATTACATCGTCCGTTGTTATGTCGAATAACTGCAAATAAAGATACAAGAGAATAAAAAATCCTCCAAACGATTTTTTTTTATTGCTTAGGTGAGTGGACAGGCTCACGGCCCACCTGGTGTTAAGTGGTTACCGGAGCCCATGGACATCTACAACGTATATGCCGCCACCCACCTCGAGACATGAGTTGTAAAGTCTCACTTTTAGCAGTACAATACCAGCTCCCTATTCTATTCCACACGGTTCCTCACAAACACACTTAAAAAGGGTGCGTGTACTTATGTACGCGCGTAAGAAGTTATACTTTATTTTTATTAAATTTATTTCTTTTTTTTTTAATATTAAATAATTAATAATAAATATTTAACGTTAAAAAATGAATGCTAATAACACTTTTTTTACGAGTGTACATGCGCGAAAGTTCACCTGCGGCTATATTCAGACTCGCCAAGTTACGTCGGTCGTATTGTAATGAGCGATTTAGTGGGCAACTTCATTTCTGATAATTTTGTGTCACGGTGCGCGCGCATCGTAAAATTTCACTCTCATCAATTTTTCATAACGCGCCTAAAGAAATATAACTTCAAAAAACATTACCGATTACCTTTCTATATCAAAATAGATATGTTCCTACAAAATCCCATGTTGTGGGAAGCCACGTTATATGAGACTAGAAGCCAGTACAAAAATCTACCCATAATCATAACGCTTGTAACAATTCAGAAATATAAAGCAGAATTTCAAAAATTGTGGCATAAATTAAATTTACAATGTAGATAAAGAAGTATCCGACATTACTTTGCCTTTAGTTTTTCCGTATTCGACACAAGGGAACAACCTAATTACACCTTGTGCACAATAAATACCTTATAGTTGATGAAGGGATAATTCTGTTTGGCAACTTTTCGGGCTAAAGTAATGGCAGCCTCGCAGTAATCCACTCCGAGTAGGTTTGTGAATCCTTCTTTTGCTAATTCAGATAGTGTGTAACCGTTTCCACAGCCTGAAAAGAAAAAACCACTATATTTATTGAATCATTATAAAAATGAAACGTCTGTGTTTACTAGAGTTGTTTTGGTGTACTAGGGAGTGTGCTGAGGACCACCACCAGCCATCAGAGCAGAGTTCATCCATACTGTGTAGAACAGGGGTTCCCAAACTTATTTTGTCTGCTGCCCACTTTGAGAATAAATTATTTTTTAGTGCCCCATTTTTTCACCTACTTAATAACCAGTACGGCGAGAGCTCAGTCGGTATCTAAGAGTCCTCGTAGATAAAATCAAATCGACTCCCAAGCTTCTACACAACGCCCCCACTTTTTTCCGGGTCTCTTACCGCCCCTTTAAGGCCTGCAGCGCCCACAAGGGGGTGTTATCGTCGACTTTATTTATTTATTTATTTATTTAACTTTATTTTATTCGACTTTGGTAAAGGCTGGCCACTGCATTCATCCACAGTGTTTCCAGAAATCTTTTTTATTTTATTTTATTGCCCTTGTAGGCAGACGAGCATACGGCCCACCTGATGGTGAGTGGTTACCGTCGCCCATGGACTTCAGCAATGCCAGGAGCAGAGCCAAGCCGCTGCCTACCGCTCCACAAGCCTCGTTTGAAGAAGGACATGTCATAGCGCTCGGGAAACACAGTGGAGGGAAGCTCATTCCAAAGCCGGATGCTACGTGGCAAAAAAGACCTCTGGAAACGCACTGTGGATGAACGCAGTGGCTCCAGGTAGTATGGATGAACTCTACTCCGGTGGCGGGCGGTGCGATGGTAAAAACATTTCTGCAACATACGGTCCAGCTTTGGTATGAACTCCCCTCATGGTGTTCGGAGAGTGCTACGCGAACCAGGTTTTTTTTTTATTGCTTAGATCGGTGGACGAGCTCACAGCCCACCTGGTGTTAAGTGATTACTGGAGCCCATAGACATCTACAACGTAAATGCGCCACCCTCCTTGAGATATAAGTTCTAAGGTCTCAAGTATAGTTACAACGGCTGCCCTACCCTTCAAACCGAAACGCATTACTGCTTCACGGCAGAAATAGGCGGGGCGGTGGTACTTACCCTTGGGGACTCACAAGAGGTCCTACCACCAGTAATCACGCAAATTATAATTTTGCGGATTTGATTTTTATTACACGATGTTATTCCTTCACCGTGGAAGTCAATCGTGAATCGTTGTTAAGTACGTATTTCATTAGAAAAATTGGTACCCGCCTGCGGAATTCGAACACAGGTGCATCGCTTCAACACGAATGCACCGGACGTCTTATCTTTTAGGCCACGACGACTTCAAAAGGTATGAGGAGAGCTCTTAGTGAGCAATGGTTTGGCTCTGACATTGCTGATATCCTTGAGTTGAAGTTGACCACTCATCATCTAGCGAGCTGTAAGAGGATCTGTTTGCGCAACAATAAAAAATATTTTTGATTACAACGCAACTAAATATATGGATTTCTAATATCAAGCTGAGTATTCTAAACTGGTAATACCACTTTAGCTATTTTTTTCTTTGTTTTTTTATTATTAACTAGCTGACCCGGAAGACTTCGTAGTGCCTCAATCGATAAAGGAAAGACCTAAACTTTTGTATAAAATAAACTTAAAACAAAAAAAAGGAATCCATTCGACGGGGGACACATCTAAGGAAAAACAAAATTGTTATTTATATTTAATTCCGAGCATTTTCATATTTATCTACCTTTTAAACCTTCTCTGGACTTCCACAAATAATTCAAAACCAAAATTAGCCAAATCGGTGCAGCCAGGACTAACGAACAGCAATTCATTTATATATATATATATAGATAGTTCTTTTTTTTTCGGGCCGGGGCCGAACCTTCAACGAGGTCCCCGTGCCTTAAGGGCGCGCAGGTTATGTGGAACTTAACGATATGCAAGGTGTTGGGAGCAGACCGCGGGCCTAAGGAATTTTAGGGCCCTATTCACTAAACGACTCCCCTGCACTCTTACACCCGATGTCCGATCTCTGTCCGGGGTCAGAACCCGGTCAGAGTAGGGGGGTTCCCGCGGTCAACAATACAACCAGACACGCGGCGCCACCCCGAGGACGCCTGACCGACGGGTCGTCGAGGCGATAGTCGACGACAAACGACGCCGTCTCCGCTGTACGGCGGCCCGAACAGGCCACCCGGATGCCGCTGGTGTTCCGAGATACCTCGCTGGGACAGAACCAGCCTGCCGGATCGGAAGGCGATACAGTGCCGACTGGGTTGCTCTCCCACAGTATGTTCGGCAACGACAGCGACGACGACAATGCGGACTGCCGCAGCCGCCGACGCGCCGTCTCGTCCTCCTGCTGCCAGCGCGCTAGTGACGGTAGCGTGCGGCGCAGCCTCAACCCCTTAGGTCGCCCCGTGACCGTCACCGGGAGGAGACTGCCTCCTATAGATAGATTGCCTTTTATCTGTCAATTTTCAATTCCTTAATTCATACAACACTATCATTACTGAGTAAACAACATTGCAATGATGTAGCAGAGAACAGAGTAACAGAGAAAGCCTGGGGAGAAATTATGAAGAAAAGGTATTAGTGAAAATATTGCTGATCCTCCATTCAGAGATATTATAACTCATACTGAAAATTATCACTGTAAAAAGTCAAAATTGACATCCTTCCGTTTCTGCCTTGAAAGGCCCACTTTGTCAGGTGAAAAGTCTAGAATCTCTATGTATAGAACTATCTTAAGCATCTTAGATTGTCATAAGAAGAAAAATAAACTTCAACTAGGTCAATTCTTATTTTTAAAAACAACATCTAGTGCAATCTAGTCTCTATATATTGATAAAACAAAATCAAAACAGAACAGAGTAATTAATTAAAGAAGAATAATAACAGTAATAACAAAGAGTAAGAACATAAATTGATTTTTAGATCTTAAAATTACTGTTTGTCTGTTGTTTACATATTTTAACTATTGAACTTATTCGCATGTCAATTTCATATGTAGAGATATTTATTTATTTACTTTTGTCTTATAAATCGGTGAACACTGGCTGCACACACAAAAAAGGGTCACATTCCACCTGAGCTTGAATATGCAAATCAGAGCATAGAACAAGCGATAAGGAGGCACGGTCGGCCCAAGTGTTGGCTTGTGATACATTTACCTCACTTCTCATGTGACGTTGGATGTTTTACACACAAGACTTTACAGACAACCAATTTTTTTTTTTTGTGTTATCATGTGGCAATACGCATAGCAAATAATCCTAATATGTATGTAACTCTATCTATTACGTTTCCACCTCCCTATCCACTTAACTGATCTTGACGAAAATCTGTACCAACATAATTCTGAGCCCTGGGAAAGAATATAGGCTACCTTTCATTGCAGTGACGAGCACAGTCTCCACTCACACCATATACTGTTGATCACGCGGTCACAGCTGCGGGCGGAAAGGCAGTATACAATATGAGAATTTCCCAGTCGGCTGAGTTACATATTAATCTTTGAACATCAAGTATGAACATAATAGGAAAAATGATTTTCATAAAGCTTTGTATTGCGGAATCGTAATTGTAGCAACTTTTTAGCTCGTAAATGAATACGGTACGTCTAATTTCTAAGTCAGTACCTAAGTCGATGATGGGACTGTTTCTGTCCACCCCGCAGTCGCAGATCCACCTTATTACTCGGAGGGCACTGTCTTCACCGAACCAAACGTCTCCGGTATCACCAAACTCATCGAAATTCCGAATTTCTTTAGCGTAAGCCTCTTTCCAGTACTCACGAGTTCCTAATACGGACGGGTCTAATTCCGTTTCATCCATTATTTCGACTAAAGTTTGATTTTGTAATGAAACAGAATCTTTTACACCGTTTTAAACAGAACATAAATTGTTACGTATACGTAAGATATAATTCGGAATTGCTTTACGATTTATATGAAAACAGTATTAAATTATAGGTTACGTTTACAGTTTGTTATTTGTTTACAAAATCTGTAGGAAAAGGCAAACGTACCTAATTTCATACAGCATAGTCAATTTAAGAATAAACGGATGTAGTAACAATCGAATTTTAGCTAAAGTTTATAAACTGTTTCAATTTATTGCATATAGCGAGCTTTAGACGCACTTGTTGTTAAGCGGTTATCGCAGTCCATAGAGATCACAACATGAATTGCACCTTGAAACATAAGGTCTAAATCTCAATTGTAGGTTATAATGGCTGCCTACATATGCAAACTCACAAGACTTGCTAGCACCAATAACCTGTAAGATTCTGTATAACTACGTATTTAAAAAAAAAAAAAACACTATATTGTAGGCGGTTTCGGTCGATCAGCCAAATATATATATAAAGCGGTACGACACGAGAACCCTCTCATCCTGGCCACCGGTAACTATATTCCCGATCCTGCGGACAGAATGAAAAGCAGTCGGCCTCGCCCCAAATACGTTATTTCGGATCCTCCCGATCCACTAACGGTGCTTTTAAGGTATCTCAAGCACCGGTCATCGTCCTCGTTGAACTCGTCGCTTACGACGAAGGGCTTGATGACTAAATTAACCCCCAGACACAGCCCACTGAGTATCTCGCCGGATCTTCTCGGTGGGTCGCGTTTCCGATCCGGTGGTCGATTCTGCGAAGCGCGGCTCTTGTTAGGGTTCGTGTTAGCAACGTCATCAGGTTTGAGCCCCGCGAGCTCACCTACTAGGTAAGGCGACGGTAATATAGCCTCTCAAGGCTATCAACTTAGGTAGGAAAAAAAAAGCGAAAATACAAGCATAGAAAATTAGAACAATTTTCGAGCCTTAGGGCTCGAAGAACTTAGGTTCTTCTCAAAATTCCATTCTTATTTCAGTCAAATTTTTCATTTTTTGTGTGAAGCTTTTCATTAAATTTTATGACCCTTTTTGCATGCGAAATGATCAATGGTTTTGGATTTCTATGAAGAACTCTTATGACCTACGATACGTTTGCTTGTAAAACGGGACATAACAACCAAAAAAATTGCCAAAGCTAAGGTCACATTATTGTGACATTATCACAATCAGAAATCACCAATCAGTAAATAATCAGTGATAATAGAAAAAAAAGCATGTAAGTTTTAGAGCCAGAAAACCAGTTGTTCGTGTCTAGTCAAACCAAAATGTCAACAACGCCACCATCTAAATCGTCCTGTATATTCTGTAACATCGCTAACAAACTAGAGGGCACGGAAATATTGTATGAAGACGATGAAGTGTGCGTTTTTCGTGACATCAAACCGGCCAGTCGTTTTCATATTCTGACTATACCTAAAAGGCATATCGAAGATGTCAAGAGCTTGACGAGCGCCGACAAGGAACTACGTAAGTAAATTTCACTAATTAGAGACACATTGCTGAGATATCTTTGCCTAAACCCCACTGCTTCTATAAAAATATATCATAGGGCAGTACATAGTATTCGTCATGTCTATGCAAAAGGCATGGCCAAAGTTTTAAATAAATAAAAATATGTGGGTATACACCAATTGAAATGTACATTAAACATGTTATAATGATATAGAATATTCTAAAAGTAGTTAAACAATAATAAAAAGCTTAATTGCGTTTTCTGTACCATAATATGAAAACAATATTATAGCCTTTATTTTCCACAAATTATTTTACACGGTATTCTTGAATTAACTAAAACTGAACTAGTCCTTTTTTCTCAATGACAGAGTTCAGTCTATCTATATAAGAAAAATCCTTTTTTTTAAACTAAAAGGTTTTATATATATAAAAAAAAAACATTGCATTTGTAGTTAAATCAGAAAACAGTCCACCTCATATTGAGTGGTTGCTGTCTCACATGGATATGAGCGTGTGAGCAATGCCAGGTGAGTACTCTCCGCAAGCCTCGTTTGATGAAAAATATGTCATTGCTCCCAGAAAACAGGAGGAATAAAACCGTTCCAATATCGAGTCGAGGGAACGCGCTCCCGCCCCCGTCACGTCACAGGAGTCCCGCAAGGCTCCGCCCTCTCCCTGTTACTGTTCAGTTTGTATATCAATGATATACTCCGGTCTCTGGAGACCCATCTGGCGCTCTTGGCGGATGACACGGCTATCTAGTACTCGTGTAGGAAGAAGTCATTGCTACATCGGCGACTTCAGACCGCAACTACCACCATGGGACAGTGGTTCCGGAAGTGGCGCATCGACATCAATCCCACGAAAAGCACAGCGGTGCTCTTCAGAAGGGGTCGCCCTCCGAAAACCACGTTGAGCATCTCACTCCCGACTAGGCGCGTCAACACCTCCGCCTCCGCCTTTTTTTTTTTTTTTTTTTTTCCTACCTATGCTTATAGCCTTGAGAGGCTATTTCAGCGTACCCTAGCTTATGTAGGTGAGCTCGCGGGGCTCAAACCGGAGAATTGCTAACACCGCCCTAGCAAGAGCAGTGCTTCGCAGAATCTACCACCGGATCGGAAGCGCGACCCACTGAGAAGATCCGGCGAGAAACTCAGTGGGCTGTGTCTGTGGGTTAATTCGCTCGTCGAGCCCTTCGTCGCAAGCGACGGGTTCGGCGAGGACGGTGACCGGTGCTTGTATTGCCTAAAAGCACCGTTAATGGATCAGGAGGATCCGTGATGACGTGCTTTGGGCGACGTCGACGGTTTACCAAACGGTCTACAGGATCGGGTATGTAGTTTCCGGCGGCCACGACAAGAGGGTTCTCATGTCGTGCCGCCTTCTCAAAGTGGCGCAGCGATGCCGACTGTAGATACTTACTGACGGGGTCGAGCTCCAGGTCATCGTGGAGGTCCACGTTCCTCTGGAACCATGGTGCTCCGACGGCTATCCTGCAGAATCGGGATTGTATAACCTGAAGGGGTTTCAAGTTGGTGCGGGCCGCGTGAGCGAACACTACGCTTGCATACGTCATGACGGGGCGTATGCAAGTTTTGTAGAGGGTTACCTTGTTACGGAGGGACAGTTTGCTTCGTCTACAAAGCATTGGGTAGAGTCGTCCTAGTATAAACGCGGCGCGATCGCGTACCGTTTTTACGTGGGGACGGAATGTCATCCCTCTGTCGAGGGTGACGCCTAGGTATTTGACCTTCGGGGCCCACGGTATGGGCTGGTCAAAGAGAGTGATGGGGCTAACGGCGGAGGTGTTTACGCGCCTACTGGGGAGTGGGGTGCTCGAAGTGGTATTCGGAGGGCGACCCCTTTTGAATAGCACCGCTGTGCTTTTCGTGGGGTTAATGTCTATTCGCCACTTCCGGAACCACTGTCCCATGGTGGTTACTGCGGTCTGGAGTCGCCGATGAAGCAACGACATCTTCCTACACGAGTAGTAGATAGCCGTGTCATCGGCGAAGAGCGCTAGATGGGTCTCCGGAGACCGGGGTATATCGTTGATATACAAACTAAATAGTAACGGGGAGAGTGCGGAGCCTTGCGGGACTCCGGCAGTCAGATGACGGGGACGAGAACGAGTTCCCTCTACTCGATATCGAAACGAACGGTTCGACAAGAAGTCTCGTATGATGAGCACGAGTCTGTCTGGCACTCCCATGTTGTACAGTTTGTAGATCAAACCGTTGTGCCAGACTTTGTCGAACGCCTTCGCTACATCGAAGAAGAGGGCGCCGGTCGGGATTTGTTTACGCCTATTTAGCCCTATTAAGATGTGCTCCGTGAGGCGGTGCACTTGTTGTACGCACGAGTGTTTGGCGCGGAATCCAAACTGCTCGTCTATTAGAATTTTATTCGCGGTAACGAAGTCCCAGAGGCGTTTCCGAAGGAGCCGTTCGTAAATTTTGCCTATCGCTGGGAGGAGACTAATCGGTCGGTAACTAGCGGTTTCATTATTCGGTTTGCCCGGCTTGTGTATACCGATAACGTCTGCTTCTTTCCATACCGCCGGAAAGATGCAGTGCGTCATAGCAGCATTTAAGATGGTAGCCAACATTGTTATCAGTTGGACTGGTAAGAGTTTTAACGCGCGGTTGCGGATGCCGTCGGAGCCGGGTGCCTTCTTAGGTTGAAGGTTGTCTATTACTTCTCTAACTTCGTCAGAGGTAATGGGGGGTAACGCGTCCGAGGGTGGCAGGGAAGCTCTGCGCTCGACCTCCCTGTCGACTGCCTCGGTGTGTTCGGGGTCCGCGTATTGAGTGCTGGTGGTGCACTGCTCTTGCAGTGCATCGGCCAGCAACTCTGCCTTGTCATCGTCATCGAAAGCCGGTGGTTGGCCTGAAGGGCGTACGAGAGGAGGCATAGTAGCGGTAGTTTCGGACTTGAGAGTCCTTGCTAGTCGCCAGTATGCTTGATGAGAGGGCGCGAGTCCTTCTAAGTAACTATCCCAATTCTCATTTCGGGCGTCGCTTAGGCGAGATTTTACATCCCGCTGTAGACGACGCATCCGAATCCGGTTTGAGTGCGTGGGAAGTTGATCGTAGGCCCGGATTGCCGCGTTTCTAACTCTTAGGAGGTTCCTAAGTTCGGGGGACAGTCTGATGCGGTGGAAGCTATCCTCCACATCGACTTCTTTTGAGGATCTTATGATCGCGGAAGAGATGTGATCCGTGATGATGTTTATGGATTCGACTGTGTCCTCGGGGGAGGGAGTTGAATCCGGGCCGCAGGGGAGGATTGGTGGAGCGGCATCGGCTAAGCATTTGCCCAGCTTCTTCCAGTCCACCATGGTCCTCGTAGCTGTGACTGGGTTGTGGGGGCGACCGAGCTGCATAACGACAGGTCGGTGGTCTGAGTCGAGCTCTGACATTGCTTCGATGGAACGCAAGCGCAGAGTTACGTTCCTCAGCAGTGCCAGGTCTATAGTGCTCGGACGGAGCGCGATGTTATACGGATAACATGTTGGAGTTGGGGGACCGACTACTTCAAAGGTAAGGTCGTCTATAAACGCGTCGAGACGCCTACCATTTATGTTTGAACTGTGGCAGTTCCACCTAGTGTGGTGGCAATTTAAATCGCCTGCCAGGATGACGGAGTCTCCCATGCCGAACAGTGACTCGATGTCACTGCTCAGAAGGGGCTTGTCCGGGGGGAGATAGACGGATGCGATGACGATCGGCTGGTGTCCCGTCAGCGAGATACGGCACACTGACGCCTCGATATGTGAGAGCGAGGGGGTATCGAGAGGGACAACGTGCAGGGCCCGCCTATAGTAAATGGCAGTCCCGCCTTTGGAGGCGGTGAGTCTGTCATTCCTAACCATGACGTAATTCGCGACTTTCGGGTCACGACGCGAGGGCTTCAGGCAGGTCTCCTGCACTAGCAGAATATCTACAAGATTGTCGCGGAGGAATTCGTAAATTTGATCGCGTTGTCGCGCGAGTCCGTTAGCATTGTAGAATGCTAACGTAAGGGAATACGGTTTCTCTCTAGCGTTTTGCGCCATTGATTACCGGTATATTTTTAGAAAGTACGGGCCACGGACTCGTAAACGTCCATGTGCTCAAACGCGGCCGCGAGCCGTTGTTCGGGGTTTATTGCCCTTCGCATCGCGTCTGCGAACGATCGCAGACGGTCGAAGTTCACCGTGGTGACGAAGTCGCGCACGAGCGCGAAGTCGCTGACGGCTGAGGGTTGCGGGGGACGGTACGCGGGCGCGGGGGGAGGTGTGAGCAGGGGCTGCGGCGCAGGACGTGTCGCGAGCGGGGGCTGGGGTGCGGTTTGTGTTCCCGACTTCGTGTACGGCAGCGGTTTATTCCACGCCGAGACGGTGGGAACCGCAGCCGGTACGAAGGCGGGTTTCGGTGCTGAGGGCACCGAAGTCTTTGGGCCGACGGTACGGGGGGCTGGGTGGGTCGGACGTTTTCGCGGAGCCCTAGGACATCCACGGTAATTCGCGGGGTGCCCTTGCTTAAGGCATAGGACACAGCTTGGAGGTTCGGTCGCGGTTTCCATAACTCGCGAGCAATCTGACGTGGCGTGATCGCCGAGGCACTTCACGCAGCGGGGGCGCGCGTGGCAATTCCGAGCCGAGTGGCCATAGAGTTGGCATCTGTGGCACTGTCCGGGAGTGCCACGTCTATGGGGGGCTTCGATGGTGACCCCGGATAGGCCGCATACTGTCGCGAGACATGCGATCTTTTTTTTGGCCTCCGGGGTTGGTTCTAATGCGACTAGAACCATATTATATGGTTTTTTGTCGCGTCCGTTGTGCATCCGGTGCACACTTACTATCGGGAGGGACTGAGCGGTCAGATCCTCCTTGACGTATTCTATGTCGAGTTCCTTCGGAACTCCGCGTATTACTACGCGGAGCTCGCGGTCCTCCTAAAGAGCATAGGTATGGAAACCTATATTCTCCTTTCGGAGGTACGCGGATAGAGCCCTATGGTTGCCCGGCGTTGCGACCTTTATTTGGATCCCATGCGCGACGTTACGCGCATGGGTATAATTTATTTTGTTTGCCTGAAGGGCCTGGGAAACGCGGTTCCATGCTGGCTTCTCCTGGAGAATCAGCGGGGGCGGGACAACGGTTTTTTGCGCGGGCGCGGGCTTGGTACGCGGCGGTGGGGTTGCGCGGCGGCCGGAGTCCGACTCCGGTGTCACGACTACCTGCGGACGGGAGGCAGTCGCTGACTTTGTTTGTTTTGTCGTGGAGCTCCGGGACTCCACGACGCGAGTACGTTTTTTCTCGCGTTTTACCGTTTGGAACCCATCCGAGGTTCCGGGCTGCGGGCTCGTCGCTGACTCGAAGTCCATCTCCGATCCGGTATCGGAGTCTGAACCTGAGTTGATAATTACGGACGACGCGACGGATGAGATTGGCGTGAATGACGTCGCGGGTGCGTTAGGCGCTTCGTTGGCGCTAGGCGCTTCCTGAGTCGCTACGTGCGTACATGCGCTCAAATTGGATTTGGGGGCGGGGCATGACTGCGCGGCTCGAAACGACGCGGCGAGGGACGCGGGCGGGGCGGGACTTGCGCGGGCGGCGCGAATTCGGCCGTGAGGTTAGTGAGTATCGGGTACTTCTCCGCGAGTGACCCTAGGAAACCTAACAGTTCCTCTTCCATTGTTTTTTGTGCCCGGGGGGGGGGGGCGTCCCCGGGACTTAAGGCACACTCGCCGAAAGGCGAGTCCCCTGAGTAGGAGTTTACCCCCTGCGCTGTGCCAGCTACAAGGGGGGGGAGTGCCTTTGCCGTGAAAACGGCAGTCAGCTAGGATTGGGGTGGAAGTTTGGGAAGGTGGGGCCCCACTGTGTTGTGAGAATGCCACAACAAGCGGTGATCTCAGCGGGGGGTTAGTCTCGAAAGAGACTGTTTTTCTCGCCGAATAAATAAATAAATTTAATAAATGAGATGAGTGAATGATAGTGAGGTTGTCGTTTCGAATGCAAAACTAACGAACACGAAATACGCTTTACCGATTCAAGGTCGCGATGCCAGCGACAGAGCGTCCGGAATGCAAAACAACGTCAACGACAATGTCGTGCAATCCAAACACACAATCGCGACAGCAGCGACAATTTCTCGGGAAAACGCGTCTGGGCTCAACCGTGTTGCGATCGGAACTGAAATGATGGCCGCCTCCGCCATTCGCCCAATCACGATGTACGACCAACCCATACCATGGGCCCCGAAGTTCAAATACTTAGGCGTCATCCTCGACAGAAGGATGACATTCCGCCCTCATATAAAGACGGTACGCGACCGTGCCGCCTTCATACTAGGTCTCTACCCGATGATATGCAGGCGAAGTAAAATGTTCTTTAGAAATAAGGTGACACTCTACAAAACTTGTATACGCCCCGTCATGACCTATGCAAGTATAGTGTTCGCTCACGCAGCCCGCACTCACTTAAAATCATTCCAAGTTATTCAATCCCGTTTTTGCAGGATAGCCGTCGGAGCCCCGTGGTTCATCAGGAACGTCGACCTCCATGACGACCTGGACCTAGAGTCCATCAGTAAGTATCTGCAGTCGGCGTCGATGCGCCACTTCGATAAAGCGGCACGACACGAGAACCCTCTCATCGTGGCCGCCGGTAACTACATTCCCGATCCTGCGAACAGAATGGAAAGCAGTCGAGTCTCGGATCCTCCCGATCTACTAACGGTGCTTTTAGGTACCTCAAGCACCAGTCACCGTTCTCGTTGAACCTGTCGCTTGCGACGAAGGGCTCGACGAGTAAATTAACCATCAGACACAGCCCACTGAGTTTCTCGCCGGATCTTCTCAGTGGGTCGCGTTTCCGATCCGGTGGTAGATTCTGCAAAGCACGGCTCTTGTTAGGGTTTGTGTTAGCAACGTCGTCAGGTTTGAGCCCCGTGAGCTCACCTACTAGTTAAGGTTACGCTGGAATAGCCTCTATAGCTAGAATAACTGGTGGTAGGACCTCTTGTGAGTCCGCACGGGTGGGTACCACCGCCCCGCCTATTTCTGCCGTGAAGCAGTAATGCGTTTCGGTTTGAAGGGTGGGGCAGCCGTGGTAACTATACTGAGACCTTAGAACTTATATCTCAAGGTGGGTGGCGCATTTACGTTGTAGATGTCTATGGGCTCCAGTAACCACTTAATATCAGGTGGGCTGTAAGCTCGTCCAACCATCTAAGCAATAAAAAAAAGGCTCTCAAGGCTATCAGCTTAGGTAGGAAGAAAAAAAGGAATAAAACTTATCACAACTTTGATGTTATGTGATAAACTAGTGAATATCAAAACTTTAGTAGCTGCAAGAACAGTTATAGTCCTAAGAAGAATTGGCCAAGAAAAACTTAGCTAGCTTATTTTTGACTGATTCACTTGTAGTTTTTTAGTAGTAATAATACTAGTAGTTTTTTTTTATTGACCTGTACACGACCCTCCCAATGGTAAGTGGTTACCGTCGCTCATGGGCATCTGCAATACCAGGGGCAGGGCCTAGCTGCTGCCTACTGCCTATATCTGTTCTAAATTATTAATGAATTCTGGTGCTTAGTATTTACAGGAACTTACTCCATGACCATAATAATATTCTGACAGTTGAAATACATAATCATAATTAAATAATAATCATATAATGTTTGTTTTAGTTAACAGAATGATGTCCATATCGAGAGAGTTGTTGTCTAAGAACAATTTAAGTATTGAAGATGCACGCTTTGGGTATCACTGGCCACCGTTTCGTTCAGTCAAACATTTGCATCTGCATACTATAGCACCTGAATCCGAGATGGGATTCATTGGAAGAGTGATATTCAAAAAAAACTCTTATTGGTTTGTTTCGGTAAGGATAGTAGGAACAAATTTGTAAGGCACTGAAGATAGGACACCTGCATTGGAAGGTGGTACACTGGTTAGCTATATGCTGTGAAGAGATCACATGTTTAAATTCAAAGGGTTGCCCAGATCATATTAAAACGTATTCCGCATGAATAGCTGATATTATTATATTTAAATTATTATTTTAATTAGGTAATATTTATTTTATAAAACTAACACTTTTGCACGGAACTCATTTTACAGTTTTAGACATAAAGAGTAAGTTTGTCCTTTTCTAGTCTAAAAGAGACAGTTTAATTTTATAAACTGATAGAATACATGTTTATAAGTTGTTTGAAGTATAAAACTCATTTTCTTAAAAAAAATAGTTAAGTCACTTCAAATCTAAAGATGCGATTTATTAACATATTTTAGGAAATGACATAAGTAAATAGGGTGTTGCCTGTTAGGTCATTGACACTTCAGAATAGTTAATAGAAACAGTTTGTACCTTCGACAAATCAACTATAGACACAATTTTAATGATTTGTTGCTATTAATAAACGAATTTGATTAATTTAAGATGGAAGTTATTTATGTTCACAAATTTTATTTCAGCCGGAATATGTCGCCTCTATTTTAATGTGAAGTGTAATTGGAGTCTAAATAAATTATTTTACCTAAATTCAACGAGACAGACATAATTTTGATGGTGTCAGTTTAAGGTTTGAAGCCCAAAGCATAATATTATGATGTATCGTAAAAGAAAACGCGTATAAAGGCGCCTCTCCATAATTAAAAGCGACTATTGCTCTGTGTTGGTGATATCTATCCACTCCATGACATACGTGACTACATGTCAGTAGCGTAAGACTTGAGTCGGAGGAACATCTAATTACGTATATTTATTATTGTTTTTAATTAGACCAAAATACATATATTATTGACTAAAATTTTATTGTTTTATTATAACCTAACCCAGTGGTCGGTAAACTTATTAGCCAAAGAGCCAGATATGCAAATAAAAACGATTTAAAAAAACTGAGAGCCAAATCTGTTTGATCTGTCTGTCTGACTCATAGATTATACACTTAGGGCTTCGTCAAACAGAACGCTTATTTAGCGCCGCGTTTTAACGTCGCGCTCTTTTCATGTCACACCAATTGACTGATGAGATGAGCCCAACGCTCCTTGACGCAACATAACGCCAAATCATAGTGCCTTTCGATAGCAGTGTTAAAATTTAAAAGTATTAAGATGTCGAGTGATTCAGATGTGGCATTGTATAAGTATATTTTCTATTTCTATCAATTTTTCGGGCATTATCCAGTATTTTAATACACATTCACTCGGACGCTAAAATAAAATTTGTAAAAAATTACAACGCCTGACGTCAAAACGTCCTAACGCCGCGACAGAGCGTTGCGTACTTATAGCGCTCGGGCTCTGTTTGACAGTATGTTATAATACCATAGTAGTACAACACATTTCGGCGTCATAGCGCGCCGTCAGTTTAGCGCTCTGACGCACGCTGATTACGCGTTCTGTTTGACGAAGGCTTTAATATTGGTCTGACTTGTAGAAACTAGAAACGCGCGAGTCTACTCCGTGTCCTGTACAGTGTTTCCACTTTAATGATTTCCTTTCCCCACGCCTCAATTAAAATTTCCCCTTGTCAGGGCTTTTTTCCCCTCAAAAATTTTTCTGCTGTAGTTTTTATTTTCGGCCCTAGTGTAGTAACTAAAAAAAGAAAAAGTCTATCGATTTTCTTCTATAGCCTGCCCACGCCTCATAAACTATGAAAATATTATTTACGAAATGGTTGCATCAATCCTGTGTGTAAATCTGGTTTGAAAAGAACGGGAACAACTTCTGTACAACTAAATTAAACTAGAAATACCACACTTTAAGTTTGTACAGTCCAATGCAACTGCAAGCGAATCTAAAAAAATTAGACTAAGCATGAATAAAGTATAATTAGACGACTCGTATTTTATTTATAGCCTCACCAGAAATCCATAAATCTTGGGGCTGTATACTCACTCACCTCTTATTCCAACTCAGTTTACGCAATCAGTACATCCATTTTAGCACAGAATAATATTTTAGACCTTAAACAGAATGGAAATAAGGGTAAGTATACGCCATCTGCGAGTGGTCACTGTTTCTTTTAAACAGCAACACGCTAATCCACGGTAGAGTCCATAAAATAATAGTTCCGAAATTTATTGCAATATATTAAGCTAGGTTTTACCCATGACTTCCCGCAATTTCCCCTTTTTCTCCCCCTATGGACCCTAATTTCCCCTCAAATGGGGAATTTGCCCTCATTGTGGAAACACTGAATTCTGTACCCCGCACCGCAGTCTTCACCCGACCGTACAACAGTCGCTGTCGACCGTCTCACGGAGTAGAAACACTTCTATTCTCGCTAAATTAATATCAGTGGGCCGAGCAACTAAAATTATCCGGCCGTGGACGAAAAGTCGAAGCCGTGTGATAGCCACCGGGTGGCGTTGTTTTCCTTTTTTTTGTTAAAATGTTGATACAAAATTTACAGCCATTTTTAAATGAAATCATATAAAAATCAATTTTCAACAATACACATCTTGTTTGTGTTAAGATTTCATTTATGCTTAAGAATTATTTAATATTAAAAAGATATATTTTTCGTGAAATAATATATTTTTTTGGAATAAATTATTATCGCAAATCATAAAATAAATGCTATATTGTATACTGCTTTGATTAATATAATATGTATAATAATTGTATGACCGTACATACTATTAACCGACTTTTTCGTCCACAGCTAGATAATATTAGAGGCCGGGCAAGCCCGTAGGATATTTGTGCCAGAGCCACACTCAAGGGTTCAAAGAGCCGCATGGGGCTCCGATGCCGCACTTTGTCGACCTCTGACCTAACCTAATGATAAATAATCGAATTGGGTCAATTCGGATGAAATTGAATGAAATGAGATGAACTAAAGTCTCTGTAAAATCGTGATTATTTACGTACTGTTACTTCAATGGAGTTTTTGCAAGAATCGGAGAAGCCACATCCAGCGACTTTATTTCATTTTCACCACACTCGTGCAGTTTCTAAGATGTTAGTTATACGATTTACAAACCGACATTATTACACAATATTTAAACCTAAAGAAACACGGTTAATATCTAATAAAATGTTCACATTCACACAATTTCATCTGTCGTGCTGCCGCCAAAAATTCAACCATATGAGTCGACTATTATCAAAGGCGGCAATCTGACTTTTGGACAATGATTGGTAAATCAGAAAAACGAATTATTGACTTTGTATTCCATTGGCAGTCACAAAACTCTTCGGAACGACATCTTAGATAAATAACAGGTTAACTATTAACCTTTATTTAATGCAGGTTTTGAACCGTATTCTTTGAAGGAGACGATTATATTCAAATAAATCTGTATTGACATATCAATAAATTTTTTTTGTCCAAATGCACAGATTGCCGCCTTTGATAATAGACGACTCATATTAAATAATAGGTTGGGGAAAAGTTTTTTCGCATTAAAGTATGTATGAACTTGTAATAAAATCTCTTTGGTTTGGTATCATTAAAGGTTTAAATTTTAAAGAAGATAATTCCAAATTCAAATTAGGTTAATGTGTGATTTTTATTTATTTTTCTTACTGTCAAGGTAAGTGAATCTAATGAAGAAATTCGATACAATTTAAAATTTTACTACAAAAAAGGTAAAAATGTGGTGCTAGGTGGTGTTAATGCATCCGCTGTATAGTCCTGACCTTGCACCTTCAGATTTCCACCTGCTTCGGTCTTTTCAGACTTCTTTAGGCAGTGTCAGGTTAACATCACGAGAGGACTGCCAAAACCAGTTGCGGTATTTTGATTAGAAGACCTAAAATTTCTATAGCAATGTGATCATATCCCTACCTACAAGATGGCAAAAAGCTATCGAACAGAATGGTACCTACATACTTTAGATAAATGTAAATAAACTATATTAAAAAATGTTGTGAATTTTCTTAAAAATGCGAAGAAACCCTTTCCCCAACCTATTAATATGGAATCTTTTCGAAATTCAATTCCAACGCACTTTGGATCTTATTTACAGTCCTACAAACGTATGTTTCTACGTTTTAATGTCGCTTCTACTACCTATTTACCTACGCGACCACAGAAACTATTTTTTTTCCACCTACCCATTCGCTGGTAGCTTAAGCGGCCATTCCAGCTATGCACTGACTGGTAGGTGAGTTCACGGGCTCAACTTGAGAGAATTTGCTATTGCCCTATCAAGAGCAGTGCTTCGCAGAATCTAAAGCCGGATCGGAATCGCGACCTACTGAGAAGATCCGGCGAAAAACTCAATGGACTGTGTTTGTGGGCTATTTTGTTCGTCGAGGACGGTGACCGGTGCTTGAGGTACCTAAAAGAACGGATATTGGTTCGGGAAGGTCCGAGATGACGTGCTTAGAGCGACGGAGCGGCGACTGTTTACCGTTCGGGCCGCAAGATCGGTTGTAGCTTCCGGCGGCCACGCTAAGAGGCTTATCATGTCGCACCGTCTTCGCGAAATGGCGCACTGGTGCTCTTTTCTACTTACTAATGGAAAGCAGTTCCAAGTCGTTCGTTCCTCACGAACCACGGTGCTCCGACGGTTATCCTGCAAAAAAGGTATTGAATAAAGTTGCGGGCCACGTGAGCGAACACTACACTTGCATGGGTCATTACGGAACCTAGGCAAGTTTTGTAGAGAGCCGCCTTATTTTGAAGTACAGTATGCTTTGTGTGAGTTTTTTAACGTTCTCCATAGCGTAAAAGTTAGCTCAAATTTGTATGGAGTCGGAACGCTTGCCTACGTTTGCCGGTAGGGCGCTGCTTCAACTGCATACAAAGTGGTAGATTTTGCGCTATCGGTAACGTTAAAAAACTTTCATCGGATAGAAATTCTCTTGCCGCGGCAAGAGAATTTGCCGAAGCTTACTCCTTAATTTTGGATTCGTACCGAAATTCGGCGGATAGATGGCGCCAGTACAAGCGATATTCTTGGAACCCATAGCCTTCAACACGGCTTGGTTAATTTGTAACATTAACATAACAATACAATTGAAGACATCTGTTTAAATATGTAATTGGTAATTTTATATTGTCCGTTTCGCTATCAGCTTACTTATGTTCAGACTTTGTATATTTGTTTAAATTAATTACATGGCATAAGTACGGATACGAGACATATTCCATTACAAGGCGAATCTACATAAATATATTAAAAGTAACTATAGTGTTTAACTCTTCTCGTTTTTGTAGTTTCAAACGCAAAACCCGAGAAGCGTGGGTGGTGCTAAGCATTATGTGTAAACTCAATCGTAGACAATAAACGCACAGCCCTCGTCGTCCTAGCCATGTCCTTTCGCATCCTCCCGATCCATTCTCGGTGATTACTGGTGGTAGGACCACTTGTGAGTCCGCGCGGATAGGTACCACCGCCCTGTCTATTTCTGCTGTGAAGCAGTAATGCGTTTCGGTTTGAAGGGTGGGGCAGCCGCTGTAACAATACTGAGACTTTAGAACTTATATCTCAAGGTGGGTGGCGCGTCTACGTTGTAGATGTCTATGGGCTCCAGTAACCACTTAACACCAGGTGGGCTGTGAGCTCGTCTACCCATCTAAGCAATAAAAAAAAATAAAAAAAAAGATTTTTAGGCGTTCCAAGCACCGGACACTATTTTCGCCGGAACTTCTCAATGGGTCACGAATCAGTGTGCTTAGTGCGAGTTTTTTAACGTTCTCGATAGCGTAAAAGTTAACTCAAATTTGTATGGAGTTGGAACGTTTGCCTACGTTTGCCGCTAGGGGCGCTGTTCTAACTGCATACATGCGTTATGCACCCCGATCGGGTGTTCGATTCCGCACTGCTCTTGCTAGGTCAGATGTTAG